AAGCATTATTAAAGGAAGCAAAATAGGATATCCTCCCACTTAAGGGTAGATAACCTACTTATATTAGTCTTAGGGATAAGACCCTTAGAGAGGAGACCTAATATTATAACCTATTAGGTATAACATATTAGGATAACCCCACCTAGGTCCTTAGTAGCTAATATAGGCTATATATAAGTAGTAATATAGGTATAACTAGGAAACCTTAGAAAGGAAGAACTATAGTATAGGTCATATGATCTCAGGAATAGTATAGATATAGGATAAAGATGGATATATTGGATATGAGCTATCCTAGCTATCTATGGATATGTTGGATATGAGCTATCCCAGCTATCCCATATTAAAGGAACTATTTAGGACTTATATATAGAATAGACTTAAGCCTAACTTAAGGATAGACTCCTATAGCTCTTTAGTAATTAACTTTATATTTATCCCTTAGATACTTTTAGTATATCTTATACTATAAATATCTTATTAGGCTTATAACTAATTACTACTACCCTTAAGACTCTAATCTATTTAGAACTATACTAATAACCTTATAACGATACGATACTGTTTATTAGTGTTATCCCTTAGCTTCTGTTAGCAGACCCTACTGTCGGATTAGCTGACCGTAACACGCACATCACATTTTCAGCGTCAGAGTGAAGCTGTAACCGTTAGGATAAGATTCGTGACGGTTTATACTCTATTCGTTAGGGATACTCCATAAACAATAGGAATCGCTCTTCTCCAACTTGTGTCGCCCCCGCTTAACTGCCATCTGAAACTGAGTTTGATCCTTCATAGTCGTCATTCGGAGTCCAGAACCCTGGTTAACAATACAAAAATCTCCATCAGCGTAAAGACTGAAATGCTCGTTGAAGCTGCGATGTAGGAAACTTTCATAGAAGGACTCTACGTCTCCAGAACGACGGAAGCTGCACGGTACGGATTGAGTATGTTCCTCTAGGTGAACAGGTAGTCCTAATGCATCTAGGATCTTGTCTGATAACGTCGACTGGTTGCCTATGGCTTCAGCGGCGGACCTTCGTACGTTCCAGTCCTCGTCCTTGAAGAGTTCCATGAGGGCGGCCATGGTTGTGTCTGATAAGTGTCTTTGAGCATATATCAACCCATCCAAGAGCACCTTTTTTTTTCCAGACGTAGTTAATGCGCTTTGCAGTACCTCCTCTGGAAGCTCTGATGCTATTGTGAATGTGGATGATCCTGTGAAGTCTCTTTCGAATAGCACCCATTGTAGCAGGCGTTTTTCACTCTGCTCTCGAAACCCAGTTGGCGAGTCGGGTGCTTCATTCAAGCAGTGCATGACAAGCCGTTGGTGTGCTGGTCCCAGAACGTCGATCGGCTCTTTTTCAATTTCCTTAAAGAAGCGGCTGGTCTCGTCTTCTCCTTCCTCGTTCAGAATCCCAGCAACAAAGCGCCACATGATGTCATATCGTGTGTTATATTTATGCTTTTGCAGGTAAGCAACTGGACTAATGGACTCAGCGCGCTTTTTGCCAGGTACTAGATACTCCAATGATTGAGTCTCGGTCCATCGTTGTACAAAATATCTTGCAGCAAAATACTCTTGAAAAGTCAAGTGCAGGAAGTGATATAGCTGATATTGTGCCGAGGAAGATGAGCCTTGTGTGCGAAGGAAGGACATTGATGGCACTTCTCCGTCCAGTAGATTTTTCTTCTTCTTGAAGACGTAGTGAAGTACCTCGCCCCGAAAGCTTTGCTCGAAATCGATCTTGTCCGTGTGCATACCGGAGAATGCCAAGGCTTCCAAGAACTTGAGCTCATTGTCCAGGACGTCCTTGAGATCCCATGGACGAGCTTGCTCCACCTGACCTTCGTCGAGTTTCCCAAGCTGAATAGCGTCTTTTGAGTAAAGCTTTCCCACTATTGCGCTATAAAAAGCGGTCATAGTTTTTGGCGTGGGGCTGTTCTCAACATTCCATGTGAAGCAAAAAGCATCAAGCTGAATGGGTATTCGGACAAGATCGCGAACCAGGTGGTGGGACTGTAGAAACGATTCAACCTTGGGTATTGTCGTTGAGTCCAAAGAGACCCGGAGGTATTCTCCTATTTGAGCTGTGTAGAACCCCACTGTCTCAAGCTCTAGGTCTAGACCCAGACTATGGGGTAGCACTACGTGCGGTCGCGATGTGACGATTAGGTTGGGTTGATTGAGAAGGTCTTTGAGAAATCGCCGCATATCGTGCTTTACATCATTCCACACTTCGTCCAGACCATCAAGTAGGAAGAGTGTCTTTTCCTTAACGATCTCTTGCGATAGCGCTTTTGCAAGATCCGTTGCTCCTGAACCAAAAAATTCGTGGCAAAATAGATCGTGCATGCTATATCCAGGAGTGTTGGTACGTGCTTCATGCTTGAGATTGCGAAGTGGTATCCAGAGCAAACGGTCGAACTTGTCGTTCCACATGGTTCCATATGTGAAGTCATGAACAATCTTCTTGCACAGAGTAGTCTTCCCGACTCCGGCGCGACCTCGGATCAGTATTCGTTTTGGCTCTTTCATCTGACCGTCGGGATGCTTGCGCGGTTGAAAGAGCTTCAATAGCTCAACCTGAGACTCTTCGTGTGGTGTTTCCACTTTGAGCCGAGCAGCAAGGGAGAATTGCTCAGATTGCAGTGGGTGGTCTTCAGGCCTCTGTTTGGACTCGTTATCTCGTGGCGTCTCTATCAGTGCGAGGTTGATGTAGCATTTTTCCATTGGCAAAGTATCCCCGGAAAGCCTTTCGATCCGTAGCCTATCCTTGTTGTAGTGCTTCTCGCGTATCCACGCATCTACTTGCTCGAGCGGCGTCCCCTTGCGGATGTCTTCGAGAAAGTCTAGGACTTTGTCCACAACCAGCTTATAGTCTGGGTCGCCGGCTTTAGGGCCGCAGAATTTGTTCATGAGGACATAGGTTCGCTCTAATCGGAGTGGATTTGGGACGCAGTCAAGAACTGCTGAACTCTTGCTGTCCAGCTGACGGGTGTCAGCAAGTATGCTCGAAGATATGTATATAGATACTATACCTGTTTCTTTGAATGTGGCAATAAATAAGATAGGAGAGGGACCTTGGCTTGGAGGTCTGTGTAACCCGCCTCATAAAAAGTGAGCACTTTGTAGCCGTTGTGATTCTTGTTGTCGCAGAGCTGAGTGAATTCATTGACAAGTAGAGTGAGGTCGAATTTCGACGACTTCACCCAGCCGAGTAGGCTGGCCACGCGACGGCCTCGGATTGAAGCCTAGGTCCTGAGGCCTGGCTCTGCCCATCTGGCCACGTCCTCAAATGATGTGCCTCGGAATAGCGTGGCGAGAAATATGATCCCGCGTGTCGCGTTTTGAACCGGTTGGTACTCGTTCTTAGCCATAACGAGAGCCTTCACCAGGATAATGCCCCCAAGACATGATGCGATGAACAGAATTAGTCGGTCCTTATAACTGAGGCGCTTGTTTGTTGCGGATGGCCGTGCTTAAATGCCGGCAAGTAGCCGTAGAGCTAGTTCTTGAATTGTGTCTGCTTCTACATCCAACGTCTCAAATAACTCAGCCGGCCAGTCACAAGTAAAGATACGAGCATTAGAGACTTCCGCCGGTAGCATAAGCTCGTCCTGTAGCCAGTTCACTTTGCGACCGTCCTTTATTTTATATTCCCAAGTCTCTGGAGATCCAGTATCGAGGCCGTGTACGGCAATAATGTCGATGCCTTTCTCTGGTTCGTCATCGTCACCGGCGTGTGAATTGACCTGGTGCAGCTGGACGCGCTGTTTTTCCTGGGTTTTTGCCGTAGTCGCTGTTATCAGAGGAGCATACGCGGGCCTGTAAAACCATAGGAAAACAGCGGTTGCGACTCCAGCCAGGACAGGCATTAACCAAGCTGGACTCATTGCCGTGGAGTTACTTTGGGCAGGTTGACGGCCCGGTGTCTGCGCGAGGGCAACTGGTTCGAGAGGCTGAGCATTCAAGGATTTCGGATGTATCAACTAGCAAGATGAGTAAATCGCATCAGATGTGAGGTTGGAGCACTGCGTTTTCAGTAATGGCAGCGTAAGATGTCAGGATGAATAGCTGTCTATTGAGGGGTAAAGATATAAAATGGAAATATAAGCAGCTAACTGCATCATAGGACAGGAGCTGCATAGCGTGTTGTCAGCAATAACTACTTCATGCAGTGTGATACGGGCGCCTAACGTTCCACAACGGCTGGAAGTTGCTGCGGGGCTGCGATGGCTACTGGCTGCGGTGATGAACACCCATGTATGGGTGCGGCCGGCTATTTGCTGAATACCAGGTATCACCTTCCGAGGGCCTTGGCTGAGCTCTCCGCCCGATTGTCAGCAAAGAGGGGTATCAGAAGTCGGAGGACCCGGTGTGTACGTTGGCACTGCACAATCTCAGCGTCCTGAGCCAATGCCGAGTCCTACCTGCATCAGCTCTGAGGCCCATGATCACCATTCACCGATTCGCTTTGGCGTGGACGTGAGAAGACTGAGGCTAGACACAGTGGCCGGTGATAGCCATCCATGTCAGTACCCTAAGCCCACTTGCGAGTACGTGATGGGTGCAGTAGCCTTGCAATAACACTTAGCCTGCGGTTGAAAGTGTGCCTCTATATTAGTTATATAATAGATGGCAGTACAAGATGGGCCGATGCTATATGCGATCCCTAGGGCAGGCCACATCAAGTAATGGCACAAATACATCGAGTAAGTTCTCCCAGTCGCTTGGGTTCGTTCACACTGAATAGCGTTAACAGCGCGCTCCTTTCACGCAACGGCTCTTGTCGATCACCATCCCAGAGCAAGAAACATCATGTCCAGAAATGGGTCTCCTGTCACTTCTCCCTGCGTCTAGACGGACCGAGGATGACGATCTAGAGTGCCTCACCGCGACACACCAGCTAACCGACATTTTAAACTAGGTGAGCGAGGAGGTGAACGTCGACCGACTAGAAGACATCTACAACTGGCTGTGGATTGTTGGTTAGCCAATGCCACCGCGCTCGCTTCACCACCAGCGCCTCCTCAACCGCGAGATCACAATCACGGAGCGGGCGGACTTACACCTCGTGTGGGCAGGCGAACGCATTTTCGTCAAACCCCTGCCACGCTTTCTCCTTGAGCAGAGCTTCTGGGAAAAATACTTATGCCCTCACGAGGTGCCTCTCACCAGCATAGTGCACGCGCGTGCCCTCGGCTTCCTCTTCTCATACGCGGCCCTCATAACGCACGAGAGCGACTTCCGCATTGCTAAGGAGATGCACCTCCTTCCCGAAGAGGTGCAGTGGGCGGCGTGGAGGGTAGCCGTTGGACAGCTGTTGGGCGTTTCTTCCATCTACCCCAGGATTGACCGACGTTTCCACTACGGCGAATCTACTTCTTCTGGAAGACACCGCTCCGCGGCTACATGTCTCGCTGGAACCAGTACGGCTCGTTCTTCCACGACAACTTTGCGCTGCTGGCCAGCTCGACCGTCTATATCGCTATCGTCCTGACGGCGATGCAGGTCGGTCTTGCCACGGAAGCCCTGCAAGACAACGCGGCCTTCCAGTCGGCGTCCTACGGCTTCACTGTGTTCTCTATAGTAGGACCGCTGGCCGCTGCAGGTCTTGTTGTGATGGTGTTCTGCTATCTGTTTATTGGCAATTGGGTCGCCACCCTGCGCTACAGGAGGAATAGGTCTGCGAAATTCAGGGGTTAAATGAGGCTGGCCCTGGTAGCAGCTGGGTTGGTCATCCCAAATGGTGGGCGGTCAGCAAGGCGCAAGTAGTGGGCGATGCTGTGTGCGAGTTCTCCTGCAGCAGCCTGGTCGATGGTCCCTGTCACGTAGTCAGCTGCACTAGGCCAAATTAGAAGGTCGTTCTCGTGAAGGCTGCAGCCAACGGAGACGAAGTCGTGATACGCAGCTGCAACAGGGCCTATGCCGATCAATCCTGGGTTGGCCAGGCGCCTTTGTAAACTGAGTGCATTGGCTAAGCCCCACAATGCAGAAAGATGCGGCCATCTTCGACAATGAATGGCTCTTGGATGAGTTGCATGAGATAGTGGCTATATTGGCCGCTCCTCGCCAGCCAATGTCGTTCCCGGACCCCGCTTAGTACTTTACAACGCAACAAGCGGCCAGTCATTTGACGTGAGTGGAGGTGCCTGCTGGAGCAATCCCATATCAACAACCCACCCTCCTCACTAGAACAGCCTCAGATTCATTTATCCTACATTTGCGTACACGTCTGTATTGTATTACTAGCATATCTAGACGACGCGTAAAAATTCACGGACTTCGTCCTCCTTACCCTCGAGATGATCTCTCGTACGCATGGCTCATACACGTTATGGGTTGTCTGGACAGGTGCAATCGTTACTGGACTCTTTGCGGCGTACCCCCTCGTCACCAGACTCCGGCCTAGCCGGCGAAGGTCACGCGCGGACGGCCTCGACGTTATCCATGACCCATCGAAGAGTAAAGTCGCAGTGAAAGCTGAGTTCGAGTGAGATGTCTCTGCATGACGAAATGTCGTTATACCACTAACTCTTCATAGGATTGTCGCTGTCCATGGCCTTGGAGCGCATCCTGAACACACTTGGGAGGGCAAACCGACAGATGAACAACATCCGAAGACTCATCTCCTCCGGGAATTACTCCCAAAAGCCTTCCCAAACGCTAGAATCCTGTCCTTTTCTTACAACTCCGACTGGTTGGTGGATGCGCCTGAGAAGACAGCACACCAAATTGGCCACAAATTAGCGGAGGACCTCACTAAATATCGAGACGAAGCGTTACGCCTTCCCATTATCTTCATTGGCCACAGTTTTGGCGGCATTGTCATAAAGGAGGTATGGTCACTGCCCCGCATCGTGCTTCTTTCTGTCTAACCCATGCTTCAGGCCCTGTGGGCCCTAGGTTTATCCTCAGAAATTATAGACGATACCAGCGGAATCATCTTTCTTGGAACTCCCCATCAAGGCTCATCGTTGTCAACTGCGGGAGCTCTCCTGAGCAAGCTGACCGGCTTCCTCGGCTCCAATACGGCTTTACTTCTATCCCTACAGAGCAATCAAAGCCAACTATCTGACCTGGAAGTTAAGTTCCGGCGTGTCGCTGCCGATAAGCAGATTAAATCGTTTTATGAGACAAAGTCTACGTTTTGCTGCGGACTTTCTATTGGCCTTGTAAGTCTGGCTAGCCTTCTACGTCGAATATCATCTGATTTCTAAGCAGATCGTCAATAGAGACTCAGCTACAGGCTATTCAAAAGATCCCGTCGCTATAGACACCAATCATGCTGGGTTGAACAAATTCAGCAGCCGTGAGAATTCTGGATTTCAAGCACTCGAGGCCGCTATTAACAAAATCCGAGCTACGCCCCTGATCGAGCTAGCAGACAACTTTTTGCTTGAGAAGCACTACACCAGCGAGAAGCTCAAGATCAAGCGGCTATCGGGACAAGAATTATCAATGGACCAATGCTATATCAATCTCGCCATCGTGGAGCAGGTCCAGAAGAACATGCCCTCGCGAGACGAGGAAGCGAAAGACTCGGCGCTGAAGTCCTCGCCATTCTCGCTTCTTGCGCGACTGAGGGTTGAGACGCCAGCAGAGCATGTTCAAATCCAATTGAAAGACATTTTCAGCCAACGCAAAACATCCGGCGGGACAGAAATCTCACCCAGGAGGGTCTTGATTCGTGGACGCGCTGGGGTGGGCAAGACCACCCTCTGCAAGAAGATGGTGCACGATTTCGTCACCAGCGGTATGTGGCGCGACTTGTTCGACCGCGTGCTCTGGGTCCCTTTCAGGAACTTAAAGGAGCGACCAGCCTCTGGATATAACCTCGAGAGGTTATTCTTTGACGAGTTCTTTCGGCCTCAGCGAGATAAGTCAGGCAAGCTCTTCGCTGAGGAGACCAGCAAGGCGCTCATGGACAATCGAACGCTGTTTGTCCTTGACGGCTGGGATGAAGTGGATCGCCTTGCTAACTCCAACTCTGACATGTCCGGTTTTCTACGAGACTTAATCCGTCAGCCTAACGTCATCATCACGTCGCGGCCCTCTGCTAGTGTTCCTGTTCCGGACCAGCAGCCAATTGATCTGGAATTAGAAACAATTGGATTCAACCCAACTCAAGTGGACGAGTATATCGAAAAGACGCACGCAGCAGCAGACACCAAGAAGGTGAACGAAATCAAGACTTTCCTCCAAAGCCACGAGCTCGTCAGAAGTCTCGTCCGAATACCAATACAGCTGGACGCTCTCTGTTATAGCTGGAACGATTTCAACCGGGACCATGGAAATACGCTGGAGACTATGTCCACGCTATATCAGGCCATTGAAACAAATTTGTGGAAGAAAGACATCCCGCGGCTTGGTGAAGCAGATGCTTTAAGGAAGTTTCAACAGTCCGATTTGCATACCACGGACCAATATTATATTGAAACACATGTTGAGGGCGAGCTTCATTTTCTTGAGCGTCTTGCTTTTGCCGGTTTAGCTGAAGACATCATCGAATTCCAAACCTCGCATCGGAACACCATCAATAGATATTCAAGACTTCCACTCGACCTAACACTACCATATCTTTCGTTCCTTCGGACCTCAGACACAACACAGCACACCCACCAAAGCTATCATTTTATTCATTTGACCTTCCAAGAATATTTCGCCGCAAGATTCTTTGTGCGACACTGGAAGGATGACCAACCTTTCAAGCAGTACCTATTCAGACAACGGTGTGATGGGGATATAACTCCTATTGAGTTTCTCAAAAAGCATAAATACAACACACGGTACAACATCATGTGGCGTTTCGTGGCTGGGCTGCTGGACGTAGACGACAATGCGATTGGTTTCTTTGAGGAATTAGAGGCAGAGCTAATCGACCTTCTAGGGCCTACCCACCAGAGGCTGGTCATGCACTGTTTGAGCGAAACGATCCACTTGCGACCTGAGGTTCGAAAGCCTAGGGAAAAACGGCTTTTGCAGTCGGTGTTATTCGAGAGAGACTTCAGAAAATAGTCAAGCTTTATAAGAGAATCAGAGCTTCCAGAAGAGGTGTTGTATAGCGCATTAACTTCTTCTGGAAATCAAGAGGTTCTCTTGAATGGTTTGATGCATTCTTAAAGGGAGTTATCAGACAAAACCATGGCCGCCCTCGTGCGACTCTTCAAAGACGAGGATAGACACGTATAAAGGTCCGCCGCGGAAGCCCTAGGCAAGCAGTCGACGTTATCAGACACAACCATGGCCGCCCTCATGGAACTATTCAAGGACGAGGACAGCTCCATACGATTTTCCGCCGCTAAAGCCATAGGCAAGCAGTCGACGTTATCAGACACAACCATGGCCGCCCTCGTGGAACTCTTCAAGAACGAGGACCGCGACGTTCGAAAATCCGCCGCTAAAGCTATAGGTAAGCAGTCGACGTTATCAGACACAACTATGGTCGCCCTCGTGGGACTTTTCAAGGACGAGGACTGGGAGGTACGAGAATCCGCCGCTATAGCTATTAGCATGCAGTCGACGTTATCAGACACAATTATGGCCGCCCTCATAGGACTCTTTAAGGACGAGGACAGCTACGTACGATCTTATGCCGCTCAAGCTCTAGGCAAGCAGTCGACGTTATCAGACACAATTATGGCCGCCCTCGTCCTCTTCAAGGATGAGAACAGCTACGTACGAAAGTCCGCCGCTAAAACCATAGGCAACCAGTCGACGTTATCAGACAAGATACTAGATACACAAGGACTACCTATTCAGCCGGAGGTACATACCAGATTGGGAACATACGGTCTTCGTTTTTTTGAAGACGGGGAGCTTTTCTATGAATGTCTACTGCACCGAAGCTTTTGAGAGCACTTTAGTCTTCATGCTGACGAAACGCTTTGTGTTATTAACCAGGCTTCTGGACTCAGAACGGCGACATTACAAGATCAACCTCAATTTCAGGATACAATCGGGAGAGCGCAAAGCAAGCTACAGTTGGCCTATCCTTCAGGTCTCTAGATTGCTTTTGGCAGATAGAGGAATACAAAGATTCAGGACTTAACTGAACACTAAGAAGGCAATCTGTCAGATTGGGTGTAATCTTGTATTGTATTGTTCAAGTTCTGTTCTGGCGCACGCGCGCCCCTGAAGGAGGTTGGTCCGCCACGTCACGTGTAAGCCACTAACTCCGAAATATCATGCTAACGCCGCAGTGTCCAAAACCGTCTTCCACGGCCAATTCGACACAATCTTCTTGTAGTTAGGGGAGAGCTAGGAGAGCACTGTCACGAGCTAGAGCCCGGCCGAGATCTCCGGCCTTGCCGGAGTAGCTACCGAGATCCGGCTCCACTGGACCCACTACCCTGCCGTAGCACACCGCCTAGCCCGGTATGCTTCACCGCCGCTAGGCGCCCATTCCTGTAAAGTTCTTTTCCTCTTCAGCTTAGAATAGTCAATCGACGGCACCCATACTGTTGAACAAACACTGGGCCAGCCCCTTACACTTAGGTCCTCTATAGATACCTATTGCAAGAGGTATTTTAAAATCCAGTCCTACCACTACAAACAATTAAATGACCGGGCACGCCTATTATGACCGACATGCCTTAGATCTGTTGTTGAGGCAGGTGTGATATAGTACTGGTGAAGACTCGTTTGGCTCTTTCAGACCATCATCAGATTGCTCGCCGAAGTGTTCACAGAATATCAAGGGGCAACTTGGTGAGTGTCATTGTGGCTGGGATATGAGGCTTAGGAGGGCTGCTGATTTGCGACGGCAATAGCGCTAACCTGATACGGCCTGAAAGCCTCCTTCTCCACCCCCAGTCAACAAGCGAACAAGACGAGGCTGGGCCCAAGCCAATCACACACATCTAAGATCATCCACCTAGTTTTTCCCTAGAAACTCCAGTCTCCCAGTCCATAACCTCAATTGCCACTTTTTTTTTCCAATTGCATAATCACCTCACAGCGTTCTCCCGCCTCAAAGGTCCTGTCATAGAAAATTTCAATGGGGAAGATGATCCACAAGGCCACTACTGCTTAGATGTTGCAAAATAGTACTAACCACCCACACACAAATAACCCCACTTATTCAGGTACCTCAAAACCTTAGGTCCCAAAGTTGGGCCGACGTTTTACCGATGCTTGTGGAGCAGGCTAGCTGATCGACAAAGAATCTCCACACCATCTCGCGTTGATTGCTATCAAACAATCAGCGTAAGGCTCTTAGCATCCTTTAACTCTCTTTCTCTTAATCACTATGGAGGCTGAACTTGCCAGACTACGTCAGCAACTTGGTGAAGAGCAACGACGACGTGAAGAAGCTGATCGCCGACGCGAGGAAGCTGAAGAACTCACAAAAGCATCACAACCACAAACACTCCAAGCCTATCTTGAGGCTTGTCACTCGCTCAGCCTCGCCATTCAGATCGTCACTGACCGCTCCCTGACCACACAAGGCGACACAACAAACCCAACCGGTCGAATTTTCCCTCAACGAATTATCCCGTGGGATGACTTTCCAACAGCCCAAGAGGGGATCTGGGCCCAGCTCCCGCCTGGAGGCTCTTTCTCCTCCCAGCCCCTCTTTCCATCCCAGCATCAACTTGACTATGTCATGTCCCTGATCAGGCCAATCAGCAGCGAAATTGGGCTACGGAACTTCGAGCGCGATACTGTTGAAAACACGGTGCAGAAGCTCATCGACGAGGCCTACAACAACCCGCAACTGCGCAACGATCTCGGCCTACAGGGAACCGTGACGTTCGAGAGCCATACGAACCTTGTCGAGACCGACGACAGCCTATCCGAGCACTTGGATCGCATGTCTATCGAAAGGAACGACATTGGCCAACCGCCGCCAGCTTCGAGGCCACCGAGCCGTAAGCCACGGCGTAAGACGAGGGGGAAGGGCAATCGAGCGGACCAGTTCTGCATATATCGTACCTCCAACGGCCGCAACATCCCTGCCGTAGCGATCGAGTACAAGGCGCCGCATAAGCTGGGGCGCGACGAGGTTATTACTGGTCTGGCGTCCGAGATTCAACCGGAACGAGATGTCATCAACAAGGACGGCTCCGGGTTCGCATCCGCGTCAAGGGCGCTAACTTCCGCCGTCGTTACTCAGCTCTTTTCCTATATGATTGGCAAGGGCATCCGGTACGGATATGTGTGCACAGGAGAGGTCTTGGTCTTCCTCTATATTCCGGATGACCCTAGCACCGTTTACTACCACGTGTGCGTGCCGAACCTGGACGTCCTGGACGACGACGAGAATAGGCTTCATCGCACAGCCGTTGCGCAGGTCTTTGCCTTCATCATGCAGGCCCTCCGTGCTGAACCGCCTCCCCCGTCCTGGCACGACGCAGCTGCAGCCCTCGATACCTGGGCTGTAGAATACGACGATGTGCTAAGAAATATTCCCGAATCCGTGCGCAAGGAAGCCCGCTCCTCTCCCTACAAACCACAACGGTGGAAAGGTTTCAAGCGCTCGCCAATTCAGACACGCTCTCGCTGTAAGCAACCTGATACCGACGCAAGTGGCCGAGACACTAGCGATGATGACGAAGAAGATACCCAGCCTTCACCAACTCCGCATCGATCTAGCAACAAGGCTGCGATTACACTATCAACCGGGGGACGGTCGGTCAGGGAACGGGGCCAACTACAAGACTGGCAGGGAGGCCGAACGAAGCAATACAGGATACAGGACCGCCCATTCTGCACTTCCGAATGCCTCCGAGGATTGGCGTATGGAGGGGCAATAGATAAGACCTGCCCCAATGTCAAAGATCACAGACACCGACATATGGAGCGAGGGCAATTCCTTCGGCTCATTCGTACTCAGCTCGCTGAAGATCGCGGCCGCGACGCAGACGCCACACCACTCTACCTAGCTGGTCGGATTGGAGCGCTCTTCAAGGTGCGGTTGTCGTCCTATGGCTACACCCTTGTTGCCAAAGGTGTGGAGACCGTTGATCTCGGCCGCCTTCAGCATGAGGATAACATCTACAATCAACTACAGCCCATCCAGGGCACACAAGTACCTGTATGCCTCGGCAGGGTAGATCTGGTCCTACCGTACTACTACGATAGTGGCGTCTTTGAGCACTTTTTGTTTCTCAGCTGGGCTGGACTGCCTCTATTCGAGACCATCCAACAAACTACCAAGGCTGATATCATCAACAAGGTTGCCACAGCTTACAAGGCAATCCACAGGCTGCACATCCTTCACAGAGACGCAGAGCCGCGTAATATTGTGTATGAAGAAGCAAGTGGCAAGGTTATGATTGTGGATTTCGAGCGAGCAGAGTTCCGCGGTCGTCAACCTCTCGGCTCACTCAGCCCTAATGCTTGGAATCAGAGGAAGCGAGGGGGGACAAAGAAGCAAGGAAAGGATGACTTTGCAAGAGAGCAGGAATCTGCTATACAAAGCGTTCTAAGGCTGAAAGAACCTAGGTAACCTACCTACCTGACGGTTGTAGTGGGCATAGTAGTGTAGCAAAGACAATGGTATCAATCAATACATGCATCTATGGGAAGTCGCCAGGCAATTATGTTTCTTCTTGTTCTTAATAATGAACAGCAACTTGTGGTCTTAGCCTATTGCGTGTTGCCTGGCTGCTTTCCAATCTACTAGTGGCTTCTTTTACCCCCATGAGGGAGAAGGCAGCCTCACCCTCGTCGTTCTTTCCTCTCTAACTAGGTTGCTCCTTCTCTATCAAGAGTGCAGGCTCCCCTTTTGCTATAGTTCAGTATCTAGCGCCTTCTCAGATCTTTTCTCTCCCTCCTATTTAACTATCTCCAATAGGGAAGAAAAACCATTCTTGCACTTTCTTCCCTGCACCTCACGATTATTTCCTCCGCCCAGACTGAACGTCTTTTCTCTCCTTCACACCCACCAACCAACTGCTCTTAACCGCTAGTGGAGCATCCAAAGGCACAGCTCCTTCCTCAACAACCATCAGCCGTATCTCTGGCAAGATGTCGGCTGCTACTACCGCAAATCCCAAGCTGGTGGCTAACCAGAAGTCGCCCCGGGAGACGATATTTTGTGCTATCCGACCTATGTTGGTCAAGCCTGGAATTCTTCCCCATGACGACCCCGACCACAAAACGCTCAGGACCTTCATCGATTTCCTTGACACCACCGCTACTGAGAAGGAGCAACGTCTAAAGGTCTCTCCTTTCAGGGCAGTGGGCAACACCTTCAACTTTAGTGACCCTGCCAAGTGCCACCTCCCCACTATCTGGCAGTTCGCCAACCACACAGACCTCGCCCGCCTCTATGACGCCGTTTTCCGCAGCAATAAACAGCCCGACTTCATCAAGGCCGCCAACCTCCAGATCTACATCTGGTTCCCCCAGCAAGGACCTCAGCTATCTAAACAGCCTGACACTTGCCACCTGATTGACATCCGGAACTTCACCCTCTATGACTGGTGTGGCTGTCTCCCCCGCGACAACCCGAAGGTATGAATGGTTGAAACACCTCCCCACAAATCGTCACTAACACCCAATTTCTATGTGACAGACAAGCCGTATCTTGGTCCTGACGACGGACCGCATGCACGAGGACTGCCCGCACTGGTCCAGGTACCCTGCCGCAGACGTCAAGACCGCACCCGGCAGCCACGCAGCGGCTCCCCGTGGGCCCCTTCCCACCCGGCTTGGCGTCATCACACGCCACTTCCCTCATGGTGTGCCATACCCACCACCCCAGGAGGACGAGAACCCCAACGTTGTTCCTCGCCATATCTACGGTGGCATCCACTTGAACATTAGTCACGAACTGGCACTGCCGCCTTCAGGCATCCTGTCGAATGGCCAGCCCGTGTGGTGACTGTGGTCCGGGTCTCCCATCGTCCCCAGGGAGGTCTATCTTGGTTCATCGAGTTCTGGCAGCCGGCCCGGGTAATCGCCAAGCTAGGATCACCATCATCTAGTCTTGCCGATCAATTCAGTCCAGAGGGGCAGCGTACAGACAACCTGATGCCTCAGCAGCCTTAGGGTTAAAGACAAGGTAGAGGGCAACGGGGAATCATCACATGTGTATGACGCATAAATGGCGAGGAAACTCTGAGAACATGGCGAATACAATAGGAGGGAATCGCGCGTATGTATTACAGGACAACAGACTAAAGCTTAAGAGAGATCGCTTTATTAATAATTATAATAACTTGTCTTTAAATGCCTTTCAGCTTCTTAGAAGGAAATGAGACTCAAACTTAAAGAGCAGTTTATTAACTATAGATAACTCCTCAAACTAAATATAGCTACCCTAAGGTAGAGGAAGTTTAAGCTTATTTCTAGAACCTTCTAAAAAGTTTATAAATTTAGTTATAAATTCTAGAAATTTCAGTAGTTAATAAGTCTAAATTGTAAGTTCTATAGAATATATAAGGAATATGTCCCCTAGAACCCTCATCTTGTAAAGCTAGAAAAAAGAAAAGTTTGCTTAAGTTGCTTTATAGCAGTCCTAGAGACAGCCGTAGGAAGATAACCCTCCCAGAATTACATCCAATTGCTATTTTAGATCCTACTATAGCGGAGCAACTGGGGCGAAACTCAACTGGCAGCCATAAAATTTTCTCATCGTGAGAAGTTATCCAACAGCGATCTGTGCTAATGCTAACGCCCTTTCTTTTAGCGACACTAGATTGATGTGGAGTGTGCAAAACCGTCGGAGTGACCTTTAAAGCTGAATTGCTAATGGCAATAGAGCCTATATCAGTGATGACGTGAGTATCATCAACTTCAAACGATAAGCGATGGGATACCGTTCCAATCTCAGTTTGTTGGACGCAGTCGCCCGTATCGGTGCGCCAGAGCCGGACCGTCTTATCGTATGAAGCGGATGCCACAAGGGCCGAGTCGTGCGAGAAGGCCACCGAGTTGACGGAGTGGCTATGGCCCTTGAGTTCCTGGACGCAGTCGCCCGTATCGGTGCGCCAGAGCCGGACCGTCTCGTCCCCGGAAGCCGATGCCACAAGGGCTGAGTCGTGCGAGAAGGCCACCGAGAAGACGGAGTCGCTATGGCCCTTGAGTTCCTGGACGCAGTCGCCCGTATCGGTGCGCCAGAGCCGGACCGTCTCGTCCCCGGAAGCCGATGCCACAAGGGCCGAGTCGTGCGAGAAGGCCACCGAGAAGACGGAGTCGCTATGGCCCTTGAGTTCCTGGACGCAGTCGCCCGTATCGGTGCGCCAGAGCCGGACCGTCTCGTCCCCGGAAGCCGATGCCACAAGGGCTGAGTCGTGCGAGAAGGCCACCGAGTTGACGGAGCCGTTATGGCCCTCGAGCTTCTGGAGGCACTGGTCCCAGTTGGTCTCGGCCTCTGGTCGGAGCGCTAGCCAGGCAGGAATGTCGCTCTCAAACGTCTGACAAACTATGCTCTTCTGAGGTGCAAAGGCGAGCGCAGAAGAGTACAGTTGAAGGGGCGCAGTATTAATAATTAACATATTCGAGCGAACAAATCTAACTGCATCGTTGGCAAACATTGCTAGACTTTTGTCCTATAATGGATGTTAGAGTAGTTGCTCCTAAGCTTGAACCTAAGAGAACTCATACTTGGAACTTGGCCGCTAAGGCCTGGAGCATGGACAGACTTTCAGAAGCCCTGCCCATAAGACTAAGCGCTTCCAGCCAGTGCAAGAAGTGGCAAGACAGAAAGCTGTAGACAAGACCAGGTAGTTCTCCCTCACTTTCAGCTTGCTGAACTTGCTGTAGGTGGTTTACCCAATAAAGACAGGCATACTGGACCGCTGGAGGTAAGCATCTATCGACTGCGCGCGGTTGGATAGTGGACCGCAGAGTCCCAGGGGCTGTAACGCCGCAAACATCCTGACGTAGACATTCTTGCATGACCACTAGGCATCTTTTAGCGAGATGACTATTAGTCTGCTTTTCATCAATCCAGAAAGGGTTCTTGTCTCGTTGGGTGGTGTCTAGCAAGAAGTCTCGAAAGGAAAGGTGGAGAAGTCTCACGGGAGACGTTAAGTCTTTGGGGATATTCAACACAGAATGGAGCATGTCGAGCCTACCATCAATGAGTTGCCTAGGCATATCTAAGAGATGGCCCAGAGCTGTAGTTGAAAGAGGACTTGAGAGAATGATAATAGTGCCGACAATATGACGGAAGTGTTTGACTGATTTGTCTTTCTCCGCCTCAGACAGGTTGGCAAGCTGTTGGTTCAAGGCTGGCTGATATGTGAACTTGAACTTGGAGGCTAAATCGATGTCCCTTGATGAGACTTTCGCCTGGTAGTCTAGGACTTGGCGTAGTTGATACTCTGGGCCCCCAAATCCACGTTGATTGAGAAAACGACATGTTGTTGCCGCAAAGATGAAAAGCGGGATAGCCATATTGACTAGGGTTTGGATTTGGTTTTGCCCTGGCCAGCTGTCAGGTAGCTGTCGTTCCTCTGGAACTGAGTTGTTGTAGGTTGTTCTGATCTCTTGAAGCTCGTATTCTAGAAATGCCTGAATGTCTTGCTTGATGATACACTCGGGGATCTCATGAAGAATTAGGTTATGATAAGTGCCCTTTACTTCGTTGAACCCTAGCCGAATGGGCAACTCTGGTCTGCTGGTGAGGAAGACTTTTAGTCTTGGGGATTGTAGGGTCCTGACGCGAGAGAAAAGTTTGATGACGAGTCGTATGTCGTTGTCCCGCTCACACTCATCGAGGGCATCAACAATGATGACAATTGGGCGGCCTTTATAACCCTCTGCTTGTATCTCCGATAAAGGCTTGAGGATGAGCTTTTCGAATTGTTCTCGTAAGGCTTTAGCAAATATGGTTGAGTCGGTATCAATGGTCTCTTTTATGCGAGACGCTAGCGCGGGGAGAGTCTTTACTAGCTGCGAAGCTATTGTCGGAAAGAACTTGGACATGCTCCCTCGATCAGCCTCGCCTCTCTTAAAGAAGAAACTAGCGCCAAGTCGGTTTGTTCCAGCTAAGGAGTGGGCAACAGTGCGAGAGATTGTCGACTTCCCCGTGCCTGCCATGCCATTCAGCCAAAAGATCGGCTTAGTGTCGGCATCAACCCATTCATTGATCTGCTCCAAAAGCTCAACCCGTGTAGTAGGTAGGCAGGTTGCATTGTGTTCTTCGGCATAGGAATCAAACGATGCGTTGTGGGCAGTCGGCATCTTATCGAGGACCAACTTCTGGTCGAGACTAAGAAGAATCGATCTGGGCATTATTCAATTAGCTTGAGAAGGTAGAGTGGGAGGAATCTCGGCGACATACGTCTGGTCAACCTGTAGACCTATTGAGATGGTTTGTGTGCACCGCGCTATTTCTTGTACAATCTTTTCGACGTCCTTGCTCTGGAAGGGCCATTTCAAAGCTCGCAGTCCTAGCCGGCTCATGGCCTTGCGAGTGCTGCGAGGTTGAAGGTCGGCCTCAAGTCGTTCAAGTCGCGATTCAGCTGCCTTAACGGCACCAAGAAGTTGGTGCGATGTTTCGAGTTTGGCGCCATAGGGACCTTCGAGAAGGCGTGAAGCCCCCTCTGCGGTGACCTTAAGGTTGTTGAGCTCCTGGGTGACCCGCACGATATCGTCACTCGCATTTTTGACGCCTTTTGAATACTGAAGGCATATCGAAGCGACCTTGACAGATAGTTCAACAACGGCAATAACGTTGGCTGCAATTCCGAGGCCATCCATTGCTGTGGACAGCCGGTTGTAGTGTACTGATGGCAGGAGAAAGAGAGGACTCCGATGGGAGAGGATGGTAAGATGGAGCCATTGTGTTGTTGGGCAGCGACAAGGCTGTCAGTTTTCATGCAGAGCTGACCATATGCGACTTGCCTGCAGGAAGCAGGTCTTGGTAAGGCGGTAGGCATACAGGCAGCTTTTGATTGATTGAAGTTCCGTCTCTACCCCGCGTCCAACGTCCAACGTCCAACGTCGAAGTTCGCTTACTAACAAGTGTGTCACGTGATTGTGAGACAAGCACTGCCACATGCACCCCTTTTCGCAGCCACACTAGCATTTGTACTATGCCTCGTCAACAACTTCAGTATGAGGTCCCGCACGGTGATTAGACCGAGGCGGGAAGCATTACGCAGCAATAATTAATAATTTGAAAAAAGCAACAGTACTGCATGTATTCATGTGTATATACACGCTATCAAATAGCAGAGGCAGGCATGCTAATAAGCTCTCTTTAACTTGATTTGCGTGACAATGCGCCCGTGGTCAGCTCTTTATCAACAATCAAAACGTTCAGCATAATTTTCATTTCCACAATGCACGCCACTTAAGATCTCACTATCTAACCGCGCCGGCTATGATCTCTAAATTGCCCCGCTCTTAATCTCAGGGCAGCGGCCTTTCAATCATAAGCATAACTTAGTCCTGACGACCTAAATCCCGTCTTTGCTTAACTGTAGGGACTAAAGGCACCCAGCTATCAACACCTTCCACTCTCACTAACCTCTTGCACACCTACAAATCACCCAGCCTAGTATGAGTCTTGCTGTAGTAGTACCACTGCATTACATGCGAAACTGTAACGATATTCTTGGGACGACACCTATTACGGTAAATAACAGTTGAGATAATCTCGAAGAGGGTTCTTGTTGCTTTGAAGTTGGGACGATGCCAACACTGCTCGGAAACCGCAGCGAGCTAGTCCGAATCCGGGGTGATCCACCAAATCGCCCCACGTCAGTGGACACGTTTCTGTCTCAACTGACGAGATCTAGGGTTCTTCCGCTTGTTGCCGCCGCCCTAACAACCCGTTCTCATTACGCAAGCCCAGTGTTGTACATTATCCAGCTGTAGAGCTCACCTTTACAGCAAGCCCCTCGACGCAGGGGCATCTTATAAGGCATCATAAATTGAATACCACAAGTTTACCGAGCTGGACGCCGACGAGCTCGCGAGATAGCGTTTCGAGACCCTGCCTCTTCCGTATCCTTGTAGCAATCCCCATAACAACTCTAGCTGTGATTTCTTGCCTGTCTTGCTGGTCTGTGTTAATGGCTTATCTCGCTGATAAATAAGCGGGGCCACTTTGTGCCGCAGGCGCTTGGTTTCTAGCTTGCCTTGCTGGTCTATCTCACTGGCTAGATCTTCTGGCCTCTCGTGCGGCCCTCAGCATTCCGCTTCATTGGCCACCAAAAGGGTTCTATTCAATTCATATTGCTTGCGACACAAAACAGGTTTCCATCGCTGCTTAGCGCAGCTTTCTTAAACCTATATACCTCTAACATCCATCTCCAGTTCAGATCCTTCTTGAAGCGCATACCTTTCTTTACAAAGTCTTAAGGCTATATTATAATCCCTCTCCCTCTCAGCTTCTTTATTCCGGTCCCAAAGCTGGCTGATCTCCCTCTGTGACGGCTCGAGGATGCGAACGAGCTCTCACGTTAGCTCGCCGGCAGTAGAGCTGACCGGTATATCTTTCCGTTCGTCCAGAACTTCACGCTATGTCTGGAACACAGCAGGTCCATTTTCGGTATACCTGGCTATAGGGGCATCGACGACTTGCAAGACGGGCCTTCTGCCGCCGTCCAATTGCATGCCACGGCTGCCTCAGCGACACATTTCGCCCCAGAATTGGGGGCCATGAACCAGCTCCCGCTGCCTGTGGCAAGCATTGCCGTGATGGATTGTCCCGGGTAGGAAGGCCTGCTCTTGGAGCACATTTATATTGGTGCGGGAAGCATCGTCGAATCCAGGTGTGTCGACCAGATGGACACGCCGACCGTCCTTCTGCTCGTAGCTGTAGATCCTGGAGGCTATGGCCGAGAGGACGAGGCAAATTAACAGCGGAGGGTTACGAGGAAAGGTTTTCGAGACATCTACACTATATTTCCCGCAGTCGTCAATATATGTCGCGGAGGTGAAGAGTCACTCACGAGGATCATATGTAGCTGATAAATAGAGTTTCTGCTGCGTCACAGGCCCGGAGGCCTGGAGACACGCCGCTGCCGAAATGCCGTTTACCAGTAACAGCCACATGCCAGCTATACGTTATAACGGCATGGAGACAATCGTAGGGCGACTTTTTCAAACCCTCGACCACTTGGACTCCGGTTGCCATCTAGGGCACGTTTCGGAGGCTCTAATGCGTGTCGCAGGGTGAACATGAGATGTGATGCCATGGTGACGATGGGAAAGTCAGGGATTCTCCTTTCGCTCAACCTGGAGGTTGAGGCCAAGACAAATTAACGTCTTCAACATGGAGTTGCCGCCCAGAACTCACAGCATTCATGAAGAATCAGTCACGAGGAACATACAGTTGACTAAACAGGATCTCCTTATTCAATCTTCGTATACTATACTTCTAAGCTAAAATCGTGATGTACAGCACACTTGGGTTTATTCTTAAGAACAGCTGCGGTCATTGAACGTTGCCTCTTGCCCACCACAATCTTCATTGCTTTGGTTTGCATCTGCAGCCTTGCCAGGCGTGCATATCACCGGCAATGGGTATTGTTGCCGCTTGTCCAGTTAGCCGGACTCTCGCAAAGACAGCATAGTTGTGGCCTACCAAGGATGCCTAGCTTCGAGGTAAGGTCTTATCAGACGGATTACTAGTATATATCCAGATGCGGCCCTTTCTCTCAATAAAGGTGTACACTTTTGCGTCGCAGTCTTGGAAAATACGATTGGCTTTCTGGAAAAGTGCCTTTTTGCGATGTGAAAACAGCGTTCCCTTTCTTTTGCTCTCTTTCTGGAGGCTGTCGGGACCTGGCATACATTTGACGGTTACTCTGTGGGAAGTGGCAGGGTTCATTTTTCCAATGTGCAAGAAATAAGCCTCGTCGGTATCAAGACACAATAATTTCGCTTTGCTAGGTATTATACTTCCAAAAGTTGAATAAGCGCGTAGCGCTTTTCAATTCTAAGATTTTGTTTCCTTGAAACTTACCTTGGCGCATAACTGAAGCGCCGGACCAGTCGGCCGTCTTTGGCCTTGTGGTGGCGGGGAATCTCCGCCGGCCGGACCGGCTACGACCCATAAACGCCGATGAAGCTGGCTGGTGGGTCACCGAAGCGTTGAACATCTGGCTCATGCGACGCCAGAGAAATGAAAACTTCATTGTATCTGTTTTGATGGCCAGAAGAAGGCTGCTCTGCTAGATGAATCAACTCAAATGCAATCAGGCACCCAGAGATGCTTGAAGGTCTGGCGAGCATGCGGTCCTTGCAATTATAGCGACTCGCCGCTGTAGGTGTGATGGTGGTAACCTGGAAGGCAGTCTGCTCGTGGCAACGGACTCACCTACCTTAGGTACTCTATGAACACCGGAACTTACCTAGGCACACTTAGCTGTGCTTACAGAGGGTCTGGTGAGCTCGGGCGCCGGAGCCAGAGTGGGAGTACACACTAAATTTTGCTCGAGTTCAGGCCTGGCGTAGCGTGCTGTGGATGGGCATTGCCCCCGGAAAGCTGTCACCTTGGTTTAGCCATCCTCCTGACACTGGCATGGTCTACCCTGTGCTGGGAGGTGAACGGTCGCGGCGTCATTAGGTCACCTAGCTGAGGCAATCTGCGGGTTTTACCGCGGTAAACTAAAATTAGAGAACCGAGTGTTGAAAACTGAAAAACAAGGAAGTGAAAAGGGGTAATGAGGTGATGGTGGTGGCGTGTGGAACCGAGTGAGGGGAAGGGCGTGTCGCCGGAAAAAGGCAGGACTGACCGTTGCAAACGGAGCTGGAAAGGTCGATACGGTGATAGCCCAGTTCGGAATGTATTAAGGTTATTCCGTCCAAACGCTTGCTTTGGGACACCCATCGTCCGTTGGTTGAGGTAACATGCTTCAACCTCAATACGATGGCTGCCCATAGGTAAGAGTAGTGAGGGCCGGATCAGTAGTTGGGTCGGTGACGACCAGCGAATACCTGGTGTTGTATGTTTTTTGATATTTTTGCTGAATTGTGTGGGCCACGTGGGCACAGAAGCTCTTAGTCCATCCCACGATTCATGCTCATCGTCCCCGAGCCTCCCACAGTCTAGCACCCTCACGGTCCCCTCCATCGCCTCACTTGCCGCTTGAGATCTTGCTCGTCAGCGACGACCCGGTCAGCTCGCCGTTGTACACAGACATTTCGTCCGCAGTCCACGTACCAGGCGCAATGCTAGCCAGATCGCGCACCGGCATCTCCGCAAACAAATCGACGACGCTGCGGGTGGTCATCTTCATCCAGCCAAACCACAGCCCGGCTGCTGCTCTAACCCTCCCCCGGACCGCCGCGGCGCTGTCCGCCTCTGCGAAATCAGCCTCGACGCACTTGACCCAGAAGTAGGGGTCCCGGTCGACGCCCTCAAGCACCTCGGCGTCAGCAAGGAGGAACGCGCGCTGGTTAGGGCCGTAGTGCATGAGGGGCAGCGACTGGCTGTCATCGTTGTCATCGTCGTCACCGGGGCCGCGACTGGCCACCGCCGCCTGCTTGTAAATCTCGCGCACCTCGTCCATGGTCTTGTCCGCGAGCAGGGCGGCGTCGGAGCGGGCGTCGAGGACGAAGAGAGACTTGAGCTGTGCGGCGACGTCCTCCTCGCCGGCCTCAACGTAGCAGTCTATCTCGGAAGCAACCTGGGCCCGGATCTTGTCGAGGAGGGTGGGCCACTGCGCGTCGGTGGCCGGGCCGTAGGCGGTGCGGTAGATGGTGAAGCCCCAGCTGCGGTAGTACTCGCTCACGTCAACTCCGGCGGTCCACGAGGTGCCGTCCGGGGGGCGAAAAGCACTTTTGAAGATTGCTGGAAGCTTGGAAGTGGCCATGCTACGTGCGGGTGACTGCGACTGTGACTGATGTGTGTGTGCCAGGTGTGGGATGTGTTTGTTGTTGGTGAGCTGGATAAGGCTTAGCTAATAGTATTCTGGACTGCAGGTTCTCTCGTTCTAACCGATCATAGTAGCCTCAACATTATCTTCTGCGGCATCAGTTGTATGGGGCTGCAACCTCGCCAGCGGTGCATCCTACTGACGATATAATCGAAAATTAAAGTAAAGGATCTCTTATTAATATCTCTCGCTGTCAGCTCTCTCTACTAATCATCAGAACACAAGTTCAATGCCTCCTCGCTCAGTTGCGAGTCTGACATTTCATCTTCCCCTTCCATGGAACTTGGCTTGATGCAGAAGGAGACGTTGATCGCTTGCCAATGCTCAACAACCTCATAACACGTTGCCCCTCGAAGTGGGATATCGCTCTGTCCAAGCAGCTCGTACAGTTCGGTGGGCGTGAGATCAGTATTTTCATGCTCCCCGCGAAATTCCGGCGGCGATTCCAACGCCTCAAGAGTGGGGATCTCGAGCATATGAAGGCTTGTTGAGGGCCGCACTGCAAAAAGCTTCAGAGTTTCCATCACGCCCCCTTGGGCTTTGGCGTAGTTCAGCAGATGAGTAGGAATGCCCAAAGTTGTCGTGATAACCAGTCTCTCCCTCGGCCCGATGCCTTTGAATCCTTGTCCGCAGGGCCAGACTTGCTTGATACCGAACTCTGAGCAAAAGTCGATCAAGGAAAAGCCCATGTGAGATGCCGAGTTATTTCTTACAACCAGAAAGACGTCCTGCTCATGTACCACTGGGTACGGCCCGCCTGGAATACCAGCCTTCTGTGCCCCAGCCGAAGGTTCGGCGTCGGCCTCGTTTGGATCCGAAACCATCGTGACAGAGATCTGGTGATCAAGGGATGGTACAGAACTCTTCATATCTCTCATGAACCGAAATCTCGCGATATGGTCAAGCCGCCGTATCAGTAAAGTGATGCTTTTGGTGCTGTCCAACGAAATTGGTTTCAGGTTGTTATAAAATTCTTGCGCGAACTCGCCATCGTGGTCCTTGATCTCGAATGTCTTCGAAAGTGAGTTGGCTTGAATCGTGAACTTTGCGAGTCGTTGATCTGGTCCTTGGTCTGCCAATTGTAGCCACAGATTATTGCCGCGATGCGAATCCCATTGTTTTCTAAAGTCGGGCACTTCTTCCTCAACGGCTTTGGCAATATCAACCAGGACCTTCCTGTCCGTCGGCAGCTTTTGAAGAAAAGCTACGCATCCCGCCCTGATCTCGTCCCAGGCCTTCTCTTTGATCTGCCCGACCTGGACGAACTTTGCCTGAGACTCCAAGCCGGCACGTCCTGTGATTTGGACCCAGGCGAGAACTTTGGACTTGGTCACGGGCTGGCTGAGGTCGAAGGCCGGAGCTAGGATGGCGTAGATGGAGCCTATGAACACTCCTGCTGGGGTTGTGCCGGAAAGCACCAGAGAACTTCTTCTCGGACACTTCCTGTCCAAGTCGACGTCGACGACGCTGAGGCCGGAGCGAACCGACTCGCCGCGGAAGAAGTATCGATTTGTGTCGCCCATAAGAATCGGTTTCTGCAGCGAAAACCTTTGCATCTCCTTACAAACCCGGTCGTACAGAGTTTGCGATGTGATGTTTTCCGCCTTCAGATCGAGTGACTGCATCAGGCAGCTCGAAGCGCGCCGGAGGGTTTGCCCTTCCACGTTGTCTCATGAGCCAACTCCGAGTCCTGGCACGCAGCCACGACGACGCAGCCTTCGAGCCCTTCTAGCCAATGCCTGGACACCGAGGCCCTCTGTGTAATCTCGCTGATTGATGCGGGAATGTCTTTTTTGGCATCAGACTCGTACACCTTGGCAGTGCCGCGGACCAAGCCTTGATCACCGCGAACCGCTCCTCCAGAGTGACAGCAGTCGAGGACGACGGTCAAGATGAGGCCGTAGTCGACGAGTTTCTGAAGCAGAAGTCCGAATTCGAGGTCTCTTATGTAGTTCCCCCCGCGGAAGACGTCGACAGGTACCAGCACCTCATCCTCGATCGACCCGTTCTTCTCTTTTGCCTGCTTGAGGGTTGGGAACACCGTCTTTGCAACGGCGCCGTGCCCCGAGTAGTGGATGTAAACCACGTCGCCGGGATCTGCGACTGTCGGTGTACAGAGCTTGGTGAGGTGCTGCACGATGTTGGCTTGCGTCGGCTCATGCGCGAGAAGCCCTGCGTGTTCGGGGTTTCCTGGGAGCGGCGCAAGGAGCTTGGTGATGTTTGGTGCCTCGACCTCCAATTCGTCGACGAGGTACTTCTCTATAGCCAGTATGTCGTTGACACAGCCTTTGAGATCTTGATGCACCATCTCGTCTCCGCTGTCGTCGTATCTTCTCGTCGTGGTGGCCTTGTTGGGGTCATTGTAATAGTCAATACCAATGAGCAAGGCATGCTTCCTGGGTATCGGTGCCGACATGATGGGCTTGGATAGAAAGAGGGTGTTGAAAACAGTGAAGTGGTGAATGTAAGCCCCTATGGTTGAACGGGATTATCGCGCACGAAAGCTTTCTTGACGACTTTGATCTATCTTATGATTCAAAATTACATGACCTAGCCCAATATTCATTAGTGAAATCTACTGGGCGCTTGATGCAAATGTCTCCGAATGAGGGACTCTGACCATAGCCAGTCATTTGCTCAACACCACTCTATGAAGAATCGGCCTCGGCGGTTCCGATGAAGAGCGGCATTAATATGCAGCTTAGGCGCAGAAGTGATTATCCACTTCCACGAGAATTTCCTATTTAGGTATAAGACACCAAAATGCACTTCTCTGCGCAAAACAAGGTTCGTGACTGCAGTGATCCATCTACCTGTATTGCTGCCCAGTATCTCCACGTCCATGCAGGCCAATGGAATACAATATTAGTCGTCCTATGAGGTGGCCAAATACATGCCTGGTGCAAACACAAGCGGCCTTCGTTTTCTTAGATGCCGCTCGCCAGCACTTCTCCTGCTACTCAGCTCGGTAGTCCCATCACCAAACACCAAATGTCACGCAATCTGCGCTAAAAAACATGGCTCCTTCTACCCTTCTTCTAAACCATCTGATTCCTCGAGACAGCATTGAACTCGGGCGTCTCATCGTCGATCCCCAGTATCCCGCCCAAGATTATTTCCAACCGTCCCCTACAGTAGGCTTCGAAACTTCGTCCAACGCCACCGTCCAGCAGATCGAAGACTTCGAGGCAGTCCTAAGCCGCACCAATAATGCCAGAATCCAGGCGAAAATCCTCAGTCTCGTTACTCTCGGCCCCATCTCGCACAGTCGGACCTCCTCGACAACGGTCAAGGCTCGAACGTGTGTGACACGGTTGCTGGAAAACCCACGGGACTTTCTGCGGGATTTATGTCGCGACGAGGTGGCCCGAACCTGGCTGGAATCGGAGTTTCAGAGGCAGCCCCGGACGCTCATGTCGGGCGGATGGCGCGGCAGAAGCGTCTACCTGGTGTGCGGTTTTAAATCACTCACGGATGCCCGGGTCAGCCAAACGCGAGGCGTGGAGAACGGGACAGACATCGCGGCCGCTGCTCCGCTTCCCATCTCTCCCGTACCGGGGGTCGGTCTGGATATCGAGGCCGGCGTGGGATTCACCAAGGCGAGCAGTGCCAGCTCCGAGTTCACGACCTCTGGGGAACACGTGTACGCGGTGCAATATAGAAAGTTACGCTTTTCGGCCTTCTCCAGCCGCAACGTCGACAACACATTCCTAGAAAGCAAGAACAGGTGGAAAGTTTTGATCGATGTCAGAGGAGGCGGCAATGAAACAGCGGTGGAAGACGGACTCGAAGTGGACGTCGACGAACCGCTCGGAGAGAGGGATATGAGAGGCCCGTACGTCAGACTCGATGCAGACCAAGACGAGGTTTTCTACTGGGAGGATGACGAAGCAGAAGATGATATTGAGACATACTAGAGAAACTACTTGGTTCACGGGCCGAAATGTACATACGGAACCCAGTAAAACTTGTAAGCAGTCTCTTTCGCCCCTCCCACGGGAGCGCCGTAGTCCTTACACACAGCGTACCTGTCCGTCCTCGTGACACTGGAAGTCTGTTTACCGCCCTCATCTCGCTTGATCAAAGTTGATCTGAGGCTTCGCAGAGCCCGGTGAAGTGATTTGCAAACAGCTTCATCCCCCGCCTGTCCGTGAAGAAGAGTCTCGTAGATCTCGGCTGCTACAGGCACGCAATGTCGGTCGGAAACTTGCCACAGAGTTCCTATCACGTGCCGAAAGCCGGCCAACTGGAATCCACTTATCAGATGGATTCCTTCATCCACGAGCCCATCAGCTCTATTGGCCCCAGTAGAGCATGCGGAGAGGTAGGCGAGAAAGAGGGAATTCTGCGGAAGGTGGCTGTTACGGAGATCTCCGACGCTGAGAGGCTTGTCATTAAGATGGAGCGAGCTCTGAGACGGGTCTTTGGAGTTCGTCTGTCCGTGGCCGGCAAAATGGAAAATCCTGCAAGATCGAAGAGATTCGAGAACAGCTTCTTGTTTGGGAACTTCCGGCCGCACGACATCCAAACCGATGGACTCGCAGATCTGACTGACTTTGTCGACTTCCTGAGTAGCGAATTTCAGGTCTTCCATTCCCGGAGTCTTCTTCATTGGGACGAGAAGAGCGTGCCCCGGCTGATCTCTCACGCCATCCTCAACATCATGCCGCCTGCTATACGAAAACGAGGTCGCAGAGGTGCAGTACGAAGACATGGCTCTGTCCAGCACGGTGTCTTTGGAACCATCATCGTGATAGCCTGCCGCGTGCAGTGGGAGGTGCACGAGCGGGCCGGTGGGAACCCACCAGATCCGAGGCCACTTCTCTCCGGGGGAATCTCGAAGGCCCAACGCGTTCAGGACGGGCCCTGCTGCCACATCCCAAAGCCACTCTAGCAACTGCGAGGAGCAAGCGGTTGGCGACTTGGCGAGGTTTGCGGCGTGTTTCTCGGCATCCTCGTAGGTCAGACGAGGCAGGCTCAAAACCTTCAGCCCGTCGGAGGTGATGAGAAACGCGTCACAGCGGAGCTGAGACACGTTCAATATGACCATCGACCCGTCTCCGACAGCACTCTTGAGCTCGTCAACTGGCGGTGGTAGCAGAAAGAACTCGAAGCCGTCCTTCTCCCGGATCGCTTGCACGAGCACACGGAAGCGTTGCTCGGCATCAGCGCGCCGCTTATCTTCCGTCAAAAGAGGTAATTTTTTGGCACTTTCAGACGTGTTCGGGTTTAGTTCTTTGCGAAGCTGTTCAAACTCGCTTGCTAGTTGAGGATGCAGCTGCTTGAGCTCAGAGGTATCTGTGCGAAGCTGCAACACGAGGTTCGCCATGACTCCACGACCGATTTCGAGCAAGTTCAGCGCCTTGGAAGGCTCACGCCCTGCTTCGAGAGCGACAGCAGCCGCCGCCGATGCGAGTCCGGCGAAGTTCCGCAGCGTGTGCTGTCTGTCCTCGTCGTCTATCGATCGCGGGCTGATCATGGGAAGCATCTCCACGGCACTCGTGAGACATTCGCTCGCCTTCTCCAAGTCTCTCGGATACGCAAATGTGTAGAACTTGGCTGCTTCGCGAGCCCCGGTGATACGCTCGAGGAGATGCGAGCCGCTCGCGTGCCAAGCCTTCTCGTAAAAGAAGACGGCATCGTCGGAATCCTTCAACTCGGCTGACCGGCAGTGCCTGTTCTCATAGGCCCGCCCCGTGTACATGGCAAACCTGGCCGTATGAAGATGATTCTCCGGTAATCCGTCCACGGCCTTGCGATAGAACTCGATGGACTTGTCCAGATCGGATATGTTGGCTCTTTGAAGTCTTTCCTCTTGTCCGATCATTAGGAAGTCCACGAGCTTCGTCGTGTCGTCCAGCAGATCTGTGGGAACTCGCGTCTTCTCGAGACCGTTGTGGGCCTCGTACTTGGCCCAATACTTGTTGGCAAGATTGAACTGGTAGCTGGGTCGATGCGGATCCTTGTCGGTCATCTGGCCGATGGCCTTCTCCGTCAAGTCGATGGCCAGCTCAAGATCCGCGATGTCGCCAGTCAAGTCGTACCTGTTATGCAACAAAGTCGCCAGACCAAGGTTGACGTCGTGGACCTCCGACTCGGAATTGCAGACTTCTCGGGCTTCGTAGTTGAGAGTGATGGCCAGATCCAGATCCGCCGCGTGTTTGTCTCCCACGTACCGGGCCAGGAATTTCCCACCCAGGTTCTTCCGCCGAACCCACAGTTCGGGGTCGTCGGAAGGCGTGAGTTCCAGCACCAGGGTCGCCTGACGAATGGACTCGTTCAAGAAGCTGACGGCTTGCGAGCGGTCGTACTCGGCTTGGAGGCGGCTGGCCAGAAGGTTCGTGGCAATGCACCATGCGGAATCCCCTTCTTGACCCATTTCAACCGTCTCTTTCGTGAGCGAGATGGAACGCTTGAGGAGATCTGGATCGCAGGTGGCTTGGTACATCTCATACAGAATAGTAGCTAGAAGATCCACGAGTCCGAGCCGTTCCGGGTGGTTGGATGGCATTGTGTCGTAGGCGCGTTGACCGGACGTACGCCCCTTATTTAGATCATCTAGGGATCTGGTCCAGCCGAATCTCCAGTGCAGAAGCCTCGCATGGAGGTGGTAAATCTTTCCAGTCAGGGATTCCTTATTGACCGATCTGACCAGCTCCTTCATGGCCCGTTCTATGGCAACGATGGCTTCTTCGAGGGCCTTCTTATCGTCTGAGCGCCTGAATTTGACGAAGAACATGTCGCTTTGAAGGTACCACATATCAGCTTTCGCATGGTCCGGACAGCCCGTTGCTATGCCGTGGTTCAACTGGATCGCAATTCGAAGGTCGTTGTCGATGGTTGGACCGCCAATGCTTGGATCGGGGTGTTTATGACTCTGATTGTTCTGAGCAATCGCTTCCCTGACGTTGCTCATACTCATCAAAAGGGCTTCTCGGATAGCGGGAGAGGGCCCAGATGCTCCGGGATTCTGCATGGTGTGTTGGTTGCAAAGCGTCTTTTGTCGATGGGATAAAACGGCATATGGATTATTAGCTTGGTACCAATTTGAGATGATGGTACCAGATGCTTTTTATACACGAGTATTATCTTCATTGTCTCGATAGATACGGCTTTATCTAATCAGCACGTCAACCAGTCCACTAACACGGACTTCACCTCCGGATGGATGCTTTTCTGTATGCTTTCATCCAGTTGGTCGAAAGCGTGATCAGCTGACTACTTGGCGACCTTAGATTTGCAAGGATTATTTTCGCTTGATATGCTACGCTCGTAGCCACATTTGGTGCTGTGCATCAATAGTGTCACTGACGATGTGGGTAGGGGTACAATACACCTTTTAAAGTTTGTAAGCGTGTGATTTCGACCCTGTAAGTGCATTAGAGGAGCAGGGCACTACAACAAATCACGAATCTGCGTTCTGGATAAGGCTGGGGTAGCAGGGAGTTCTTAAACATTCAGCAGTCGTATTGTATGTATTACTTACTTTCTAGCAGATCAATGAGTTTGATATGGAGGTGCTAGGTGATCTTTCCATGTACATGTACGTTCATTGTCAACTGGGCCATACCAGGGATGCTTTCCTGGAAACCGCATCAGCTGGTCTTGACACTGATCATCAATCTGCGGCTGAGCCAAAGCTCACTTGCCAAGTCAATCGTAAGCTGAACCTCCGGGAAAAGAAGTATCCGTGAACCGCTTCAAACGACCCCGTATTAAAGCGAATCATCTCTGTCAGAACCCCGCATCCCTGGGCAAGTTATGCATTTCGGCGCCTCGGAGATGTGGAGGCAACATAGTCTATGTGCTCGGCTGCAAGACAAGCTTTTTGACGTGGACCGCTTGGCTACCAATGATCGAGGTTTCTAATTACATGGAAATGGCAGCCTGATGCTATGATACCTTTGGCCCCTCGTGTCGGGTTCCCTCTTCTGATTTGGGCGTCTATGATCTCGTCACCTCGTGTCAGCAAGCAGGTGGGAACCCTTGTGTTGAAGACCGATTGGCAATAAGGCGCAGTAAATGTCTGTGGTTCTTAGAGAGCTCAAGCACGGCTTGGATGAACCAGTAGACGGTAGTCTGTGATCTCCGCTAGACATTTCGCTCGCTTCGGTGATGCCGCCTACTTCCTCCACCGCCTCTGCCTTCGACCCTCGACCCTGAATAGCCTCCTACAAGTCTTCATCAGGCGACGCCTCACCCGGCAGCCAGGGGAAACTCTCAGGCGGCGTCGCCGGCCTGTCCGCCCCGAGAGCGTTTGGCCAGGGGACGTCCAAGTCGCGTAGCGTGCCGAAGACGGCCGTGTTCCTCGACTTGCTAGCGTCTGCTTCCGCGGTTCGACTCGCCCGTCGACGCTTACGCGGGGCGGCGGCCCGTTGCTGCTCCGACTCGTTGAGGAGACTAGGGTACCAGTTTCGTTCTATAGATGATGCCAGGTTAGAAAACCACGTCCTGCTCGAATAGTTGTAAAGCGGAGGAAGACTCTGCGAACTCACTGTTGTCCGAATGACCCTGCTGCATGGCGGTACGCACGTTCTCCCTGATGTACGCCGCGTCCTCCACGAAGTCGGCGAAGACGGAGCGGGCCGTGTCGTCGTCCATGACCATGACGGGCTCGAGTTCCGGGGGCAGCTGCTCCAGCTGCCACGTCTCCCGGATCGAGGACGCCGTGCGGGCCACCAGCGCGTCCACCCAGCTCACATCCACGTCCCCACGGCCATCGTCGTTTGGCCCGCCGGCCTCGCGCAGAAAGCTCTTCAGGTCGCCGACCACCTCCGCGGCGTCTGTGCCGGGCTGCTTCGCACGGAGAAAGGCGTAGCGTATGACGGGCACGCCGAAGGCCGCGTCCGTCGGTATGCGACGCCGTACGAGGTTGGCCCTGCGGCTGAGCGTCTGGGGGCCCACGTACCATTCGTGCGACACAACGAGGACCCAGCCGCCCGGGTCCAGACCGGTGAATACGGGCCAGCACTCCAGCGCCTTCTCCGGGTCGCCGCCGTCGGCCGCCTGAGAGGGTGACGGAGACGAGAGGTCGCACCACTCGGGGACGGCCAGGTTCTCGGCCGGGATCGGCGTGACGGCCGCGCCGGGGAACGGCTCGTCCGCGGGTGTCCGACCCGACGGGCACGCGGCGAAGCTGGTCAGGAACCGATCCGAGTGGAGACGGATGCAGTACCGGAGAAAACCGGAGACGAGACGCTCCGGCCGCAGGAGGCCGTCGCCGAGGAAGAGGTGGAGGGGCCGGAAGCGGGGCGGGTGGCCGGCCTCTCGGCCTTCCGGGCCCGTGCGGTCGGTGAGCTGCTGGCGGACGAACATGTGCTGCACGGGGGAGGCTCGGATCAGGTGTTCGGATACCAGCCTGTCGCCGCGCGCGTCGACGAGCCAGGGCTTCCGCCGCAGCGGTGCCGAGAAGGCGCCCGTGATCTTGACGTCTTTACATGGCAGGATCTTTGACGCGAAGGGGGACGAGCAGATTTGGGCAAATACACGCGAGGAGAGCTCGTCGTCGGATCGGCCGGGATGGGCTAGGAAAAAGACGTGTGTGACCGCGTCCGTCTCGCTCAGAGCGTCGAGGAGCGCCTCGAGAGATCCACTGCAATCGTCGTCGTCGATACCCAGGCTCAAGGCCCGGGTCACGGAGAGCTCCTCGGACCGGAGGGATGTGGCTACCGCTTCGAACGTCAGGCCGGTGAAGCCCGCCAAGTTGAGATGTGACGTGTTCGTGTAGGCCAGCCGGAGTAGAGGTGAAGCGGATAGGCCTCGGAGCCCGTCGGGCCTGGCTCGTAACCGCTCGGTCAGTCGGGCCTGGAAGCCAGGAAGGTCGATGCACGCACGGTGAGCATGAGCTACGTCTGGTCCGCCGACTTCCGCAGCCTCGGAAAGAATGAGGTCGATGATGGGTTCGAGATCCCCATCGTCTTGCAGGTTAGGGGATCGCGCAGGACCCGAGGAATGGCCTGGCCACACGTCTACCGCGGTAGGGTTGGGTTAGTTGGCATGTTCATGATGTTTCAGGGTCCAGGTTCTCTCACAATCAAGTGCGTGTCTCGCGACGACGCGGTGCTGTTTCAAGCGAGCCAAGGGTAGCGAGGACTCATAGAGGCCGAACTTTGTCATGAATCCGGAGGCAGACATGGGGGTGCGGGAGAGCGAGGTCTCCAGCTCCGGGGTGGGAGGGTGGGTGAGGGGCAGGTCCTCGACGGGATCCCAGACGGGCGCGATCTCGGCGGTGTAGCGGACGGCGGGGGCGACGAAGCCGCAGCGGAGGTCGTCCAGGTCGGATATGTCGAGGACGACGAGGCCGTACTCGAGCTTGTCGGCGCGGAAGACGCATCGCAGGGGCTGCTCCTGGACGTCGCCGTACCTCGTGTGGTAGAGGTCGTCGCCGGTCAGGGCCAGCCGGAGACAGGTGGAGGTGAAGGGGAACTCGCACGGGTCGGGCCGGCAGGGCAGTTCGGGGCGGTCGGGTCTGCCGGTGGGTTCTGGCCAGTGGCCCTTGTACTGCATTTCGAAGGGGGGCTGGGGGGCGTCGGGGACCTCGACCTCGCCGTCGCCGGCATCGGCATCGGCACGGCCGGGGTTTTTTTCGCGATGGCGATACCATGCCACGGCACGGGCGCGCTCGGCTTCCAGGGCGGGGCGGTTGGCCGGGTGGGTCAGGACGGCGACGGCCCGGGCCGCATCGTCGAGGGCGTGGCGGACCCGTTGGCCGGAGGCATGGTTGCCGTGGGCCGGGGCATGGCCGTGTCCCTGACGGTAGGTGATGGCGAGGGGGCGGCAGGCGACGGCGACGGTGTCTGCCTCTGTGTCGATGTCTGGGTGGTGGCCGACGTCGGCGACCACGCAGAAGAGGTATGACCGCGGGCAGGTTGTTGCGATGGCCCGGCGCGTCATGTCTAGCGAGCAGTCAGTTCAGCAGTTGCGAGTCAGGCCTCAAGTTTCGAGGAATGGATACGTACGGTCGTCAGGCGGCAGCATGTGGGCCATCTTTCCATCTGGAATGTTAAGGCTGAGGTCTTGTCAAGTCGCCTGTCAAGTTGCTTAGGCAGTAGTTGTAGGTGCTCGGTGAGAAGGATCCTTGTGATGAGGATGATGAACGGTGGGGTTTTTCATTTACGAGGTTGCATGGCTGAAAACTCACAGGCCTATCGGGTCTCTCAGCTCGAACTTGGGGGCCAAATACCACCTGTACGTGTAACCGTACCTGCAGCGTGAACCACACTCGTATGAGGCCTGCAAAATCGTCAACGGAGGATGATTCTCCGACGAGACAATCACGACAGAACGAGAGGGACCTTCCTAATCACACACTGAGGTGAGCACTAAGGTATAAGCTTATGTGATGTGATTATATGGTTACTTTAAGGTTGATACTTGTATCCTAATGGGGAAGGTCTTTAATGTAGGGGTCTTATATTAAGTCCTAAATTGGACGTGAACGGATACATTGCAGAGAACCTGCATCTGACATCCGTCCCTTGCGTCTTGGAGGATTCGCACATATTGGAACTTTGGTGATTACCTTAATTCGACCTACTGGATCAGCTGAGGTTCGTCTCCAGATCGACAACATTCCAACCATCGAAATAGCTTTCTCGGTATGTCTCGATGATCTCGTCTCAGACTTCCACTATCGACTAATAGGCCACACTGACTGATCTGATGCGACTGTCACAGTGTCGCTGCCTAAACAGAAGTCCCATCATAAACGCAACAGGGTACACAGCGTAGAGTAAGCACGGCATGTTTTATTCTACTCTCGGCCGGATTTGACAAGGGCTAGAAGGCTATGTCATGCGGGGTTAATACTCGTACGTTCGTCTGAATCCAACTTCATTCCAGTCTCGGCAACCTTGAATCAACCGTGCCGCACGTCGGGCTCATCCAAAACTGAAGGCCAAGATCCAAGAGCCCCCACGGTCAACTACTGAACTGCAACCTCCCATCCATCTTGTGCCAGGCCGACGCCTCTTACAGCTTACAGGTTGGCCACGATCTTGATCACGATCCCCGCGGGTTTCGCACCGCTATCGACGTACGACGGCAGCGAGTACGACGGGTGGGTGGCGTTGACGACCACGCCGAGCGAGCCCCCGTCCGCGCCGCAGCGGTGGATGCCGTTGCGGCGGATGGCCCCGGTGCCGCCGTCGATGGTGTTGGCGACTAATCAACCAAAGTCCCTCGTCAGACACGGTCACACTGGATAAAGAGGCACAGGCACGAGTAGTACTCACCGTCCTCGAACAGCACCGAGCTGTCGTAGGTCATGTTGACCTTCTTGGCCACCGCCAGTGCTGTGCCGCGCGCGTACAGCGACCACTCGCCGCAGTCGGCGGCGTCGGCCATGTTCATGTTCAGGACTGGAGCACCCGTCACGGTCAGCGGGAGACTCTCTTAACTCTCTCTCTCTTTCATAAGGTATTTCGCATCTTGTGCCAACGGGGGGCATCGCTACTCACGGCGACCGTTGCGCGTCTCACGACCGTACGCCCGCAGGTAGGCCGCGATGTAGGTCACGTCGGCCGGGTCGACCTCCTGCGGCGTGTCGAACTCGCCGTTGTAGCAGTACAGCAGCTCCGTCTGGTCGTAGCACACCCGGCGCGCCCCGGCCGAGGTGGCGGCGAGGAGCAGGGCGGCGGCCGTGACGAGTGTCGAGGAGAACATGGTGGCAGCAGAGGGCAGACGAGAGAATGACTTGAGAAGAGGGCCGTGTGGTGCTGGGTGGGCGGTGGACCGGACGGGACCGAACCTGCGAGCAGCGAGACTTTTATATCAAGTTGAGTCCATCGGGGTGGGAGTGTTGTGTCCGTTTGTGTACGGTATACCCGCGGGATTACCACCGTAAGAGAAGAGGAAGAAAGAAACAGCTCACCAGTCACCGATATGCGTATGTGTTCTCGTGGACGCGAGGGTAGTCTCAGCTGAACTGAATCCTCGTCATGCACCATGCATGCAACGTATCTTCGGCCTTCAAGATCAAGCAAAGTCACTCAAGTCGGGCGAGTGCCAGCAGGGGGAGGAGGATCTTTGGTTTATCGTCTTGGCCTCGCCAGAATCCCACGAATCCGTACATCACAAGTTGAACCATGGCCATTTCGACCCTGGCGAAGGAACGGGGAGCAAGCTGCGAGGCTACCTTAAGCTTACGCAGGCACTCAGGTACCACCCTCTGTCGGATGCTGCCGCGTCTTGGCGAGGCCCTTTTGCTTCGAGTCGCAATATCGAGTAATCTAAAGGCGCATGACATCTAGGGAGAGGGTAACGGCAGGCATCTCGCAACCTCGCGCCGTAAGAGCACGTTCTTAAGACCATCGGCCTCCTTCATCACCCGCGGTCCTGACCACTCACTCGCCCACCCATTGCTGACCCAGCGCGATCGAAACTGTCCTCCTTCAGTCGGTCCTGCTGCTCAACGTCTTCAACATGAGACCCTCTTGGGCTCTCGTAGGCGCCCTCGCGACCAACAGAACCTACCGCGGCGTCGCCGAGGAGGCGAAGCCGGAGTGGCGCGTCCCCAAGTATGGCGCCCAGCCCGGCCCGGACTACATGGTGGACAACACGGACAACTACTACGGCGTTGCGCCGGACAAGGGTAGGCCACGCATCACCTCGCTCGCCAGGGCCGCCTGCCAGTGCCGGTTTCTGACTTGCTCCATGTAGGATCCAAGAGCGGCCCCGTGTGGGCCGAGTCTGGCACCTTCGAGCGCTTCATGGCCGACTCTCGCGCCGAGGCGCCGGATGTCCCGGTTGCCGTCGTCAACCACACCTTCATCGATGTTGACGGGAACACGACCGTCATGGAGATGGAGTCGGAGCTGTTCAGGCTGGCCGACAACGGCTGGTGGCTTCCGGAGCTGTCCGGCCTCGGCAAGGTATGTTGCCGCCCCTGACCTGGATGGAGCTTGCTTTGGGATATCTCCTGCGAGAACCGTCGACGGGCAGACGGGCAGGCGGACGGACTGACTGATTGTTCTTCCAACAGCAACCCATAGTCGGTGGTGACTACAAGTTTTTCCGCAACGTCAAGGACTACGGCGCCACCGGCGGAGGTGAGAAGGACGACACCGAAGCCATTAATGCGGCCATCGAGGATGGGAACCGCTGTGGCCGCGAGTGTGAGAACTCTCTCTCTCTCTTTCTGTATCTGTCTCCCGTCTCTATATGCTCTAGATACTGACGAGCCGCAGGCGGCAACACATTCTCCCAGGGTGCCATCATCTACTTCCCGCCCGGCGTCTACAAGATTTGCACACCCATCATCCAGTACGGGCATCCATCCTCCCCTCCCTGAGTAATCGGTGACCATGACTGACACTCTTCAAGGCTGTATTTCACTCAGTTCTTCGGTAACCCACACGTACGTCTCTGCCCTGCCCGTCCATGCCCGTCCATTCTCATATGCCGGAATCGCTGACAGCCGAGGTTCAGGACCTGCCGGTTATCAAGGGATGCGACAAGTTCAAGGGGATTGCCCTCATCGATACGGATCCGTATATAGAGGACGGCAATGGCGCAAACTGGTGCGAATGAATTACCTCCCGTGCCGGAGCGAGCATCTAGCGCAGTTCCTCTCTCGGCCACCAATCTAACAAAACCCAGGTACATTAACCAAAACCAATTCTTCAGGGGCATCCGCCACATGAGGTTCGACATGACCGAGATGCCCAAGGAAACCAACGACCAGGACCAGGACCTCGTCCCGACCGGAATCCACTGGCAGGTTGGTCATAATTCCCCCCGCCTCCTGCACACGATACAATCTGGCTGACTCCTCCCACCCAGGTGTCCCAGGCATGCAGTCTCCAGAACCTCATCTTTGAGATGCCGGAGGCCACCGACGACGAGAAGCCAACCCACGTCGGTATCTTTATGGAAAACGGCAGCGGCGGCTTCGTTTCCGACCTGGTCTTCAAAGGCGGAAACATCGGATGGCGAGCTGGTACGATATTGCCCGCGCTTCGGCCATGTTCATTGCTGACGGAGGGTGGTCTTCTCAGGGTCGCAGCAGTACACCGTCATCAACCTCAAGTTCGAGAACTGTCTCACGGCCATCCAGATGATCTGGGACTGGGGATTCAACTGGCAGAGAGTTCAGATTGACGGTGCCGCCATCGGCTTCAACATCAGGTGAGGCGGCTCCCTTCCCTGTTGATTTACAAATTACCCCCTTTCGACCACGATCATCCTGATCCCCCCCGTGCTGACTGGTGATGAAGCGGCGCTGGAGGCATTGACGGGCAAGGCGTTGGTTCCGTGTCCATCATTGGTAAGTAGAGAACCCCGAAAGAAAGAGAGAGAGACATGCGATCTTCTCGCTTCCTCCCTTCGAGGACGTTGTCACTTACTTGACGAACCCGAACAGATTCGACACTCCGAAACGTTGAAACCGCGATCCTCACAAACTCCGGCCCAACCTCTCCCAACATCGTCATCGACAACCTGGAAATGTCCGGCGTCGGGGCCACCGTAAAAGATACCGACGGCAACGTCATCCTCGGCTCCTCTGGCCACGTCGAGCTCTGGGCGATCGGCAAACGGTACAACGGATACGAGGGCACCAGCACCGCAGGCGCTGTCGACGCGCCCGCGAGGCCTGAGAGCCTGCTCGATGACGACGGCAAGCTCTTCTACCGGTCGAAGCCGCAGTACGAGGACTTCGCCGTCGGCCAGTTCCGCATCGCCACGGAGCATGGATGCCGCAACGACGGCACGGGAGACAACACCAACAGTATCAACACGTTCCTCCGGGAAGCGCAGGCCGCCGGCCAGATCGCCTACTTCCCTGCCGGTATCTACAGGGTCGGGGGCACCGTCCTGATCCCGACCGGCTCGCGTGTCGTCGGTGCTGCTTGGTCGCAGATCCAAGGAGCAGGTGAGCCGCTCGTCCGATACCATGTCCCCCGAGAACGCGGGCTAATTTCTGCTATATCAACAGGCGCCTACTTTTCTGATATTCGCAACCCCCGTGTCGTGGTGCAAGTCGGCATCAAGGGTGACGTTGGAACCATGGAAATCACCGACAGTTCGTGCCCCTCTCCCGGATGGATGGCTGAGCTAACCACCCACCCACCTCAGTGAAATTCAACGTCCAGGGTGCCACCGCGGGTGCCATTGTGCTCGAGGTGAGTGTGATCTCTGCCGTGGATCTCGAGGACTGCGCTAACGATCGTCCAGTGGAATGTCAAGGCAGTTCGGAAAGGCGCGGCCGCCATGTGGTGAGTTGGGACGTTGGGCCACTCGACCTTCGTCGTCCTCCGGTCATCGTCGAGCTAACGAAGCGCCAGGGATTCCCATGTGCGAGTGGGTGGTGCAACCGGGAGTGACCTCGACGTGGATACGTGCCCGAAGCACGAGTTCAACGAAGGCTGCATCTGCGCGGCTTTGCTGTTCCACGGTTCGTAACTTCGTTCGGCTGCTAGCTAGCTGTGTACGAGTAACGACGGAATGTGTGCTGACATTCAATACACTGACGACAGTGACGCCCCAAGCGAACGGATACTTTGAAAACGTCTGGATCTGGCTGGCCGACCAGTGAGTTCTCTCTCTCCCTCAAAATGCCCGCTCGGCATACATGATTTCTGTACATGTCTTGCTCACCGTATCGTGTCTCCCAGCGACAACGACATGGTCGTATCCGACAGCCCCGACAAGCTCGTCAACCAGATCAGCATCTACGCGGCACGCGGAACGCTGATCGAGTCCGAGGGACCTTCGTGGTTCTACGGGACCGGCTCGGAACACACCGTCATGTATCAATACCAGCTCTACGGGGCCAAGGACGTGAGTACACAAGTCCCGGTCCTCCCTCTCTGCTACGGGCTGGCTACTACGCTTGTGACTTGAAAAACTTACACAAAACCCCAAAGATCTACCTCGGCCACATCCAGACGGAAACCCCATACTACCAGCCCGTGCCTGTGGCCCCGCTTCCGTTCAAAGACGGCCGCGAGTTTCCCGGCGATCCGTCTTTCGAATCTTGCACGACAATCGGCTGCCAGGAGGCATGGGGCCTCCGGGTCATCAACTCGGAAAACGTCCTCCTCCACGGCGCCGGCATGTACAGCTTCTTTCAGGAGTACTACCAGGACTGCCTCGACACCTTTGACTGCCAGGAACGCCTCTGCGAGGTCAAGGGCAGCAAGGGCGTCACCATATTCAACATATTCACGGTGGCGACCGTGGAGATTGGGACGGGAATCAAGTGAGTAGAACATCTTACGGACGGACACTTTCACCTTGCAACAGACGAAGCTAACCACGTCTTCGCAGCGGCGGCGCCATCATGCAGGAAGACGGCAACCAGCGCGGCTTCACCACCGAGATCAGCGTTTGGATCCCGCTTGAAGGTGACGATGAGTTCGATGTCGTCTATGTCGGGCCAGAAGTCTGGCAAACCCCCGCCGTCACTTGCCCGGCGCCATGCGTCCTGGTGTTCCCGACGAGCTCGCTGAGCTCTTCCACGACCATATCGCCGCCCCCTTACACGACCTCGGTCGAGTACGGCCACATGGACACCACGACCATCGACGGCCAGGTCGTCACCACCTTCGTCACTACCATCACAACCATCACCATCACCGTCGACCCCATCAGCACAGACGGCATGCCCTATTCCAACGTCAACATCACCCAGGGACAGACTTCCAGCGCCCTCACCGTCCACCCAAGCCTGTCCATCCCTCCCGTTCCCGTGCCCCTGCCTGACGGAGAAGGCGGCACGACCACGCGCACGCTGCAGCTGCCCCCCTGGCCCGATATGACGAGCGGGCCGCCCGAGAGCTGGGGCAACGGCCCCGGAGAGACCTCCGGCACCGTGTCGGGCGAGTTCCGGACGCCGTACGTCACGACCGTGTCCGCGTCGGCGGCCACCGTCCTCACCCTCTCCTTCCCCTCGTTCGTCACGGCCAGCCCGGTATCGTGCCCGCCCCAGAGCGAGATCGTCTTCGCCACCCCCAGGACCACCATCACCACGCTGTGCGCCGAGAGCACAATCATCAGCCTCCGCTTCACCTGTCCGCCCACGCGCGTCGTGACTTTCCTGGCGCCGTCGACCGCCGTCTTCACCGCCGACTGCGCCCTCGCCACGTCCTTCGTCAACACTCCGCCCGCAGAGGGGGACGATGATCTCGACGTGGACGCCCCGGACCCGACTGACCCGGACAGACCCCCGGTAAGCTGGCTATATGCCTGATCCCCTGTGCCCCAAGTTAGTAAGGTGACTGACGTGCGACGCAGACCGTGACCGAACCGTTGCCTACCTGGACGGAGTACCCGCCGGGTCAGATCGAGACGGTCGAAGAGGACGTCGAGGAGGATGATGACGATGACGATGGCATCGGCTTCCTGACGCCTTGCAACCTCTGGTTCTTCAATGTATGTAGTCTCGCAACCCACCCCCGGTACCTAGGAACTAACCGGCGCAGATTTGCATCACCTTCCCTGGCATCCGCATCGGCGGCATCCGGTGGATACTCCCACCGGGCGTCTATCCGTGAGTTACACTGGCAATGAAGTTGGGCATTTCAATATGAATGCTTGAGATGGAGGACCAGCGCAGCAGGTTGGACTAACCAAGTTATCGCAGCGGCCCTCGTCCACCTCCCGTGCGCCTCCCGACCCCCTGGATTTTGCCTCCGCCACCAATCTCATTCCCTCCCATCACGTAAGTCTCTGGCCGTCCTTTGTTCGTTCAAGCCCGAGTTCACGTGCTCGGTTGTGATGCCACCTACAATAACGATGGAGATGCTAAAGTTCTGTTGTCCAGGGTCGGCCGCGACGGGAGAGTCACGTACTCCAAGTCTGGAGAATGCGAAACGGCGACGGCATCCATCTGCTCCACGTCCATCACCGTCTCTCTCTCGCCCGGCCCAACGACCACCCGGACCGTCACCTCCACGCTCTCGTCCTGCGAGGAGATCCGCGGGTGTGGCGTTCGAGACAGCGACGCCACCACGACGACCACCACGTCGCCCGACTCCTGCCCGCTGCCCACGCAGGACGCGAAGAAGCGCGAGGAGCCGGGTCGCGCCGTCGCGTCCGACGAATCCGCCGAGGAAGAAGCCCTGGAGCGCCGTCAGGTCGAGCCGCTGCCGCCTCCGGGGTGCCCGGACGTCGCCATCATCTATCCCGCGGACAACGAGGACGTCGGCGGCATCGTTCGGATCCTGGACGAGGCCGGCTTCACCGAGGGTAGTGACACGCGGCAGTACCGCCAGATTGGGTCGACCCAGTCGCAGTTCACCCTCTACTTCTGGGTCTCGTTCCTGGACGCAGAGACCAAGAAGGCTCTGGAAGACTCGGTATGTACCTGTTTATATCTGGCATAGAGATGAGTTGTCGTCTCGGGGCACTCCAACGCTGACACGAACCGATCGATTCTAGGGTACCGTGGAACACTGCTACTACCCGCGACAGTGGAACGCCGGGGTGGGACCCTGGGATCCCTTCGAGGGCTTTGAAGACGAAAGCTTCCACGAAGAAGGCTTCCAAGACGGGAGCCCCGGCATGGCCTCCCACCCTCACCATCTGCCTAGGCATATCCCCGAAGATGCCTCCGAGTACACCGTGCTGACGACAGTCAACTCCTCCCGAACCGTTGTCGAGGACGACGGAACGCCGACTGTCCTCAAAGCACGAGCACCCACAACAGATGCAGACGCGAAGATCTATCACCTGGCCCAGGTCTCGCTGCCGCCGCAGACGGTCTGGAAACAGCCCGGCACGGGTGTGAGAACCGCCGGACAATGGAACTACCGCCTCGACGACGTAAACGTCGGGAATGCAAACCAATGGGTCTACGTTATCGGCGAGACGGGGTATTGGAACGCTCATGCGGTAAGGCGGTGCTCAGTGTTTCCCATATGAGAGAGTGAGAGAAACGTCATCAGCTAACGAAAGATACAGGAACATACAGGAATAGGACAAGACCGACTCAGCACGCTGTATCCGCCGGGACCAAACTACGGCGTCGACCCCATGACGCTCAATCCCGCAGACCCTCGCTTCAAGCACGGGTCCGCCGTGGTAGCCTCGATCAACGGCAACGTCTTGGGCCTCTGCAAGACGTGCAGGGTCCGCACAGTTCCCGCCGGAGGCGCCTACGCGATGAACATGCCCGTGAACCGTCGCGGCGATCGTCTGGCCGAGCGGGTGCTCCAGCAGCTGACTGCCGTGTACGATGAGATCATGGCCAACCCGACCCGCAAGGGCCGGGCCGTCATCAACATGAGCTGGGGCATCCAAGTGGGCCAGATGCCGCGACCCTTCTTTACCACGTGGTGTAGGTTTCCCGCAGTCTCTCCCCTTGTCGTTGAACCCGAGAGACAAGACTAACCCGGAGCTTCGGCTTTGCCGGTTTCTAGTCAAGATGCTGCGGAAGCTCGACCAAGAGTGCCAAGTAGTCCTCGTGGCGGCTGCGGGCAACGATGCCACCGGGCCGGGACAGGCACCGGACAAGTATCCTCAGCGGTTCGCCGACCCGACCGACATCTTCGGCCACCTGCCCAACCTCGTCGTCGTCGGGGCGACGGATGCCAACATCGTCCGCGCCGCGTACAGTTTCGAAGCCCCTTGGCTCACGACATTCGGCCCCGGGACCGTCTACGCACCCGAACTCAACATCATGTCTCCGTACATATACAGACACGGAACTTCGTTCGGTAAGTTGCCGCGTTTCTCCCACCTCCACCCCTAACTCCCGCTCTGGCCTTGCCTTCGCGCCGTCCGTGAAAAGAAAGAGACAAGACCGAACGCTGACGTGACAAAACAACAAAGCTGCCCCGCAAGTCGCCGGCCTCGTGGCATACTACCGAGCCATGCCGTCTCCTTGGCAAGCTGACCTGACGGAACCCGCCAACGTCAAGAAACTCATCCGTCTGTTCCACCGCCGCCTCGCCGCCGTGCCCGAAAAGGACGCGAACGGCAATCCCATCCCCGTCGATCCGCGTGATCGAAGGCCCCTCATCTGGAACGGACAGGCAAGACTGCGCCCTCGCCCCCCGCTGAAGAAAGGCTCCTTTTGTTTGTTTTGCTAACGATTTGACCAGGTCCGGGACCGATCTTGCCTGAGAACGGACGACTACAACGACCTCACGTGGCCCGGCCGCAACCTCTGCCCGACCATCAACGACCTCTCCACCCAAGCCGACACCGGGCAGACGGTCGATCCCTGCGGTCCGGGCGTCGGCGGCAACCCGACGAGGAGGAGGAGGACGTACGTCAAGCGACAGGACGGCGGGTCCTGCCCCCTGATCCCCGACCCGCCCCCGGGCTCCGGCTCCGGCGGCGGCGGGGGCAACGGCCAGACCGTCTCCTTCACCTCGGGCCCCCAGCCGTCGCCGACCTGCTCGGCCGCCGGCGGCTGCGGCGGCACGCTCTGCAAGGGCTTCTGGTGCAACCCGCGTCCGACGGGCGTGCCCCCCGACTACCACGACCCCAAGGACCCCAACAGCAGCGGCGCGTCCGCGTCGACCAAGACCATATCGGACCCCCCAGAGGGCACGTTCGAACCGTCGCCCCCGTCGTCGACGTCGGTGGTGCCTACGACGACGTCGGGGCCCACGACCACGCAGGCGCCTCCGCCACCCGCGAACCCTCCCTCCAGGTATGTTTCTCTCTCTTCTCTTCTCTTCTCTCCCACATGGTCTACTCTGAACATCTCCCACTAATCACCCGAACGCCCCCTCAGGTTCATCATCATCGTCTTCTCGGAGCTCTCCATCCCCGTCCAGATGGGCCCTTGGGACTACGACCGCAACTGGGTCGTCTTCTCCGCCGCCCCCGACGGCCCGGGCATCGACATGTGCTTCGACAAGGCCCACGAGAGCGTCGAGGACGACGGCGTGACGGCGTCGGACCCGGGCTTCCCGCGGGACATCGAGTTCGACATGGACGGCCGCGGCTGCAAGTACACCGGCACGAGGTCCGCGCTCGGGTCCATGGCCTGCGACGGGGTCCGCGACATCCGCTGCCGGGAGGAGGACTTTAAGGACTTTTGCCCGCCCTTGAACAACCCGACCATGGTCTCGAGGGTGCTCTGCGAGTGGTAGGTGAGTAGGGGTGTTTGGTTTGCGGCGGTAATCTCATGGAAAACCGTGTTGTGGTATAACAAGAGTGAAACTCGGTCTTGTCCTTGTGGAAGTATTCCGCCCCGCTGTATACAGGAATATTGCTGTGCGATTCTCCGGCGTCGTTCTGTAATATAGTCTATACATGCCTGACGCGACTATGTGCGTATGTGCCGTCACTTGCGGGAGCTCCGTCACTTACTACATGGCGTGGCGCCTGGAGACCCTGAACCGCCAGTTCCAGCGCGTGATGGTCTGTTTGTTCAAGGAAGTTGAACGCGCTTATGTGTGAGGGAATACCACGACGAATACATGCTCGCATACCGCGGCACATAGGGCGACGTTGAGCACGATCAAGACACAGCCACAGCCGCACATGGTGACGACAGCAACCTGAACCGATGTCAGCAATTCTGAGCTACACATAGCCCGTATCAACGTATCGCGGCTTACAGATCTTGAAATCGTTGCTTGTGATGGACGGAAGACCGGGGTCATCAGATTCAGCCCATATCCGATAATGAAGAAGACCCAAAAAGGGGCGCCATCTGGGGCTGGGGACTCACATTCGCGGCTGCTTCTCTCTTCGCTGCGGTGGATGGTGGGGCTACACTGATACAAGTGAGCTATGCGGCGCTCTGGAGCTGTCTGTGAACCACGAAGGCAGAAAAGATGATGCTTTGTTTGGTGCTCGTCTACAGTTGAAGGAGATGTTGCAGGAGGATAGTATTTTGTGTGCTTAGGGCTAGAAACGGTAATCCGAGTTAGTACTCTGACGTCAAGTCTGGATGAGTAGAGCACAGTAATTTTTATGTCTGGTGCTCACGTAACTAGCCTTTGATCATGCTCAAGAGTCTGGAGGATAGAACTAGGTCATCGGAATTAAAATCGTGCGGTCCAAGACGTGGTGTCACAGAAGCATCAGAGTTGTCTTCAGGAATCTATTCGGGATATCTCGACGTGATTTTTGGGGTGGTCTATGATCATCAAAACCGACATTAACTCCAATACCAGTCATCCTTTTTTCCCGTTTAGTCCTCGTCCCAGTTCTGTCCGGTAGGTTAGCAGACTGTGTCACCAATGCATCAATAAGTCAACTCACAGGATTGGGGCCAGGAGGCTTAGGGCCACCTGCTTGGCGAGCAACGATAATCTGGTCAACAGACAGAACGGTGCGGGCCGCCTCGGTCGCCAGCTTGATAGCCCAAGACTTGGAGACCAACAGGTCGAGGATGCCCTCGTCGCGGGCGTCCAGGGTGCCACTGCCGTCGTCGTTCTAGGAGAGTTAGCGTATGCCAAGCCACAATCACAGTGCAGGCTTACCTCGATATCGACACCGGTGGACCAGTCGTCCTTCTTGTGGTGCGCCATGTACAGTCTGCTAAGAACCTCTGTGGCGTCCAGACCGGCACTCTCGGCAATCGTTCTGGGGATGACCTCGAAGGCCTCACCGTACTTCCTGATCGCGTATTGCGACAGACCAGGGGTCTTCTCACCGAAAGCGTTCAGCCTCTCGACGAGCTGGGTCTCGGTGGCACCGGCTCCGGGGACGAGGCGGGGGTCTCTGGTGATGGCCTTGACGACGTTGACACCGTCATCGACGGCACGCTCAACATCGTCGAGGTGGTTCTGGGTGGCGCCTCTCAGGACAATGGTTGCTGTTCTCGTGACCTCGTTCTCTTGTCTGAAAACGGAGACACGGTCACCACCGATCTCGAGGGTCTCGACAACGTCGATGGAACCCATCTCGTCGGGCATGGGGGCGCCCAGGCGGGCAAGAGGGGTGGCGCCAACGACCCTGCAGACTCTCCGCAGCTCGAACTTGCTGAGAATCTTGATGACGAGGATGCCGAATCTGTTGAGGTAGTGCATGGCCAGGTCGCCGACGGTGGAGCCGGCGATGACCACCCTGATACCGACGTCGTGGAGCTCCTTGATGGCGGCCTCGAGCTGGGACTCCTCGCCCTTGGTGAAGTCCATCATCTCCTTGGCGTTGTGAAGCAGGACGGTGCCCTTGGTCTCGGTCTGGGTGGTGTCGATGGGGCAGGAGAAGACACCGACCTTGGCCTTCTGGGCCTTCTTGATGATGCCGTCCGGTGGCTTGGGGAACACCATACCCTTGACCACGCGACTTTGTTCCAGGCTGCCGCCCATGATCTTGACCACTCTGATGTTGTCGACGTTGAAACCGACGGGGTTCTTGGGCAGGACGGAGAGGACGGCCTCGGCGACCAGCTCAGACAGGAAGTCCTCGCTGCCGTTCTGCTTGCTGGCGACGACGGTGCGGATGGCCTTGCTGAGCTCCTCCTGGGACCGGATATCCTCCACCTTGTCGACGGACAGCTCCTCGAGGGTGTCGAGGGCGAACTTTTGGGCGCGCTCGTAACCGGTGACGATATCGGACGTCTTGAGGCCCATACGCAGCAGGTCCTCGGCTTTCCGCAGAAGCTCGCCGGCCAGAACGATGACCAGGTTTGTGGCATCGCCCATCTCCGACTCTTGCTGCTGACTGGCCATGACGAGGAGCTTGGCGGCGGGGTGGACGACGTCGAGTTCTCTGAGGATGGTGGCGGCGTCTGAGGTGAGGATCATCTTCTGGAGGTGGTTGATGACGATCTTGTTGCGGCCGTAGGGGCCCAGAGAGGTCTGGACGGTCGAGGCGATGGCGCGGCAGGCGTCGATGTTTCGCAGGACGGCTCCATCTTCGGAATCGTAGCTGTTGCGAGGGGTCAGTCGGTGACGGGTGGGATGGCGGGGGAGCTTCTCGACGAGATACTCACTTGTTGTAACCCCCCTTGAACAAGCCCGCATTGGGGGCGTTGGGGATGTTGAGAGACATGGTGGACTGACGACCAGATGCGCTTCGAGAATCGGAGATTTGTCAGTCGTGCCGGTCGTAACAACGGTGTAGGAGTACCCTTGGTGTTGACGATGTGGTTGCGGGAGCTCCTCCAGGCTCAAAAAAAAGTCTGGGTGCACTGCAGCCTTGGTGGGTTGAAGTGGGAGATGACCAATCAGGGCGTCGCAGGCGCGCTATTGATCCGATCCGGCGCGACCAAGCCTGGATTTCGGGATATCTTCAGCGGCGTTTTTTTGTTTTTTGGGGCTGTTTTTGTGATTTACCTGTTATTGAGGTGCTTATCTATGAGTTATTGTCAATTTTCACTTTTGACAATTTTCCATGAATTTCCAGTGCAATATTCCACCTTCATCACGGCCGCGGTTCTACGACATTCCCCCAGGGTCGCAGTTCCTCCAGGCGGGCCCCATAGCAGGTAGTGGGTGCTATTTGGTCACCCCCCTGGCCGGTGGTCCACCCCCCCTGCTGTGAGACAACAGCTGCCAGCCTCGCAGTCCCAGCTGGCGCTGACACTGGCTTTGGCGCTGATGCGATTTGCCGGTTGGTTCTGAGTCCTGACGACAATCGCCCATCACGGTCGCGCGTTTGCCTCACCACTTTCTCCAACCTGTCTGGTCCAGATTCACTTTTCCGAGCAAGCTTCAACTCAATCTTTCTTTCATCCTTTGGACGCACTCAGCTCGTGCGAAAATCTTGTTTCGAGTACAAAACCCCAATGGCTCCGCAATCCGGTACGTTCGTCTCCCTCGATACAAGCAAGCACAAGCACGAGCAAGCAGCAGCAATCAACTGCCACCCTCGCAAAAGCTCCGCTTGACATCCGCTGCGAACCCCATCTCCATCCCGCCGCAACTCAACTCCTCTCTCCCCCCTACCCGTTAAAAAAAAGCCAAAAAAGAGTCCCCCGTTTTATCCTCATCACGAATTACATACACAACGCGAGCCGCGCTACCGCCGGGACGTCGTCGCAACAGAGACAACAATGCCTCCGAAGAAGATCATCAGAGCTAATCCTCCCGCGATCGACCTCTCAGCGATCCCGCCCTCCCTCCCTCCCTCCGTCGAGGAGGCGTACCGGAGGAAATGCATCCAGCTCAAGCAGCGCACCCTCGAGGTCGAGGAGGAGAACGACGCGACCCGCGTGCGCCTCGCCCGCATCCGACGACAGATTGAGAAGCAGCGCATCGAGCGCGCCTTCCTCCTCGAGCAGCTGTCCAAACGCACCAGCGCCAACGTGGAAGACTCAGACGGCAGCCCGAGCCCGCCACCGACTGTAGGCCCTCCGCCAAGCCCACCTCGACGACAAAGCAGACTGCTGACACCATCTCAGCCGCAAGAGAAGCCTCTGCGTACGAAGCGCGGCCACCGCAAGCCCTCCGTCCTCGCCGAGATCGACTCCGCCGCCGCCAAGAACAACTCCCCCAACCCCAACAGCCAGAACGCCGCCACCGTCTCCCCGAGCTCCGAGACCTTCTCGCATACCCAGAACGCAGGCGACTCCCAGGCCTCCGCCTCGGCCCGCACCAACGGCGTCGCGAAGCCCCCCAAGCGCCCCGGCAACGCCTTCGAAATGTACTGCGCCGACAGCCGGCCCGCCCTCGAGGAGAAGAAGGTCGACGACGCCGACGTCAACATCGACGAGGAGCTGGCCCGCGGCTGGAAGGACCTGCCCGAGGCCGACAAGGACGAGTTCCAGAACCGCTCCGAGCAGGAGATGGCCAAGTACCAGAAGGAGAAGGACGCCTACGCCGCCAAGAGCAAGAGCGCCGAGCCCAAGGACGACCGCGACAAGACCCCGCAACCCGCGCCGTCCCAGGACGAGGACGTCGAGATGACCAACTACGACACCGAGGAACAGGAACAACCAGAGGATACACCTGCGGCGGACGACAGGGACGACAAGGACGATAAGGCCGACGACTAGATGTCCCGTTGGAGGTCCCGTTGGGTTCCCTTGTTCCCCCAGCCGGGGGATGCACATTACTACTAGGCGTTCAGGACTTGGCGGGTAGAGGAATGGTTTGTTTGTACACTATGAGATAAAATAATCGACTCCTAGAACGGAGCGCTTGCGGCTTTCTTATGCTCTTTTCTGCCCTTTTGTAGCGCCGTGAAGCTCCCTTTCTATGCGATCAACTGAACCCCTTGGTGTCCTGTGTGTCCTCTACGTCGATTACCTCCCATCCCTGATTTTCCCATCCTGAAAGAACACGAATTGGAACCTAGATCCGGCGCCTATAATCCATGTTACTAATCCGATGCGTACAAGTCGACCACGATGTTGATGGCTGCGACGACGATCTCCGCCGCGATGAGTACAATTACTGTGCAGTGTTAGTCCGTGTCATCTGTTCACTGCCACGAGACATACCAATCCATTCGAGCTTCTCTCCGTGTCCGTGGCTGAGCTGGTCTTTGAGGACGGCCAGCAGGTCCGCGATGACGTCGAGCCGCTCCGTCAAGAGACCAACGCGCTGGTCCATCTCCAGGTAGCTGCGGACGGCCTGGTACACCGGCTCCAGCTGCGGCTCGACCCAAAAGAGCTCGGGTGTGTCGAGCACCGAGCCGTTGAGGTGGATGTTGATACGCAGAATGAAGAGCTCGCCAATCTGCATGTTGATTTGGGTCCGGCTCAGGGCGATCTTGCCGGTGAGAGCGATTTGTGTGGGGATATCTTTACATGTGTCGACTGTCGAAGCTATCAACTCCTCGAAGAGGGACGTCTGTGACGGATTAGCGATGTAGAGCACACGCAGGCAATGAGACACACCTTGACACTCTGTGCTAATGCGTGGGAGATGGCCAGCTTGGTCATGTAGTTCCGCTTGTCCCGCAACGTGATGAAGTCGTTGTATATGCGGGCCTGGTACTCCCGCGTGTAGTAAAAGTTGAAGTGCTCCGTCTCGACGTCGTCCGGCGCCAGCTTCTCCGTCTCGAACTTGGCAATCTCCTTCAGGAACCGCTGCTCCTGGGCCAGCGACATGCCCCATATCACGACGACGCCGTAGTCGAAGAGGAAGACCTCGGGCGTGTGGACCTGGGTGTCGAAGTCGGGGTTCGTCTCGACGAGGGCGTTCTCGTGGCCGCCGTCGAAGCCGTCGGCGAACCCGGAGTCCTGCCTGCCCTCCGAGTGCAGGTCTATCAGGTTGTCCCGGCTGAAGCCGTTGTCCGAGACGTCGCCCGTCGAGTGCCGCCTCTCGTACGCCTGCACGGGGTCCGGCTGCGCGCCCACCCTGCGGTCGTGTCTGTTCTCGACCGTCTTGGTGTAGTCGTACGCCGAGTAGATGCACTCGTCAATCAGCTTGGGGTTGGCGCCCCTCGTCTTCCCCCGCCCCTTGAGGAACCGCATCAGGCCCTCCATCTGGTACTTGTTCGCCGTGCAGTACGCCGTCACCCTGGGCAGCCTGTCGCGGTCCGCCTTGCCCAGCCGCGCGGCGTCCCTCCGTGCCGTGGGGTCCTTGATACGCGTGTACTGCGAGTACACGTCCCTCCCGCTCTCCTCGTCGGGGCTGTCCTCCAGCTCGGGGGCGGGCAGCAGCTTGAGCTTCTGCGCGTTCTTGGTGCTCCGCTGGGGGCCGATCTTGGGCACCAGCTGCGCGGGCATGCTCGGGACGGCGCCATGGCTGTTGCGGCGGCGCAGCTTGCTGTTGATGGAGGCGATGGCGGAGCTCTGGCCGCCGAGGCTGGTCGAGAGGGCGTTCTGGCTCGTTCGCGGGCGCGGGAAGTCCGGCTCGGGCTCTATCGTCTTGGACACGGGGTTCGGGTTGAAGGTGACGGTGCGCGACGACTTTGGGCGGTTCTCTGTCGTCGGGAGGAGTGGCGTGTTCTCGGTGGCCGAGGCCGAGCCGGGTGTTGTTGTTGTCTGATCCATCGCGTAGCTTTTCCTTTATTTTTTTCCCTCCTTCCGTGCTTTTCTTTCTGTCTTTCTCGCTCCAGGGGGGTATCACAGAACACAAAAAAGGAAATCTCGAAAAAAGTCGTCAGACCCGGATGATGGAGAGTGCTCGGATCGGATCGTGTTATCGCATGTCGCAAGGGTATTCTGGAGATGCCTCAGCTCAAAGGTGCCCAGGGGAGGGAGGTCATTGCTTGTGCAAGCGACACAAAAACTGCTGGGTCCGGCTGGTGCTGGATTTGCACCATGTCTGATGACGTCCTCAGTTTTCACAAACCTCCACCGTACCAGGGGCCGGCCACAGCTGTGGGCTCCTGTATTTTGCGGGGAAAGCTGTTTTCGGTGCGCTAATTACCCGTCCATTGGCGGTGCTGCTTTTTCGGCTGAGGACCTTGAGGCACTCCCTGATCCGTGTTCCTCTTGACGTCTCCAGTTCTCATGATGAGCCTCACATCATCTCAACACCGTATTCCCAATGAGTATCTATATAGTAAAGTATTATCAATTGACGGGATGGGAGGTTACGGGCTGGCCAGCATCTCAAAGCATCCGGTTTGCAACTTATTTACAATATTGTCTGCTGCAGCCGTCGTTGACGCCGTGGCTACTCCTGTCATCACTATCATTATGGGAGTACTTCTCTCATAATTCTTCATCATTCATAGTGTTGACAGCTGTGAGGGGCTCAACAGCGAGGTCGATGACCTGACTGAACATAAACGCATCTCCTGATTCGCAGCAGCTCCCCTGGCAAGCGCCAACCTGGGGTTGCAGCTGTCGCTGCTAGAGCAACTCAAGTTGCATGACAAACATGCGCTACCACACTCAGTGCCTAGGAACGTGGATGACAGCGTCGATCGCTACCATTCTCACAATACTCATCGAGCTGTTTCAACGCCACGGAACATCACATTATTCCGTCTACCGCGGCTCAAGCAGGACGGCTTCATCATCGTTTACTACAAAGTTTCGTTTAAATCCAGGTCCCGAGCTGGAAACCGAAGCCGAGTCAGATTGTTGCTTCCACACACCTCTGCACGAATCACCATCCAAAGAGAGTTGAACCTTGCGCATGTCATTACAATGGGCCACATAAACAACGTTATTATTCAAACACGAGACGCACACCTCTCCGGTTGACTTGCCGCTACTCCAGGATCTTCGTCTCAAATCTGAAGCCAACATCGTGCAATCGATCAATGTATGGTTGACCCAAGCATGCGGCCGTAAAGACACCACCCGGCAAGTCGACATCGTCCTCCAGCAGCGTTGATGCGGCCTGGGCCAACAGCATACCGGTCACTGTCCAAGTCAGCACTCCTTCACATACCAGCCATGCGCGAATGCACTCACAATAATACATGCTGCCGGTGTACCAGGCGCGGCAGTATGCCTGAGAGCCCGCAGCCTTCGACTCCGGGTCCGCAAAAGCAATGCCACGGTACTCGATCTCGTCCTTCTTCGCCAACTCCTTGTCGGGGCCCTGGCCGGGCTCGTAGACGAACCTTCTGGCCAGCTTCCTGAACGGAGCCACCGTCGCGAGGAGCAGGCCGAAGAACGCCAGCGCCCAGTGGATGGCGACACCGTGGAGGTAACTCTTCGCCCTCATGTACTCGTGGAACGAAAAGTTCGGCCCGTAGAACTGCTTCTCCCGCGAGGCCACGGACGCCATGAGACCCCACGACCTCTGCACGATGGGCGTGTCCGTCATGCCGGCGACCGACGTGGTCATCAGTCCCAGGTTCGGCACGTCGCGCAGTCCCACCAGCCTGGTCAGGAAGGACGTCTGCGACCGAACCTTGTTGCGGTTCGGGACCGGGGAGAGAGCGTATGGCTTGTGCTGCGCCCTCACCTCCGCGATGGAGAATGACTCGAACAGGCCGAGAACCGTGGCCAGGGTACCGCCAGACGGAGCTGAACTATATCGTAAGATTCGGCGTTAGAGCGACGTTCTGTCAAAGTTTCAGGGCCGGGGCCACCACTTACTCCAGCTGGTGAATGGAGACCGTCACCGCGCCCGTCTTGGCCAGCAGCTTTTCGCGGAGGACTTTGGCGAGGGACCAGGTGACGAGGTCTGGCGGCGCCGACTCGATGCCGATCTGGGGGAACATCATCGCGCCCGTCTCTTGCGCCGCGCCCTCGTACTTGTTGATCATCGTGCCGGTCCAGGGCGTTTCGCCGGTGACGTCCATGTAATGCGTGCCATTCTCGGCGCAGGCGCGGAAAGCGTACTCGCCGTATTGAGCGTAGGGCCCGACTGTGGTGATGAGAATGTATGTCTTCTTGACGAGGCGCTCGAGGTCTTCTTCGTTGAGGCTGCAAATCTCGATTTCTGTGATGACGGTCAGCAACCGGTATGCTGTTGATGGGCACTAATAGAAGCTCGCCAAGCCCGCATGAAGCCGCATGAAGGCTGCAACCCCTCGACTTTTCATTCGACTGCCCTCGCCACACCCGTCTAATTGTCCAATCCTCATTCTTCCAGTCGTCATTGTGATAAACACCAAGGGACGATGGAGGAAAGTCCAAGACGCTTGGCTCGAGGAAATCCGGGGAAATCAGACACTCATCTGATATGAACAAGAACTCAAAACCCTCCGACTTACCAGGCTGCACTCTATCAGGATTCAGCTTCTTGCACTCTGCAACGACATCTCGAAGCTTGGACTGCGACCGGCCTGCAACCGCCCATTTCAAATTGGATGGCAGATGCGTCGTGATGTGCTCCGTTACAAAGGCCCCGGTATATCCTAATGATGAACGTCAGCTCGCTCTCGGTATCATCAAACTACAGCGCCGCTTCATTAACACAGCAACTCGCACGTACCCGTTGCGCCGAAAACGACCAGATCGTACTGGCGGCCGTGCTGCTTAATTGGCATCCTGGAGATTTCACTCGACAAGTATTGAACGAAGAGAAGACGGAGACGAACGAAGACGGTCACAGCCGCTCAAGGTGCTTAAAAGTCTCAGACATCTCGAAGAGTTCATGCGCGGCGGCGGCGTCGTCTTCTTTACATATCCCGGCACGCCACCGAAAAGTGGCACCCCCCGCCGTAGGTAGGTAGGTATCCCTTTAGACCTTCCGGCCCCTTTCCAGCACGCAGACGATGATCCCTCACCGCGGCCGTTTCGCGGGGACCGATTGGTGACACATTCCACACGCTGCGGCCGTTGGCAGCGCAAACCTTCTGGTGTAGCAATACGGCGATATCGACTCGTAAGGGCATCTGGCCCGCCGCCCGTCCTGCCTCGGCACCCCAGCGCCCCCCTCGCGACGTCCACCCGGACGCTGTGCTTTCCAAATCCGGCCTAGAAGGGCCGAGCGGACAGCGTGTGACGCCGATCTCCCGGACTGATTGAAAGCTCCGTTTGAGGCAGAAACCGGTGCAACCTCGCAGGATTCCGTCGGCGGGGGATGAGAGACAGCTGCCGGTCAGGTGACATAGCACGTGCCCTCGCTAAGGGAGCCTTGACATCACCGGCGAAGGGCAGAGACACCCGCCGAAGTTTTGCCTTTTTTCTCGAGTGGCCCGTGCTCCCAGCCACGCGCACACAGAAGTCCAGCCCTGAAATTCAAACCATCTCACAAAACTTTTTAGAGCAAGCCGCCTTGGGAGGATCCAAATCTCGCATCGTCGCACTTCAAGTCAACGAACCCGTTCCCCCAACACATCGACAAAATGGCCAAGCGCACCAAGGTTCGTGACCGTCTGCAATTAACCCCCAGGAGGACCGGCTTCGTCGAATTCATGTCATGCTTCGGATATCCCTACCCCGCCTCGACGACGTCCGGTTTTGCTCCATTGGTGACAGTGGAAGGTGAGGCCTGAGCTGGCATCGAGGGTTTGGGGAAGGGGAGAGAGTAGTCTTTCGACTGAGCGGTAGACCGAGAGAGCTTCAGACCACGAATCCAGAACGAGAGAGACGACCGACACGACCACGCCGACACCGACATGGCGCATTGGGACGAGTCTTCCCACAGAACTATTCCGACAACGACGCAGGATTGACGACAACACCGAAGCGTCTTCTGAACCTCTTGCGCCAAGTTTGGACGATGAACGTCATGCGCAACCCCGCAACTGGCTCAACCTCTCGACGGTCTCTCTCTTCACTTCGTGGTCGAAAGCTCTGCGGGAATTACGTCTACTCGCCAATAGCATGACGGATATTGACGAAGCCATGATCCTCCGACCGACCTCACCAGCAGATGGCTAACAACCCTACAGAAGGTCGGAGTTACCGGCAAGTACGGTACCCGTTACGGTGCTTCCCTGCGTAAGCAGGTGAAGAAGATGGAAATCTCCCAGCACGCCACCTACACCTGCACGTTCTGCGGAAAGCCCACCGTCAAGCGCCACTCCACCGGTATCTGGAACTGCAAGGGCTGCAAGAAGACCGTTGCCGGCGGTGCCTACACTGTCTCGTACGTTGAACCCCCCAGGTCGCGATGATCTCTGAACGGCACACACTAACGCGAGACCCAGCACCCCCGCCGCCGCTGCCATGCGCTCTACTCTCCGTCGTCTGAGGGAAATCGCCGAGGTTTAAGGATGGGATGAAGGATGTTGGACGGCTTCTGCTTTGCATTTTCGGGCGGTGTATGGGAAAACCGGATATTCATGTCTACCCTGACGACGGACCACAACGGAACGGGTCTTCGGTCAGCTGCCAGAGGGACCACTTGGTCAGCAATGAAAAGAACTTGACGTACAGCAACGTCCCCTCCCGCGCTAACGTCCTGATGAGTCTGCACGCCTGCGAGGCAAGTCGTTCCGTGAAGTGATGAACACCTTGGTTGGGGTTCGAGAGTGGAGTTGGGCATGGACAGAGTCATCGATCCCGTCACCCAGCCGCGTGGTCACGACTGGTCCGATACGGCGATCTGCACTGCTCGTCATAAAGAGGCATCCACGAGGCTACATACGCGTTGGCAGGCCTCGACGCTTTTGTGCCCAACCGAGACAGGCCAGGCCACCACGTCCCGCTGGGTGCCTGCATTGGACTGCGTCCGAGGCGAATCGTCCCACCAAGGTTCTCACGCGAGGCTACCGGTGACCCTATTTGCCCACAGTTGACACCTCGAATTAGAGTATTGCCGAGACAGACAAACGAGTGCACACAGTACGTAGGGCGCTGCCACGTTGGATCGGATATTGAGTCATCCAGGTGCCCTGGATTTACAAGGCGCGCACGCAGCTGGCAGGGTCAGGCGGCCAATGAGACGCGTGACTACGACGATGGAAAAGAGGACACCAGAGACACGGCGGGTTCGCACCATGTAAGTCGGTGTGTTCTCGTTTTCACCACGTCCCTGTTCTCCGATAAGAGACAACGAGGGACGCCTAATCAAAGAGGCCGAGGGTGAGGAAATCAGGAGACGAAACGTTCGTAAGTCGAGATGAGGTACGCAAAGTAGGCAATTTTGAGGGGGGCCGTCGTTCCCCTTGCGGAATGGGCCGTCCACGATCAAAGACACATGGGTTATAAAACGCGGGCCATCCGCTTCAATTTGCCCGTCGTCCCTTTCGAACCCTCGCTACGGTGTTGGAGCAATTTGCAAGGCAAGGGAAAGACGGGATCCCGACTCACGCTGATTTTCGTGGTGGCCGGGAACGAGCGGCCGGCGACCGGTATCAAAAAAGCCAAGTTCGAAGTTCGCTCGGGCGCACCAAGGAAGAGACGGACTCTGGGGGCTTGGGGTCGCAACCTGACGCAGCGAGCCAGCACCCACCAGCCAATCTCGTGGGCAACCCTTTCCGCGGGCGAACGAGTCGAGGGGCGTGAAGGTCTCACGTGTACCTTGCGTACTGCGGCAGCATCAGCATCATCATCATCGTCGTTATCCGCGTCTACCTTGGCTTTAATTCACGGTAAAGTAGGCTGTGGCTTTCCATGTCCCGCACGTACGCCCGCCCCCAACTCCCGAGTCTCCCCCATGATTGATGAGAAGATCCCATTTTTGGAAGCGGAGAATGGCACTTTCACGGTCGACCTGACCCATTCCAGCGACGTTAGTATTCACACCCTGCGCCCCGGCTTTTCCTCTTCAGCCATCTTCTCGTTCCGCCCTCGATTCGACTGCTGCCCATTGTTCCACAACCCGTTCTCAACCCTTCCATTCTGGCCGTCACCCCTTATTGTCCCGGGCTGCCGTTGCCGACTTTGCGTTTCAACCCGGAATACCACCTCCCACCTCCTTACGTCGAGAGGCACCGCCTTGGGTTGTGGATTACACCTGACAGGAGTGTCTGACGTAAACGCCTCACTCGCGCGCGCACACCCCGATCTCACTCTCAGGTCGCCTCGATCCAGAGTCCAGACGCATCACGCAGAAGAACAGACTAAACATCACTGCACACATCTCACCTTGCGGCGTATAGATACCTACCCAAGGTATCCGTATCTCGCGCTCAGCTGGCTCGAGGTACCTGACCAACTGACGTCGCACAAGCGCACCCATTCAAGGTGGTTGACTCGCCCACTTAGCTTGCTACAAGCACTACTACCACCACTGCTTTCTTTCCCCCTTCCAACCACCTTCTATTCGTCGTCCCCCAGTCTCAGTTCATTCCGTCTTGGAGGGTGGCCAAGAGAAGCAGAGAGGTGCCAAAAGAGCTAGGAAACCGAGAGGAGAAAGGCCCGGCAGACGCAACGCAACACGACGCAACGCCTCGCCGTCGCCGTCTGGGGTGGTTCCAGTTCCAGTTGTCTGCCGCCAAGTCCAGCAGGTCTAGGTACGTATCAACTCTCTTTTTGCTTCGCGCTTCCTGACTTGCCCGATTGGTGAGGTTGCCGAGGAGCAGTGCCCCATTCACTCATGACTTGCGTTACTGCGCACCTTGGTGTTTGGCCAGGTGAGGTGAGGTGAGAGTGAGTGAGTGAGCGAGGTGCTGCTGCTCGTCGCCGTTGACTTGCCGCCGCTGTTGATGCATCGATGCAGAGATCCTTGGGGGTATGTGCTTTTGCAGCGGCCCTAGTGGGTTAGTGTCCGATGAGAAGGACGTCCAGCGGTGGTGGCAGGCAGGCCATGAGGTCCCTGTCCAGACTCCAGACCGCAGGACCACGGTCTCTGGCCCTGCGGTCTGCGGTCTGCGGTCTGCGGTCTGCGATGTGTGGCGCACTGGTGCATGAAGCCGGTCCCGTCGTTGATTGGCCTCGCTGGAGTCCAGCTGCAGGTCTGCGCTAAGCTCGCAAAAAGCCGCTTGGGGGCTCTGGGCTCTCCAAACTTTCCCTCCTACAATTCCAGTTCTGAGCAGAGAGAAGTCCATCACGCACGTCGATACTGATACCGCGGTACACCTGTCAGCCAGCTGGCACCTGCGGTTACCCTCGCCTCAGAAGTGCGAATCTCGTCTCCTCTCGCACTGGGGGGGCTCTCCCAGCAGCTCTTAATTCTTTTTTATTTTATTTTTTGGTTTCCCTTTCAGTTCCAGCGGCGAAACATCCCCGAACCGGCTGACAGTTCCCTCCCGCCAGAAACATAGCACACGGCACCAAAACCAACCTTGCTCCGTCAGTCAGTCAGTCTGTCTGTTCTGCCTGCTTGCCTACCTACCCACCTACCTTCCATTTCCTCTTTTCCACTCTTCAGCAACAAACCCTTCCCAGCGCAGCAGCGTGTGCTCCCAGCACTACCAGTCTGTCACCTCAGCACCCAGCACCCAGCACCACCACCACCACCACTGCGACTCGACCATCTTTGCCGCCCACCTCACTGCCAGTCAGTCAGTCCACGCCCGACGACAAGGCAAACCGTAAACATTTTGCAGAGAACAAAAACAGCCAAATTCGACGTGAACTTTGGTGCACTTCAATAGCCATATATTGGCCTCTCCCTCCTACGAATTTTATGAATTCACCAACTTCCAAGCGATACTACCACAGTTGCCACAATGACTGAGCCGGATCAGTGCATCATATGCCTGGAGTCGCTGCAGCCCCCCTCGTCTCAGCCGGACGGTGCAAACGGGGCGGGACCTACAGCACCATCAACAACAAAACAACAGGTCTACCAACGCATCGACTCCGACATTGAAATCCTCCAAGACGAAAACGACTACATCGCTACTCTCGTCGGCTGCAACCATGTAGTCCACGATCGCTGCATCAGGAGCTGGGCAAAGAACTCAAACACCTGTCCCATTTGCCGCACGCCTTTCAATGAGGTCAGTCTATCATCTGAGCTCAACGGTACGTATCGCCTGAACCATCCCACCACCCTCACCACCGCGACAACAGCGACTAACTCGAGAATTTACAGGCCCTGCCGTCGACTCGTACGCCGTTCAGGATAAGAAGCAGGAGCAGGAATTCGACATCCACCGCTGGCTCGAAGAGAACCCCGAAGACGAAGAATCGGAGCCCAGCGTGGCATGCCCCGTCTGCGAGTCCTCGGATCACGAAGACGTCCTGCTCCTCTGCGACGGCTGCAACGCCGCCTACCACACGCACTGCATCGGCCTGCCTGAGATCCCCGAGACGGAATACTGGTTCTGCTTCGAGTGTTCCGACAACAGCGCGGGCCGACCTCGTCCCGCGGGCATCTCCCAGGGCTCGGTGCAGGAAGCCCAGGCCATCTCGCAGGCCATCGCGCAGGCTGCACGACCCTCCAACAGACGGAATGTCTATGCCCGCCGGGGCTTCCTGCGCACCCAACTTCAGGCCAGAAACGCCAGGCGCGAGGCTAGGTCTCTCGAGTGGCAAGGCGCCTGGGACCGCATTGCGAGCCGCATCTATGATGCCACCGAAATCGACCTCGATAACCACGAGGAAGACGACGCATTCCAGAGCTTCCGCCGTGCCCAGGCACAGAGGGAGCAGATCCGCGAGCTGCAGGAGCATCGTGACTGGGAGCAGCGTATGAGCATCGCCAGCCGCATGGGCGCAAGAGACGTCTTCGTTCGGAATATTCGGCCTACTGTTGGCCATCGTCTGGACGGTGTCCCCGTCGAGCCGGCGCAGCCGCCACCGCCGCCAGCCCCGGAGACGAGAGAGGAGCAGCGTGCTTGGGGTGCACTTGAGCGGGCTCGTGAGACCGAGGCCACCCCCAACACCCGGAAGCGAAAGTCGAGATCCGTCACGGCTTCCCCGCAGGAGCCCGCACAAGAACCCGAGCGTAAGCTGAAGCGCCCTCGCACTCGCCGCCTGCCTTTGCAGGGAGAGGCGTCTGCCTCCGCCTCTGGCTCCGGGTCGGCCTCTGGATCGGCGTCTGGATCATCAGCTTCGCCTTCAGCGTCAGCGTCAGCTTCCGCCCCCACCTCCGTGCCACCGGCCCTGTCATCGCCTGTAACGATATTGGCGTCGAGGCCTGTCGCTCACAGCACGACGAACGCGGCGTCTCGCCGCCCTCAGTCGCCCATCAACACGGAGCCCGGCCCCTCGTTCCTCTCTTCGCTGCTCAAGGAGGTCGAGATGAGCGCACCGTCGGAGGACGAGACCGCGCGGAATTATTTCGGCACTCGCTCTGGTGTCGACCCCTCGTCTCCCGTCACATCCCCCTCACCATCTTCACGAAACTCTCCCCGGGCGCTGTCCCTCACACCGCCACCCCACCCCCGGCCTAGTTCACCTACGCTGTCTCTGAGCTCTTACGTGGAGCCAAGATTCCCCAAGGCGAACTACTCGCCGACTCGAGCTTCGGGAGGTGACAGCAGCGACTCGGACAGCCGTACGAACGGCGCCGAGATCCGTCAACCCCGACCTCAGAGACCTGTGCGCCACCGAGCCAACCTCTCGCGGTCGCAAGACTCGTCGCCCACACGACCCGCCATCACCCTCGAAACCAAGGAAAGAATTAGCAGCATTGTCCGGGCCGCACTGAGGCCACATTACCACGCGAAGGAGCTCACGTCTGAGCAGTACGCAGACATCAACCGCGACGTTTCCCGGAAGCTGTACGAGGGTCTGCGCGACCCCCTGGCCCTCGACGAGGATGCCCGGAAGGCGTGGGAGAAGAAAGCCGCCAAGGAGGTGGCCCGTGCGGTTGAGAATCTGAAGGCTTGATCGAAGTCACGAACGGAATGGGCATCTGGCGTTCATGGTGTTTGGCAGCGAACCACGCGGTTTGATACCCAACACTTCATCAAAGTGGCTTTGAATTTTTCTCGGCTTGGGACCGATTGCTTCTTTTTTTTTTCTCGACTAGGGTAGACCCGATTTGTATCTTAGGGGGTCTCGCATGACTCGATTGCCCAAATGTTGAGGCACTTGTTTTGGACGGAACTCGAGACAAGCAGCAGAAGCTTCTCATGTACTGTAGATAGATGACGAATGACGAATGGACGGACGTGACGAACTTAATGCCTATGAGCGTATAATTGACGTCGTGACCGACTATGATTTGGGCACAGTTAGCACACGTGAACCCTAGCGAGAGAGCAAGAGGGCAGAGCAAAAATTCGAAGAGTGCGCCCAAATCAAGGCGTGGCTTGTGAGCCGAGGAAAATCCATCGAGAAATCCTCACTCCGGGTCCAGCTTGGACCGAGATTTTCAGCAACCAGCGGTGTGTGGAGCTGAAATGTTTGCAGTATCTATCTAACAGTGAATCCCAGTAGGAAAGATGCAGGCGCTGCTAGCGAAAAAGACTGCTTTTTACTCTGGGCACTCGAAAAATGATCAGGACGTTCTGGAGGCGGAACAGGTCTTGACGATAAGGAAATGGTGCCGTAGAGAGAAAAAAGAGAAGAAAGGAAGAAAGTCGGCGGCCCGTTGGGAAAGATAAAAAGGGCTCTGCGGGCAGAAGGTCCACTGCTCACGTAATCGCGTCCGGGCCGTCTGTGCTCCTCTGCCAGGTGGACCGTGCTTCCATCGGAGGGACAGAAGCTCGGCGGCCTTAGGTAAGCACAAACGACGACAGTCTGTCGCGGTACGTATCGCGGCCGAGCTTGCAGCAAAAAAGTTCAATCCCATCTGGAGATCTCGAGTGAGGTGTTGACGAGGAGACCCGGTACACCCACACATCCAGCATGGCGGCCACAAGCAGAGGCGCATTCGCCGTTCTAGGGCGTCTTCAAAGTACGTCCCGCAATCGCAGTGCTTGCCATTGATCAATTGACTGACCCGTGAACCGCAGCAGCATCCCCCAGACTCTGCCGGCAATGCGCTAGAGTCCAGATCAGAGCTCCCTTGCGGGCCTACTCAGGCGCCGCCGCCGCCGCCGCATCGACGACGACGACCACCCCTCCGGGCCCCCCGAACCCGCCCACCATCCCCCCCGAGCCCAAGCCCGCGGCCCCGAAGGAGGCCGGCCCCGGCGGCTACCGCATCAAGTCGGGCGTCGTGGTGACCCGCGCCCCGCTCCTCACGCGGCCCCTGACGGACTTCGAGCAGGCCTACTTCTTCTACCAGAAGCGCCTCAACGAGCGGCTCGCGCTGCCCTTCATCACCTCGGTCTACTTCAAGCCCGACACGCCGGCGCTGATCGACTGGAACATGAAGGTCAAGGACCGCCAGGGCACGGTGGCCAAGGAGCTGGGCGTGTACAACGGCAAGGCGTCCAAGGCGTGGGACGACGAGCTGCTCGTCGGCGACGGGCTGAGCGGGCAGGACGCGGCGGTCGACCTGCTGCTGAAGGACGCCGTGATGCGCGTCAGCGACGACGCCGAGATCATCCCGGAGGAGGACCGCGCGCCTCCCGAGAAGCTGCAGCCGCGCGCGAGCGAGGCGGACGCCAAGGGGGACAAGACGAGGCTGGACCGGGCCATGGACCGGACGCTGTACCTCGTCGTGAAGAAGGGCGACGTGTGGGAGTTCCCCGCGGCGGGGCTCAGCACGCAGGAGAACCTGCACGAGGTGAGTTCGCACGCGCCCGCGGGAGAGAGAGAGAGAGAGAGAAAACGTGTACTGACGACGAGCGAACAGGGCGCCAAGCGTGTGCTCGCCAACACGGCCGGCGTGAACATGAACACGTGGATGGTCGGCCGGAGCCCGGTGGCGCACCACGTGCCGGAGCCGGTGGTGAAGGAGGACGGCGTCGTGGAGCGGTCCAAGACGTTCTTCCTCAAGTTCCGGATCATGGCGGGCCAGGCGGACGTGGCGGCCAACAAGTACGGCTACGAGGCGTTCCGGTGGCTGACGAGGGAGGAGCTGAAGGAGACGCTGCCGTGGGAGTACTACCACAGCATACGCAACATGTTGGCCGACAGGTGAAGAAGGTGAAGATGAAGAAAAGAAAATGGCGAACGAGAGAAGACTCGCGGGTGTGGGTTTTGACGTGGGATGAGACGCGGGGGAGGAGAGTGTAACGCTGTTGTATCATAGATGAACTGTACAATCAAATCTTCACTGGGTTACGTCGACGGGTGGGTTGGCTGTCTTGGTTTTGGGATCGTCTGTTCTGCTGGTTGAGTGATGTGAGACGGTGGAATTGGTTCTGAATGGTGGATGCGGTGTGGGTTCGTAAGGTCGAGGTGGTCAAGGAGCCGCCCCTGACTACGTTATTCTCGTGATGCTCTTGTCGTTTCAAACATAGTTCTGTTTAAAAGAACACGGCGACATCAGCGTCTTTACAACGCCAATGAGAAGACCCGACAGCCACTCGCGATCCCCCTTTCTCTTTTGCGAGTCCGTTTAGGCGTCTTTCGCAAGTGACCAATACTGGCGTAGACTTGCATTGGTATCATGCTCGTCTTCATCGTGTATGTGAACTGTTGTCGTATGCTTTGGAGGAGCTTGATCAGTCTGCCCGATCCTCTTTGCCAATAGCAACAGACAGCAACAGAACTGTTCTCAACGGTGGTGACATCAACCCGGCCAAGGCCGTACAAACGTACGCGGGCGAGAGAATCTCAATTATAGAGCCTTGGTGGTTGGTCTTGGATAAGACTGTATTATAAGATTAGACGTTGTTGGTTCACTCACTTGAGAAAGGGGTTGGATATCCGTCACGGCAGATCATGCACCATCTGTGCCCTCCATCGAATTCAGTGTGTATTGATCCATCGATGTCTCCTTAAGAAGGCGAGGTTGCCCAAAGATGTCGTTGACTTGGGAATCGACATCCAAGTCCAATATGGATCGCAGATGCCTGGGTCGCATCGCATACTTGGGCCAGTGACGAACCTTTCCCATAGTAGTAATTTGAACTATGAGTGCGGCAGAAGCTCCCATGCTCGACCTCACCTCGAGCCTCAGGTCCAACAACAAAGGACGCCTCACCTCACCTCGTCAGCCCCACCCGCACCTTGATGCCTCGCCGACCACCCACCCACCCCTTATATATCCAAACTCTTCTTCGGTCTTCAACAATCCGTGACGCAGCGGGACAACTAGGCGCTTCGGCGAGTTTGTCTCTGAACGTCCCGGCTCACGGGTGCGTGGGTTCGATTCCCACCGCCGTTAGCAAAATCCTAGCATCGTTACACCTGAGGCTGGTAAGAGTCTCCTAGGCATTTTCATAGGTCCTTCTGGACTGAACTTTTTGATTTTTTGGCTTTTGATTTTGTTGGTGTTCCTGATGATGGTGTGTACTGTCGTCGCTATATGTTTTGAAGGAGCTCCGGTATGTCTAGGCGATGTCATTATCGCGATACCCTCACAGTCCTTTATTTCCCTTGGACCAGAAGCAGCATCACCTTGAATATTGGAGTTTGGATAGTATTTGAGAGATTGGTTATATTTAATGATGGGCAGGAACCCACTGCTTTTTTCTCTTGCGTTCTTTGAGCTACCGATGATTAACGTTCTCAAGACAGATAATTCATATCTTCCATAGACCGAACGGCCTTTTTGTTGTTAGGTGCACCTCATATAGATGGATGGGCTTATGATTTCTCATTGTGTTGAGTGCTGGGCATGGCACCCAAATTGTGTTCTATGTGCAAAGTTCTTCTTCAAGATGTTACAGGATGTGTTTTTTCCCTTTTCCTCGTAATACGCGATAGCCACACTTTTTTCTGTCCTGAGCCTCCATCGTCTTCGTTATCATTGTCGTCAACAAATCCTCTGCCTCATATAGTCGACTAAAAAGCTCTTTGCTTGCTCTCCCAACTACCACCCACACCTGCCGCCTCAAACAACATCACCACTTCATGCGGGTGGCAGTCCACCAACCGCCACCATGGAGGTCAACATGGAAAATTTCTGGCAGCAGCTGCCGAGAATATTAATCTCCATCGCGGAATCGAACTTCGTCGCCATCGACGTCGAAATGACCGGCATCACCGACAATCTGGCCGACGTGGCCCGGAAGCAAAACAATCATACGCGGCAGGGCCTCTACGAGGCCGGCAAGCGGATCGCGTCCACCTACAACCTTTTCCAGCTCGGCCTCACCTGCGTTAAGTCCGACGGGGGTAACGCGGCCCCCTTTCCCCCGACGGACAACCACTAACGCACGCAGACGATTCGTACAAGACGGAGACCTACAGCTTCTACGTCAGCCCCCTGCTGCTCGAGGACACCAGGGAAGACGACTTCTTCGCGCAGGACGTCGGCAGGAACCTGACGACGTCGCTCAGCACGCTCAAGTTCATGAGGCGGGAGGGTCTCCAGCTGGAGAAGATCCTCGACGACCCCGTGCCGTACCTCAGCCGCAAGGAGGTCCGCGAGGCGGAGGAGCGCCTGGAACGCCGGACGCAGAGGCAGCCGTTGAAGGATCATCCGTACAACGAGGACGACGAGGGGCTCACGTTCTTCAGCGCGTACGTGTTTGACGAGATCACGACGTGGTTGGGTGATCGTAGCGAGAATGTGAGCTGCCTCCCCTTGCGTCTCTCTTCGCCCCTTTTCTCTCTTTCCCCCTCTGTCATTTTTCACTTGTTCACGTAATTCTCCCACACGAGCGGCAGTCCGTATTCACTTCTGGCATCGTGCTGACAGGTTGGGCTTGACAGAAAGATCCAGAGATCAAGATTCGCATTCCGCCCTCGGAAAGCAAGAAGCGGAGCAGCGTGTACCACAAGATTGTTCGGGTGACTGCCAGAAACCTAGCTCCGCACATGAAGTGTCGCACGTGGGATTACGGAGCTACGGTAGTCATTTATATGGACAATTCCGACGAGGATTGCGAGGTAATGTTCCTTCTGACGGATCAAATTCTCAAACAGTTCTCAGCGTGTTAACCAATATCCCAGAAAGAAGAGCTTATTCGAAAGCGTTTCGATGATTCGCTGAGAAAGCAAACAGGTGCGTGATTCCCATTTCGTCTGAGGCAACAATAGCTGACTGGCGAAGGCATCCGCTTGATTATCGAGGCACTCGCCGGAGGGCGTTTCGCCGGTATTATCGACCCGAGTAGTATTGTCGACGCGCTGCGTTCATGGCCGGGCGGCATGACCGTGCAGGACTTCTGCAAAGAAGTCGAGGACAAATTCGGTTTCAGCGCCTATAGGAAACTGCCTCGACAGTCTGAACAGCCCTCTGAACATGGTCGACCACCCGCGGATAACAACAACTCTGGCTCATCCGACTGGACGCCCGGAGATGACAGTTCGAAGGAAGAGCTACTGGAGGGTTCAATGACACCTGAGGGGCTACACGACGGCTGGGCTACGACAGACGACGAATGGGCTACATCAAGTCGACGAAAAGTGACTAACGACTGGGCCACGGCAGATGACGGATGGGTCACATCCAGTAACGGCTGGGCTACCGCGGACAACGAATGGGCGAGATCGAATAATGACCGGAACATACGAAGCATGCAGAGTCCCGCCAGCCTTGGCGCTTCCTGGGAAGAACCCGCCGGGTATAACGAATCGGACCATTCAGTCGACGAAGAGTCAGAAGAAGCGCTGGTTTCGATGGTTGCAACCGCCCTCTGTAGCCTTGAAAGGCGTCTCGAATCGACACGTCCACCTATCGTCGGGCACAACCAGTTATGGGATCTGTTGTTTCTCTACCAGACGTTCATTGACGACCTTCCCGACTCTTCGGGTGAGTTCTTTGCCAATATCCATGAGTTGTTCCCCTTCATCCTGGACACCAAGATCATGGCAATCAGCCATCAGCCGATCGAAGGGGAAGATCCGTTGGCGGACCTGTTCAACAGATTCACGGTCAACAACGCAAAGCCGTACATTTCCTGGGACCCGTCGTATGGATACAGCCGGAAGGGCAACGTCCATGAGGCTGGCTATGACAGTACGTTGGCTCGCCCCTGATTCCCACAGGACTTGACTAACTCGACCAGGCTACATGACCGCTACTGTCCTCCTGCGTCTCGGCCACAAACTGGCTCGTGAAAGCGAAGCGGGCGGTGCTGACCAGCGCGAGACCTGGGACGAGAAGATGCGGCGCCTGTACAGCAAGGGCTGGCTGATAGCTATCGGTCGTGACCCCGACTGTTTCGGACCAGATACAGAGCCGGGTTTTGGCACATTGGCATCCTACTACTCGGACGACGATGACGATGACGATGTTGGGTCTCTCCACTGGAACCATCCCGTGTTCGAGGAATTTCACAACACTCTCCGCATAGGCCCCTCCACGACCGTCTTCCTTGAGAGACAATGGGCCGCTGACCGAGCTTTTCGGGGCCGCCTACCGCGTTTGAAGGACAGCGACGGGGAGGGTCTGGACTCTTGAGACGCGTAAAGTGGAAGAAAAGAACTTTGTATTACACGGCCACGACCTTTGCAATACACTCCACTATTATTAGTCCTGGTCGAATACCTCAATAGCGGTGACTACCGATAGGGCGATAATACCGAGAGAGGCAGCAAACTTTACAACACACCGTTATCACTACGTCGAATACTCAAGTTGTGACAATGGATAACAATGACAATGATAGAACCAACGAGGAGGGGTAAGGGCAACAGTGGTAGCGAGGAGTAGTTGCAAGACGCAAAAGCCGTGGCCATGATCCTGGTGTTGCGACCCCGCCACGATCGGATTGCGGGTCAGTCGTTGTTCATTCCATTCTCTTCAGTGACAGTCCTCAAGGTGAACCAATTGGTCATCCCCTCCGATTGAATCTGCCAGTCTGCTTCATCCGCAGTGGATGAGGGGAAGACGAATTTCCGGCTCTCCGTTCCCGTGCCTCGGAAAGGCCTCGGGATAATCTGGGGAAACAGGGGCACGCGAACTCAAAGTTTTGGACGCGTTCTCTGTGACAGGTGATGGGGTCAATTAAAGAAACAATATTAATAGCCCAGCTAAGACGATGAAGATGCCCCGGGGCATCCCAAGTCGGGAGGGCGAGATCACGAAGATTTGAAATGACAGGCGGCGACAGCATGAGACGATCGTCTCTAAATGGTTGGTGATCTCCGCGAGGTGAGATGAAGCTCGGCCGGTCGTCTTGGGCAACCCCTGTTTACTTGCGCTCTTCCCCGATCGGGAAGCTGCACCCAATGAGGCGGCCGGACGCCGAGGAGAGAAAAATGCGACCTCGTGGAGGCTAGAGGGATACTTCACGTGTCTTGCATCCGTTGCGACGTCACAGGTACTCGCTTATCGTCCGTCCCCTCTCGTCTTTGGCGGTCAGCTGCCCAGGCCGCAGAAGCCGGGGTGAGCCCACCACCCTCACGGTCTCACGGTTGGCAGGCCCCGGCCTGCAGAGGACAAACCGAGGCTAAACTTTTGGTCGGGGCCGAAAAAGTGTAACCGTGCCTGTGCCTGTGCCTGGCCAGTGCCGAGCGGTAATTGGCCCAGCAGTCTCCCATTCCACTCAAGTCAGCAGGTGGCCCAGCTCCATTCTCCAGCGAAACAGCAACCAGCAACCCAGCACCACCACCAGTTCCAACCTGGAAGTCCACACCTCACCACCGAACACCGGCAATCCGAATCTAAACCACGCCCAAGAACCACATGTCGCGCCTCTCGTCACAGTCCGCCGGTGGCATTTGAGCAGGAACGCGTATGATGGCCGCCATTCTCCGCACCACCGATACATAACAATAAACCCCGTTCTTTTCTTGGTCTCCCCCTCGTCAATTTCCCTTCCGTCTGGGGCACGTCAATGCCGACAAATTGAGTTGGATCGCCCTACACTGCTCGTCCTCTAAATGCCCGCCAACATGTCGTCCCTCAACGGCTCCTACACGGCGACCTTGAGTCCCACGCTCGCCTCGTCCGAAACCGCTTCCGCATTCCCTCCGCACATGCTCTCGAGCTCCATCTCCTCGCTCTCCTCATCGACCTCGTCGCGCCACACATCTCAGATATCAAAGACCTACCGCCAGGCCTCCACCCTCTTCCTCACGCGTCGTCTGCCCGAGGCCCTGTCCACCATCTCGCCCTTGATCACCCCGCCGCCGGGACAGTCGGACGGCGCACCCACAGAACCCGCGCCCGTCGCGAGGGCCTCCAGGTCCACGAGGATCAAGGTCTGGAGCCTGTACCTCACGACGCTCAACGCAATCGTCGAGCTGGAGCCCGACGAGGGGAAGGATGCTTTTGGAAGCCAGGAGTGGCGATCGCTGTGCACAAAGGTTCGGGAGGGAGAAGTGTGGGAGGAGGTCGTCCGCAACGGATACCACGGCGTCGAGAGCGACGTCGACTCCGACGTCGTTATAAACCTGTAAGCGCCTTTCTTGTGTGTTGCCGCCGGCCATCTCGTACTAACAAGGACTCTAGCGCCACGCTGCTCCTAGCCCACGCCCGGACTCAAGAACTGAACCAGAAGAGGTTGGAGAGCTATCTCGCCGCCTCGACATCACCAAACCTGGATCTCTCACAGAGATTCTCCGACACGCCGTCGCCGTCCCCGCGGCTGAACAACCGGCACAGGTCGCCGGCGAAGGGGACGAGCGGCGCCGATACGCCGAGGGACCTGAATGCGAGGGTGAAGATCCTCGAGCTGTACACTCTTCACGTATTGCTGCGTAATAACGAATGGGACTATGCCCGAGAATTCATCAGCGTGAGCTCAGTATTAGACGATGAGCGCCGCGAGGCGTTCCTGCAAGCTTTGCAGAGCCTGCAGGAGGAACAGCAAGAAGCCGAGAGGCGAGAGACCGAGGAGAGACGCCAAGAGCAGGAGCAGCTGCGTCGCGATATCGAAGAAGCCAAGAAACTAAGGGCTGAAAACGAAGAGAGGGAGCGCAGGAGGCTAGAGGAAGAGCGCGCCAGGAGAGAAGGCACCGAAGTGGACTACGGCATCGAGGGGACGCCGAGCAGAGCAGGATCCAGCAAGGCAGGTTCGAGCAAAGGTCGCCACGCGAGAGCCGTGTCGAACGCCTCGGGGTCCAATTCAAATCCGAAGATGCCCGTCTCAAGAGCGAAGGGGAAATCACCGACCAGCCCGACATTCGGCACCAGGGCGTCGATGGTTGTGTCTCGGATGAAGGAGCTTATAGATCAGCTGGGGGCGTCGTTCAAGACGAACCCCATGTTGCTGATGCGGCTTTTAGCATTTATTTTGGGTTTGGTCGTCATGTTTGGACAGAAGAACATCCGAGAGCGGATACAGCGCGTGCTTGGTAATGGCTGGAGTAAGGTAAAGGCGACGGCGGGAATGGGAGTCAAGGTTAGCTACATATGATTACGACGGGTACCGGCTAGCATTGACTCTCACTGTACTATATGAATCGGGATGATATGGCTGTAATTATCTGGCCTCTGAATATTTTCATGCAAAAATGGAGCTTTTTCAAATTTGGCAAATTCCCTTCGTTCCGTCGTACAAAGTGGGATATCATTGTGATCTGAGTCGAAAACCCCATCCCGCCGCGTCTTTAACTAGCGACGCCCAAACGCCATATACACGATGCCATGCCCATGTGTCGCGAAAAAAGTTTGTCCATCGTATCCATGCTTCTTCTCCCACGCGTAAAAACACACACCACCGGTTGCCCAAGCCCGGGCGACGTAGGGACTAGTACGTCGCCGTGCGATTCGTTTTCTTCTGGTAGAACAGGTCGGTTCGCGAGCTGCCGAGGTTGATGATCTTGGGGCACCCGTCGCGGTCCTTCTCGAGGCGCGTGCACTCGAAGCAGTAGAAGGCGTCCGAGATGCCCTCGCCGCCGCAGACGACGCACTTGTTCTGGTAGTTGCCGAAGGAGCACTCGTCGCAGATGCGGACGAGGGTCGTGGGCCGGACGTACGAGTCGCAGACGGGGCACTTGCCGTCGCACTTGTCGCAGAGGCGGCCGATGGCGATGCCGGCCTGCTTGCGGCACATGACGAGATCGCTGGAGAACGGGGGTCAGTATTGAGGTCTTCGGGGCGGGTGGGAGGGGGGTGGGATGACGTACGGGTGATGGCGCGACATTTTGGCGGTTCGAAAGAGTGGCGGCCGCTGGGTATCTCGAGGGAGTGGTTTGGGGACGGCCTTGGTGTTTGTTGTCGCGAAGTCGCGGCACTTTGTACTCGACAGGGCGTGGAAGAAAGTTGACGGCGCTCAGCAGCCTCGCCACCTCTTCTCGATGTTTCTCCATCCGTTATTGGTACGGCCCCAGTCTGATCCGGGCCGAGGTGGGGTACTCTGCGGGTCGCCTCCTCTGAGTGGCTGGACCCCGCTGACAAACCTCAGCCTTGGAGCTTGAGCTGGAGCTTTCGAGCTTCACCACGGCGCAACGTCGCATTCAACGTATCAAATCAAGGGGTGTCAAATTTCTATTTTTCTTATATACTACCAAACCGTCGCGAATCTCGAATCAGACTCCGGAGTCTGCGCGACATCGAAATGGCGACAGTTACGGAGTACGTCCTGTTGCACCTTGGGAGAGTACGACTAGCTGACAACGACGACAGGGCGCCCGCCGATATCATCGACGCAGACCACACGAGCCCCAAAGCCGACGTTTCGCAGAAGCGCAAAGCCTCCAACGTTTCAGACGAGCCCGAAGACACCTCAAAACGAGCCAGGATCGAAGACGACGACCGACGCGACGCACCCAGCCAGTCCTCGCCCACGGAACCGAGACGCCGCGAATCGGACGCGGGTGCAGGCACCGGCCCCGGTCGCAGGGGCGCGGCTTCGAAAGAGGAAGAGAAGAAGCGCGGGAAGAGGCTATTCGGCGGTCTGCTGAGCACGCTGAGCCAGACCAACACCAGCTCCCAGCACAAGAAGCGCAGGGAGATCGAGCAGCGGCAGCAGGAGAGGGCGCAGAAGCAGAGGGCGGAAGACGACAAGAGGAGAGCCGAGAAAGTGGCAAAAGTTACGGAGTCGCGCTGGAAGGAGCAGATCAACTATGACGAGAAAGTCGTGCGTGGTCACTGTCTCCCTTGCGACGATGACATGGTTGCTTACGCCCCGCGCAGATGAAGACACGGCACTCGAACATGTTGGCGATGGCGCACTCTCTCAAGACGAAAGCGCAGCCCGCGATTGTATGTATTACTTCCACGGCTGGTTTTGACCGCGCTGACCGAGTCTTTAGTTTTACCGGCCATGGAAACTCACGCGAGAACAAGAAGACACGATCGGCGACCAGCTGCAGGGCGTCAAGGCCACGATAGCCAGAGAATTGGATGCCTTCGAAGAGCGCAGGGAGGAGCATGAAAAGCGGTACGGTCGAAGCAGGCCACCTCCGGAGCAGGAGGAGCCCGCGCCTGCGGCTGTTGAGAGTTCAGCGGACGCACCTCCGGCCCCGGACGCCATCGTGGTCGATGCCCCAGCGGCCGAGACCACGACGGCACCGTTTCACGATAAGAATGACGACGCCGACGTCGTCGAGGATGCCGAGGATACGGTGATATACTGAGGCGCCGAGTTACCGCGGCTCTTACAAACTAATATGTTTTTCTCATCATTTCTACTTCAATAGGTTCTTTGGCGCTGGGGGCATGGGTGCTTGCTTCTTCGAGGGTGGGTGTGGAAAAAGTTTGGACGTCGCGGACACGATACCAATTGGGCGTTCAGAGCAGCATTTTAACTTAAAGATATCCAACGAAACAACAACCTGAAATTCGATACCAAGACACTGAAGACATCATCCCGCGGACCGGTCGAGGCAATGCGCTGACTCGGGGCCGGCCGAGTGACGTGTGATGGGCTTCCCCAGCTGGTGGATCCTCGTCACTAGCAGCCGTTCTGCCGTTAAAGAATCGACGGGCGCGTACATCAGGGTTCGCAGATTTTATAATCCGCCGACCTGCCTCGGAAGCCGACGTCGTCGTCACCACGAGATGACACAATGGTGGTGCCTTTTCGTGCAAGGGGCTCCGACTCGCGGCGCCGCGGATTTCACGTCGTCTCTGCTCCTGAGCCTCGGCATCGCTGCGACGCGGACGGGGGCGCTAACGATTCCACGCCAGGGACTCCGATGGCACGACATGCGAAGGGCCCCGCGCGGGTGGGGTTCCCGGCCACGCCGGCCCTCTCTGGTTCTCTGCGCTGCGCGGCCCCACGTCGCCTCACAGCTCCTCGTCGACCCAGAAGCTTGCCCGCTTGCCCCTCTCGTGGGCTCTTCTGGGTTTGTTTTCGGCGTTGTTATCCCGCTTGTGGTTTTATCGCGAGTGCGAAGCTTGTTTCGTCGTGTCGAGCTACCTAGGCCGAGGCTCACTCACACCGCTCGTACGTTCGAATGGTTTCTCAGCACTCGGGATTGGCATCGCGTTCCCACTCATGACTCGGAGTTGGCGACTCGGGGGGAAACTGGCATATAAAGAGAGTTCGGACGGTTTCTTGATCCCGCATCCCGCGCCGGTCTCCTGCATGCCACTTCTCGGACCACTTGCTCTTTTTCGGCTATTCCCCGCACCGTCGTTCGTTCGGAGATCGGCCGTTTACCTAGCAGGACCTGGCCTCGGCCTGATCAATTAGCTCACATAAAAGCTCAGACGACCCCCTCCGTCACAGAGCCTCAACCGCAATGTCGCTGGCACTCACCCCCGACCATTCCTACGCGTACAACATGACCGTCGACAAGATCACGCCCAACGACCCCCGCATCGAGCGGAAGCAGGCCGATGTCCGGGGCAAGACCTACTCCTACCTCCACGGCAAGCCGGAGGGCGGCGCCGCGCCCAAGGGCACCGTCGTCCTCATCCACGGCTTCCCGGACATCTCGCTCGGCTGGCGCTACCAGATCCCCATGTTCCTCTCCCTCGGCTACCAGGTCGTCGTCCCGGACTGCCTCGGCTACGGCCAGACCTCGTCCCCCGAGGCCCTCGAGGAGTTCACCCTCAAGAGCATGGCCGACGACGTCAAGGCGCTGAGCGAGCACGTCGCGCCCGGCGAGCGGATCGTCCTCGGCGGCCACGACTGGGGGGGCGCCCTCGTCTGGCGCGTCGCCCTCTGGCACCCGTCCCTCCTCCGGGGCGTCTTCAGCGTCTGCACGCCCTACAACGCGCCCACGACGCACTGGTTCGACCTCGCCGACCTCATCGCCGCCGGCAAGTTCCACAACTTCAAGTACCAGCTCCAGCTGCGCGGCCCGGACGTCGCGGACCGCCTCACCGCGCCCGCCGACATCCGCCAGTTCCTGCAGGGCATCTACGGCGGCAAGGGCCCCGACGGCGAGCTCGTCTTCACCACGCAGGAGGGCGTCGTCTTCGAGAACATCGGCAAGATCGGCCCCACGCCGCTGCTCAGCGAGGAGGAGATCGCGTACTACGCCGACAACTTCGCCAGGAGCGGCCTGCGCGGGCCGACCAACTGGTACCGCACGCGCAAGCTCAACTACGAGGAGGAGCTCCCGCTGGCGGAGAAGGCGGAGAAGGAGGGCGGCGCGCCCGTCAAGGTGGCGCCGCCGAGCCTGTTCATCCTGGCGAACCGGGACGCGGCGCTGCCGGCGTCGATGGCGGCGGGGATGGAGCAGCACTTCGAGGACCTGACGCGCGGGGAGGTCACGGCGACGCACTGGGCGCTGTGGGAGGCGCCGGAGGAGGTGAACAAGCAGATCAAGGCGTGGTTGGATAGCAAGGTCAACAAGCCGACGGCGAATTTGTGAGTTTTCATTTTATATCGACTGGACGGTCACACACGGCTTCACGGCAACCTTTTGGGATTTTGGGAATTAACGTTTTTATGAAAAAAAGGCAGGAGTAATATGTAGTCGGTAATGACTAGAGATGATGAATGAACATGAGATTTTGTCAAGCGAGGCTTGTGTTTTCTCCGTTGATTTGATGCTCGCGCGTCTGTCTGCAGCTACGTACATGAGGGTCGTATGCGACATTGCGCTTCCCTCAGAGCTTTTTGTGTCTGGCTGGTTGAATGTACGGCCTTCGACTGCCTAGATCACGCAAGACCAGTACCATGTATACACATCGCGCCCGTCTCCGGTTGTTACATATTGGTCTGGCCAGCCTAGGCGGCCTTGCGCACTTCTTTCTAAGTAGCAAAGGATCCCATCGCATGTTTGAGGTATCGCGTGTGGACCCGGCTGTAGCTCTAGGTCTCGAGGTTCGGCATCGTCCGCCCGTGGTCCGTCATCGAAATCGGCGCGGGTTTGAGATTTCTGACATGGCTGATCGCCCCATATCCCAGACCTTCACTTGAGCGTAAACTTCTGACCGGCGACGGCGGGCGCGGCCGTCTTCTTCTTGTTGGGTTTGCCGCAAGAGGCGCAGGAATCGGCGCGATATGCGCACGACTGGCACAGGGCGTGGCCCTGGGAGACCTTGGTCTTGCACTTTGAGCACGCGCTCGAGTACTGGGCGTACGGGTTCTTGGCCGCCTTGGAGAGGAGCTTGCTCTTGCCGATGCCGGTGCTTCCCAGGGTCGCTTTCGAGGACGAGGACGATGAGGTGCCGGAGCCGTGGTAGATCTCGCTCTTCTTCTTGACGGAGGGCGTCGCGAGGGTGCTCCCTCCCTTGCCGAGCTTTGTGCACTTTGCGCAGACCATTGCGAGTGATGGTTGAGGACGTCGTCGTGGGGTGTTTGGTGGTGGTTGAGGCGATGGACCTCGGAGCAAGACTAGATAAGACGGCTTATCTAACCTTGAGGCTGAGAAGTGGCGGCTGTGGCTGGACGTTGGTGACGCAACATCACAGGCTTCCGCGTTTAGACGCTTCTGCTGAAGTTCCCGGTGGGTCCGAGGCGGACGTGAGGGCGGAGCTAGCAGCCTACGGAAGCTGGGATTCGCAAACGACACTTGTCGGGACCGTGGGCGGTAGCCACAATAGGGGCCCTTTCTGAATGTTTTCTCTCTTGGTTTTACGGGGTCCCCAGCCACTCTGGAATTGAAACTGGATCAGCTCATCAGCGCTCTTCAGCGATAAGTCGCGTCGCTGGCCAACAGGACCGCTCCGCGAGGGCGAGCCGTGGGCTATCGGTACCGGGGTGAGGAGTTTCCAAGGCGGCAGAGAAATTCGTCTGGTCAATTCGGACGAGCGAGAGTGGCCGTATCCACCGGTAATCACAGATCTCGGGGGGGTTGACGAGAAATTTTGTTTGTTTTGCGGGAGATGCTTAATTATTGTCCCCGACGATTGGAAGAGGATTGGAGGGGGGCCCTGGCTCTGCCAACTCGCCTCGCCCTCTCGTCCCGGTCTGGCGTTGTTCGGTTGGGAATTTGGCACCTGGGGGATCGCGTCTGAGCGACGACGCAAGTCCTCCAGCAAGGACCGTGAACCGCAGCTAAACCGATGGACTAACGAGTGTCGTGCTGTTGGTTGGCTTGTGTCAATCTCGAGTGGCTGACTGACGCAGATGCAGATGTAGATGCAGATGGGCGGACAGACAAGCCCGAGTTTCCGTGCAAATGTCCGTCTTGTTCCCCGGATTAACGATGGAGGGGAGGAAAAGAGCCCCGAGAAATCCTTCGCGCCAACGCCAACCGTCCCAGTCTGCCCTGTCGTCGTAGATGATGTGGCTGGACCTGTCTTCAGCTTCGATACGGATAGTGTAGGTACGAGGAAGAAGATGGACTTCGAGGTTGACTGCAGCCGCTAAGAGGGTAAACAGCCCACGAATAGCAACAGGCCCCACGTGTCCCCCTTCAGTGGAGCTGCCACCCCCAAAATCATGCCCAGGCTGCTAGGCTCCCCCGTTTCGCAGCGAAGAATTGGCTGGCTGGCTGCGGAAGCACTGCAAAACAGCGCCGCAAAACAGAACCAAAAAGCGGCATGATGAAAGTATCTTTTTGGTGTATCTGAACCAAAGAGATACATACACAACAAGGCCGCAGCCGAGCCCGCACTGCCAGCTGCGACCTCCCCCGGGGCCAACCAACCAAGCCCGGTACTGCCACCTGCCACCCACCTTCACCTTCGCTGCACTGCACTGCACTGCACTGCTTCTCTCTCTGCCAGTCGTCTCGTCTCGTCTTGTCCCGTCGCTCCCTTGCGCCGCCTGTTCAAGCACCAGCATCCTCAAACACGACTATCCGCAGATCCCATCTTCCCGCAGACGAAACTCCTCGCATCACCTCAATTCTTGGCCACTGGTCTCCAAGATCTCTTCTTGTTTCCTCGACCGCCACAAATCATTCATAGCGACTGCGTTGCTTTGCATTCTGGTACCTCTTGGAGAGAGTACTTCGGTCCTCTCTGCCCGACTTCTCGACCTACCTACGTCTACGCCTACGTCGCCCTGCACCCTCCGCCCGTTGACGTAGCGCGAACCCGACCACTGTGTAATCCTAATCCTGCGCCAAAGGAGGCTGTGCTGCAACATACGGATTGCTGGGCCACTCTTTTTTTCCCGCCAGCTACAGAGTACCACCACCAACGAACGCCCTACTGCGGCGTCGATTCTCACTGCCGTCGTCGCCGTCTCGTCTCGTCGTCCATCTCACCCGCTGCGGCTACGAATCCCACGAATACCCTCGTCGAACGAATACGCTCCCGAAATACCGCCCTTCTTCGATTCCATCGCTCCTTCATTCATGTGTCCGGAAACACGACCTTAATCCACAACCCCCGACTTCGCATGCTGGACATTCCTACAGACTCGCACCTTGATCGCCCAGCAACGCAACCAGTCTCCCCCGCATGGCTGGACGACCGACAGGAGGTCCTCCCGGAGGTCCCTCGAATAATGATCTGCTGTTAGATCTGGACAACGATCAGCCTGCCTACGGCGGCGGCCAGCGATCCGCGATGAACGATGACGACCTCATGCGATTCCACGGCCACGATCAAGACCAGGCCCAGGGCCGTCCCTCCGTATCCTACGACGACTTCGTTGGCGGAGGAGGTGCACCGGCAGGAGGACACAATGCGCAACAGCCTTCAGCACTGAGGCCGCAGCCCGGTGGTCTCGCGTCCCCGGGCGCTCCCGGCGGCGCTGCTTCCGGCACCCCCTACATGCAGAGGCATTACAGCCAAACGTCAGAACTGAACAACTATCAGCGATACGCCGACGACTTCGACGACTACCCGGACGGACACGACTCCTACTACCAACAAGGCGGAAGTGCCACGAGCCAGAACAATGTCGCAGATCCGTCCGCCAGGGCCAACGCCCGGAACCGTAATAGCGTTCTCAGCTTGGGCGGCGGCTTCTTTGGCCGCATGAAGAATAGACTGGGAATGGGTCAGGGCTACTCAGAGATGGATCTTCCCTTAACGGAGGCAGGTCGCGGACGGGAACCTGGCGCGGATCAACAAGCCAAGCAGGGCAAGAAGTTCGACATGGGCAACTTCAAGTTCGGATTCGGTCGCAGCAAACCCGACCCCTCGACGCTGGGCCCGCGAATCATCCACCTCAACAACCCGCCTGCGAACGCCGCGAACAAGTATGTCGACAACCACATCTCGACGGCCAAGTACAACATTGCGTCCTTCCTCCCCAAGTTCCTCTTCGAGCAGTTCTCCAAGTTCGCCAACATCTTCTTCCTGTTCACGGCCGCGCTGCAGCAGATCCCTAACCTCTCGCCCACCAACCGATACACGACGATTATTCCTCTCTTCATCGTCATGCTGGTCTCTGCAGGCAAGGAATTGGTGGAAGACTACCGCCGGAAGCAGGCCGACAACGCGCTCAACACGTCCAAGGCGCGCATTCTGCGAGGCACCGGGTTTCAGGAGAGCAAGTGGATCAACGTCGCAGTGGGAGACATCATCCGCGTCGAGTCGGAGGAACCGTTCCCTGCCGATCTGGTCCTCCTCGCCAGTTCCGAGCCGGAGGGTCTGTGCTATATCGAAACAGCCAATCTTGATGGAGAGACCAACCTGAAGATCAAGCAAGCTCTCCCAGAGACATGCCCCATGGTGAGCTCCAGCGAGCTGAGCAGGCTTGGCGGTCGCATCAAATCCGAGCAGCCCAACAGCAGCTTGTACACGTATGAGGCAACTTTGACAATGCAAGCCGGTGGCGGTGAGAAAGAGCTGCCTTTGAACCCCGAGCAGCTCCTCCTTCGTGGTGCAACTCTGCGCAACACTCCCTGGATTCACGGCGTTGTCGTCTTTACCGGCCATGAGACAAAGCTCATGCGCAATGCCACGGCAGCACCCATCAAGCGCACCAAGGTCGAGAAGAAGCTGAACATCTTGGTCCTGGTCCTGGTCGGCATCCTCCTGGTTCTTAGTGTCATCTGTACAGTGGGAGACCTCGTCCAGCGTAAGGTCGAGGGCGAAGCTCTCTCATACCTGATGCTGGATTCCACTGGTTCCGCCGGCGACATTGTGAAGACTTTCTTCAAGGACATGGTCACCTACTGGGTTTTGTTCTCATCGCTTGTGCCCATTTCGCTTTTCGTCACCCTGGAGATGGTCAAGTATTGGCACGGTATTCTCATCAATGATGACCTCGACATCTACTATGACAGAACGGACACCCCTGCAAACTGCAGAACATCCAGCTTGGTGGAGGAACTCGGCATGGTTGAATATGTCTTCTCCGACAAGACCGGCACGCTGACCTGCAACATGATGGAGTTCAAGCAGGCCTCGATTGGCGGGATTCAGTATGCGGAGGACGTTCCGGAAGACCTCAGGGCTACGATCCAGGATGGTGTTGAAGTTGGAATCCACGACTACAAGCGACTCGCAGAGAACCTCAAGGGCCACGAAACGGCTCCCGTCATCGACCACTTCCTGTCGCTTTTGGCCACCTGCCACACGGTTATCCCCGAGCGAAGCGACGAAAAGGGCGGCAAGATCAAGTACCAGGCAGCTTCACCCGACGAAGGAGCCCTCGTCGAGGGCGCGGCTTCCCTGGGCTACGTCTTCACCGACCGCAAGCCGAGGTCTGTCTTCATCGAGGCGAACGGACGGGAGCAGGAATACGAACTATTGGCCGTCTGCGAATTCAACTCCACCAGAAAGCGCATGTCGACGATCTACCGATGCCCCGACGGCAAGATTCGCGTCTACTGCAAGGGTGCCGACACCGTCATTCTCGAGCGCCTGAACGACCAAAACCCCCATGTTGAAGCCACGCTCCGTCATCTGGAAGACTACGCCTCCGAAGGTCTGCGAACACTGTGTCTGGCAATGCGCGAGGTACCCGAGCAGGAGTTCCAGGAATGGTTCAAGATTTACGAAAAGGCATCCACCACCGTCGGTGGCAACCGTGCCGATGAGCTGGACAAGGCCTCGGAAATCATCGAACGCGACTTCTACCTCCTTGGAGCGACCGCTATTGAAGATCGCCTCCAAGATGGCGTCCCGGAGACCATTCACACTCTGCAGCAGGCCAACATCAAGGTGTGGGTCTTGACTGGTGATCGACAGGAGACTGCCATCAACATTGGCATGAGTTGCAAGCTCCTCAGCGAGGACATGATGCTCCTGATTGTGAACGAGGAAAGCGCCGCCGCGACGAGGGACAACCTGCAGAAGAAGCTCGACGCCATCCGGACACAGGGCGACGGAACCATCGAAACAGAGACACTGGCCCTCATTATCGACGGCAAGTCCTTGACGTACGCTCTGGAGAAGGATCTGGAGAAGCTCTTCTTGGACTTGGCCATCATGTGCAAGGCAGTCATCTGCTGCCGTGTCTCCCCCCTCCAGAAAGCACTTGTCGTCAAGTTGGTCAAGAAGTACCAAAAGGAAGCCATCTCTCTCGCCATCGGCGACGGCGCCAACGACGTGTCCATGATCCAGGCCGCCCACATCGGCGTGGGTATCAGCGGTATGGAAGGTCTCCAGGCTGCTCGAAGCGCCGATGTCTCTATCGGACAGTTCAGGTACCTCAGGAAGCTCTTGCTGGTGCACGGTGCCTGGAGTTACCAGCGTGTTGCCAAGACCATTCTGTTCTCATTCTACAAGAACATCACCTTGTACATGACGCAGTTCTGGGTAAGTCTGCCTCGACTCCGATTTACGTCACGTCTTCTAACCTTCATAGTACACGTTCCAAAACGTCTTCTCTGGTGCGGTCATTTACGAATCCTGGACCCTATCCTTCTACAACGTCTTCTACACCGTTTTCCCTCCCCTGGCCCTGGGTATCCTGGACCAGTTCATCTCCGCGAGACTCCTTGACCGCTACCCTCAGTTGTACAACATGGGCCAGCAGAACCAGTTCTTCAGACTGAAGATCTTCGCCGAATGGGTCGCCAACGCCATCTACCACTCCATCATCCTCTACGTCTTCGGCGAGCTTATCTGGTACGGTGACCTCATCCAGGGTGACGGACAGATTGCGGGCCACTGGGTCTGGGGCACAGCTCTTTACGCCGCTGTCCTGCTCACCGTCCTCGGAAAGGCGGCCCTCATCACGAACAACTGGACAAAGTACCACGTTCTCGCCATCCCGGGCAGTATGCTCTTTTGGTGGGGTTTCATCGCGCTGTACGGTACCGTTGCGCCCATGATCCCCTTCTCGGCCGAGTACCACGGCGTCATCCCCAAGCTGTACAGCAGCCCGGTCTTCTGGCTGCAGACCATCTCTCTGGCCCTCATGTGTCTACTGAGAGATATTGCCTGGAAGTTCGCCAAGCGCATGTACATGCCGCAAACCTACCACCACATCCAGGAGATTCAGAAGTACAACATCCAAGATTACAGACCTAGGTACGTCATCCGGCCGCGTGTGCATTTGTTCTCCAGTCGCTAACGTCTCCCCAGAATGGAACAATTCCAAAAGGCCATCCGCAAGGTGCGCCAAGTACAGCGTATGCGTAAGCAGCGCGGCTACGCCTTCTCCCAGGCAGACGAGAGTCAGACGAGAGTGCTCCAGGCGTACGACACGACACAGCAGCGTGGTCGCTACGGCGAGATGACCAGCTCGAGACCTCAAGGCAGGTAATAGAGCATGTTCGTTTCGGCTGCCGTCGCGAAGAAAGAGAAGAAGAAAAAAAAGATTCCATGATGATCACGACGAAAGGGGGGGCCGGCTGCGTGTTTTTTTATTCAACTTTTTATTATTATTACTGGTGTATTCCCAAACGAAATGGTAATGCAAAGGCAGCGACGACAGCACGATGTAAAACTTTTTATGTTGGTTTTTCTCTCCCTTCTCGCTTTCCCCCTATTCTTATATGCATGCATGGTCGGAGGGGGTGTCCTCTACGACGACGAAAAAGGAGGGGGTTTACCCAACGGGCTGGGCGTTCTCACTTCTTTTTATTTTACTTCCTCCCTCTCTGCCTCTCCCTCTCTCGCTCTCTCGGGTTGTCTCTCTCTCTCTCTCTCTCTAGCGAGGAGAATAGCACATGGACAAGCCACATACGGCGCGCGCAGGCATGTCAAGGGCCACGTCACCCGCTTGGGGATATGACGACGAGGACAAAAAGGGAATATGTGGTGGAAACCCGTGTCAAGACGCGGCAGGTCCGAGCAGAGGGGCAGAGGAGGGGATGACAGATTCAAACGATCTTGGTGGACGAGCTGCGTATGTGAGGGGAGGTGGGAAAGTGTTGTTGTTGTTGTTGTTGTTGTTGTATGTAGAAGATATGGACGAACCAAGAGAGTCTTGGATTCGCAGACAAGTTGCTTTTTTCAGTAGGGGGCCGGCGGGCGTTTTTGGTTCGAGAACCATGGCGAATTGACCCAATATCCTCTTCAAGTCACACCGTGTGCTACTTTCTTGCCTCGTACGTCTCTCTCTCTCTGGTCAATACCTTAACGGCGTCACATCACGATCCCATGTCAAGAGTGTGTTTAACGTATGATTAGAAGTCGTATTGATACCTAAAAAGCTCTACTCCGCCTCACCCACAATCGCGTACGGGGCAACGGCGTAAACTATGAACACGAAGAGAAAACACCCTATCACTCGCAGCAGCCACAATCCTAGTCCGTGGCGAAACGGTCCGTGAATCGGAACGTCGCCAGACCCTCCTTGAAACTGCTCACGATGCCGCCCACGCCGTCGGCCGAGTAGACGCCGTTGCCGGCCTGCACGCCGAGCGCGGGCGACCTCTCCAGCGCCGCGCCGACGGCGCCGACGGGCTTGCCCCACCGGTACGAGTCGATGACGAGCTGGGCGGGGCGGCCCGCGGGGTACAGCGGCGACCGGTTGGTGCCGTTGAAGAGGCTCTCGGCGCCGGCGGCGACGACGACGCCGTCGAACGAGGTGGCGTCGGCCTGGGAGTACGTCATGTCCACGCCGCCGCCGAGGGAGGAGGACAGCAGCTTCTCGGCGACGACGGTGACGAGGACGCCCTCGGCGGCGAAGGCGTCCTTGAGGGCCTTGCCCTGGGCGACGGACCCCTCGACCGCGAGGCTGGCGAGGACGCCGACCTTGAGGGTGGCGATGGTGGGGAGCCGGTTGCCGAAGATGGAGAGGCCGCGGGTGGTGCGGTCGTGGTAGAACTTGGGGTCCGGCCGGAGGCGGTCCATGCCGAGGGCGTCGGCGACGCGGTTGGCGATGTCGTTGCTGACCCTGTTGAGCTGGGTGAGGACGTTCCGCCTGACGACGTCGGACTCGATGTGGCTGGTCTCGAAGCGGATGGCGTTGACGAGGAATTGCTGCTCGACGGGCGTCAGGGAGTTGTAGAACAGGCGCGGCTGGGACCAGTGGTCGTCGAAGGTGTCGGAGATCTCGCGGACCAGGTTTCCGGTGCTGGCGCGTCCCGGGGCGGTGAAGAAGCCCTTGCCCTGCGTCTTGTTCGCCTGCGCCGGGAAGCCCTTGTTCAAGGTGTTGGGGGTGTCTGCGTGCACGTCAGCGGGTGTTCGTTGCGCTTGGGGTGTGGAAGACCTACATGGGTACTTGTTGCGGTGGATGAAGTTCTGGCCGGCGCCGTCGCGGTTGTTGTTGTGGATGGGGGTGATCGGACGGTTGATGGGCAGCTGCTCGAAGTTGGGGCCGCCGTGGCGGTTGATCTGCGTGTCCAGGTACGAGAAGATGCGGCCCTGGAGCAGAGGGTCGTCGGTGAAGTCGATGCCCCTGACGATGTGGCCGGGTTGGAACTGCTAACTGTTAGCTGCGTCATCTGTAGCCAAGAAGTAGACGCACCATGATCTGCTCGGTCTCCGCGAAGTAGTTGACCGGGTTGGCATCGAGCTTCATCTTGCCCAGCCTCTGGAGAGGTGCAATCTCCTCGGGCACGATCTTGGTGGGGTCCAGCAGGTCGAAGCCGTACTTGAGGACATCTGTTTCCTCGAGCACCTGAACGCAGAGCTCCCATTCGGGGCCGTTGCCAGATTCGATGGCATCCCAGAGGTCCTGACGGTGGTAATCGGCGTTCTTGCCGGAGACGACTTGGGCCTCCTCCCAGACCAAGCTTGCCTTGCCTTGAAGGGTCTTCCAGTGCCACTTGACAAGCTTCGAGTTGCCGTCCTCGGTCACGACACGGTATGTGTGCACGCCATGGCCGTCCTGAAGTTGTTAGCTGTGGAGTCGGAGCCGGGTGGCGGGCTTACCATGTGGCGGTAGCTTCTGGGAATGCCGTATCCAGCCATTGCCCAGAACAACGTGTGCAGCGTACTTGTTTGGGAGCTGAAGAAGTCCCATGCCGAATCGTGCGCAGTGGCGGCTTGGGGAATTTCCTTGTCTGGTCTCGGCTTGACGGAATGGATCAGGTCGGGGAACTATGGGTGCGTCAGACGATGTATTCCAAAGAGTAAATGGGGCGATAATCACCTGAATCGCATCCTGGATAAAGAAAACCGGAATATTGTTCCCCACGATATCAAAGTTGCCCTCGTCCGTGAAGCTATTCGGTCAGCGACTATGTGTATACAAGTGCCAACCTACTCACAATCTGGTCGCAAAGCCGTGAACGTCTCTGGCGGTGTCCGCACTCCCTCTGGATCCGGCAACGGTAGAGAACCGCACAAACGTCGACGTCTGCTTGCCCTTCTGGCTGAGGAAAGAGGCGGCTGTGAGGTTGCTGTAGTCGCTGTAGCTGGTGAAAGTCCCGTAGGCACCGGCGCCACGGGCGTGTACGGCTCGTTCCGGGACCTGCGAGCACGGCTGTCAGTCAGAGCAGTGGAGCGGCGATTCGGATGTAACGCACTCTCTCGTGATCGAAATGGGTGATCTTCTGGCGGAAGATGAAGTCTTCGAGCAAAGTCGGGCCGCGGATCCCAGCCTTTAAGCTGACTTGGTCCTCGATTGGACCACCGACATCTGAAGTGAGGAAGCCCTCGCTGTCGTCGAGTTCGGCACCGGCAAGGTGCTCACGAGACCCATCACTGTCCGATCTGGCGTTGATGTTGGCCGGGTCTGCGAACGGACAGCCAGCAGAAGTAAGAGAGGCCAGGCCGAGACCGGCCAAGAGCAATGCGGTATGCATATTGGGTATGCGATCAAGAGGATGCCGGTATGTTCGTAAAGCGTCTTCTCGAAACCGATCGGCTTAGGAAAGAGAAGAATAGCCCGGAACCCGTGGGAGAGAATGGGATCAATAGAGACGGGGAGAGACTACTTATGGGCTTCCAGAGGCTTGGGTTGACAGGCGGAACTCACAGGTACAAACAGAGCAAGAGACTGGGGAAAGCATAATGATATCAGTCGAAGGCCCGATCGGGACGAACGACATCGCGTCCGAGCACTAGCTCAGAAATGTTTCGCTCTTGCTGCTCCTGGGACATGGGAATCAGACCGAGAAAGAAGTCTTCACCAACCCTGGAAAACGGCACTAAGACAAGGAGCTACATGCCCAGAACAAAAACACATCCACATCCCGGGCGTGCGAGTACAGTCCGCCGCCTCTTGCGAAGGAGGCACGCCGGCAATTCCAGGAAGTGATAACATCATAAACACGCCGGGGAAGGGAAGCTCTCCACAAAAAAGGTGGACGGGAGGAGGAAAGAGGGGTGACAAATGCTGTGAGATTGGAAAACCCATCGCTGTGATTCATCGCGGAAGCGCCCACGGTCCCGGAAGCTCAGATGCTGTGTGCTCCCAAGCTCTGCCTTGGCCTGCATTTGTGCCTCATGGGGCGAAATGCAAGACCAAACAACCCCAATGGTACTACCATTTCAAATGGGCATCCGGCTTATTTCGACACAAGGTTACATCTAGACGAACGTGGGCCCCAGACAGCCCAGATGCACCGAAGCTCGGTCCGGGCTGGGTTCTGGCGCACCATGGGGAACGTGGTTGGATGGCGCCGTTGCGGCAGTTGGGACGACGGCGCGGCTTGACTAGATTAGTCCAAGGTCGGTGGGCAAAACATGCGGCTGCGGAAGATCGAAGCCGGCGGCGGGCGATGCCATCATCCAAAGTCTGTGCGAGTCTGTGTGCCCTCCTGGAAGGGCGGGCACACGTCTTTCTTGGCCCGGCAGCCATGTTGCCATGTGCGAGGCAAACACACAAACACGACGGAAGCGACCGCGCTGTCTCGTGGTGATTTTTCTGTGCGACATTGGAGGGGAGGAGGGCCTGGCGATGTGATGATTCTCGCACCGCGGCGTACGTAATACCGGGTCTTGTCGAGTGAGATGGACGACGTGAGGAACGGTCAGCCTTCTCCACGGGAAGTAAGCCCTCTGTCCACTTTGTCCAGTCTATGACGAAGAGTGATGGAGAGAAAAGTCGAACTGGGACGACATTGGGGCTAAAGAACCCGGCCAGCAGGCAAGACAAGGATAACGGTTGAGATGAATTTGGTCCCGGGGACCCTCGTTCAAGACGAGTTGTAGCGTTTAGACGTGCTCACTTGTGATGGAAAAGGGCTGGGTACTTTTGCCAAGTCTCAGTGGGCGAAAGAGGCGGGCGAATGAGACAGGAGCCCACGTCTGCATACAGCTTCAAACCCCGGCGCTGGTGTGGAAAAGGAAAAGAGCTCGCTGCAGGAGGTTGAGGTTGAGGTCGAGAAGGCCGAGCCGTCATCGTCATCGAGCGGGCCCTTTTGGTGGGGCCGCTGTTCGCTGATCATCCGGGAGGAAAACGTCCTCTCACAGCTCTGTAATACGAATACAAATCGCCTCAGTCGAAGCCGAAGCGTGGCCAGGCAAGGGTTATTTCCCTCGGCCACATCGCGTGGAAGCGGGTTCACAAATGGGGGTTACAGTGCAGTCCACCTCAACGAAAAGGTTCCAGTAATAGAGTCCCGGGATTGAGGTTCATCTAGGCCAGATGAACGGTCGCAGGCGGCAGGTTCATTACGCCGGGATGATACCCTGGAGTATATGGAGGACGAACCTCTGCTCGCCGGACCATCACAACCGCGAAATGAGACCGATGATCGGGGAGGTCTCATTGAGTCAACCTTTCGGCAGTTTTCGGGGTCGGCAGCTGGGAGAGAAACAAGACCTCATCAAGATAAGGCTTTGAAAGACTGCACGCTTTGAACCAAGGTGTTCGGCACCACAGGTACCCGGGAAGCTGTTTCATTACTGGCAGGCAGACAGAGCACAGAGAAAGAAAAGCATGCGGGACATATCAAATATCCAGACGCCTGAAGGTTGGGACGAACAGAAGAAAAACAAATAAGGGGGTGCCCGCGCTGCAGTCGTCCGGAGATGTGTCCGGGACGGAGCCGGGGGGGCCTGAGGGGCATGGAGTACGTGCTACTGTGACACGCTTCCCGGGTGGAACCGCACAGAGCTCTGCTTCTTTTTCCGACGACGGACGAATGGCCAATGGTGGTGATTGAATTAGCAGCTCGGGTTGGAGGGCAAGAAGAGAGCGTATGATTTGACTTTCCGTCATCCCATCTCTTTCTCGCACATGGATGCTGCCACCAAGACGTGATAAACCATAAATAATCACAAAGTTGAAAGCCGTCACACCTACGGAGCAGCCTCACTGCATAGTGGTCCCCTTATTTATAGAAAGTCAGACGACTTGCCAGCGCTTCTACAAGCCAAGCTTCACCGAAGACGAACTACTCCCATCGGCCCAACCGTCACGGGTCCCGGCTGAACACCACCCTGTGTGTTCCAGACTTGCTTCTGCGACCAAGATGCTAGATGGCAGGATAGAATTCCGAAATCCCGCAAAAGCAAAACTCACAGCCCAACCTCCCAAACCGAACAAAGTGCCGTTCGAAACTGACAAGGCCCATCAGACGTCAACGGCTGTGAAGGACCAGAGTCCGCCTCGCTTCGCCTTTGCGGAGACCCGTCTCCATTGCAATTGTTTCCGTCCTCTCTGCCGAGCCGAGGCCGAACAGCAAACATCCCCAACCGTTCGCTTGCGGGGCCGTTTCCCTTGGTTTGGGTAACCCACACGAACTCCATCCAGAGCCTCTAGTGATTTGAAATCATGGGGAATCGTATGGATTTCTTGGAAGGCAGAAGTTTTCCGACATCGGGGGGACGTGATGGTGATACTGCCACCGACCGATCGAGCCAAATATTCGTTAGCCAACGATCACGTTTCAAGGGTTCAACAGTCACTTCAAACACCACGGGTTGTAGGAACCCGGCGCCAGGTAGATTGTTCTCAGGTTCCCAGCTTATGAGACCCTGAAAAAAAGCAACCAAGGTTTGTCATGACTTCCGATAGACGAGTTTGTTTCGACTGGCGAACGGCTTTGCCTCAGCCGGCTCAAATAGTGTCGCCCCCATTAATGACCGATTTCTGCCATCAATTCACCAACATCAAGATCACAGTTCAAAGATATCATGACACATCAATTTCACACACAGAGTGTTGGCACAGAAAGACGGTCGTATTGGTGGGGTCTTGCTTGAAGTTCATTGCTTTTGGTGTAAATGAGATCCTAGCTCAATGGCATCCGCTGATATCGGCCATGGCTAACCCAATTTTCCCTCCCAGACGCCGCGAAATCCCATGCCCCTTTTTTCTCAGTACACTTTTTTTGGTTGGTTTCCCGATCCGCTTAGTAGAAGAAGCCGATGACCTTGCCGGCAACGTGCTTGCGACGGGCCTCCTCGTGGTCCATGATACCGGCGGAGGTGGTGAGGATGACGTAGCCGAACTGACGGGCAGGGAGCAGCTTGACAACCCACTTCTCGAGGTCGGCGAGGCGGACGTTGTAGCGGGGGGAGATGACACCGCACTTGTTGAGGCGGCCGTTGAGCTGAACGACAATCTTGCCGGAGCGGTGGTCGTCAACTTCCTCAAACTGTGCATACGGCAGTTAGAAATGTCGAGAAGATGTTGTCAATAGGTGAGGGTAATGTTATTCGAAGCCATCACCTCCTCCGAGTTCACTTGTTAGTGCGAGCAGGGTTCAGCTGGTCACGTGGTACTGAGCACCGATGCGAACGCAAACCTTAGTTCCCCTGCTCCCGCAAGTGAACTCTGGCGGAGGTGAGGCGGAGGTGAGTTGGGGAAATGGTGTTCGGCTGTCAATATGAGCCTCAAAGTATACACCAGCCACTTGACTGCGTGCATGCCTCAAGCCACATCACCAACACTGCTGTTCGGTAAGTCTGGTACACAGAACTTCGCCCAACGCGCGCCAAAGGACCGAGTAGAGGGACAACCAGAAGACCATCCGTGCCAATGCGAGCACATCCAAATGATCGGGAGCCAAGATTGGCCTCGAAGGCGTGATGCGTCCCCGGGAGTCCGATGGTGGTCTGTCTGGCTGCCCCTCTCCTTCCTGAGGGCATTGCCAGATGATTGCTGAATTCAAACAAATGGAGAACTAACCTCGCCGATGTATCCTGAAAGACAGTTAGCGAATTGTTGCGGACATATAAAGCTTTGACATCAGGAGAGGAATCCGAAAAAGTTGTAAGATATCCGCGTTCAATATATCGGCTACTTATAGGGGCTGGGTCGTGGGAGTGAAAAAGACGGTCGCCCTAGTTATCAAGCCGAATGGTGCATTCCAAATGTCCCCCGAGAGAAAAGAAGAGAAGAGAAAGAAAAGACAGCAAGGCTGGGTGAAGACATACCGTGGCGCTGCATGACCTGGAGGAACTTGACGATGACCTTGGAGCTGGGTCTGATGAGGACCTGGCGCTTGCCGGCCTTCTCGGCGTTGTTCATGCTCTTGAGAGCGTCGTGGAGAACGGAGGTGCGGACCATTTTGACGGTTGTTGAATGCGGAGATTCTCAAGTCTGAGTGTGAAATGAGGTATCTGCCAACGGAGAAATTGTATGTTAGCCTTCCGAGGCCTGCTGAGCGTGGAGAGTGCCCTCCCAGGCAAAGAAAAAGCTTCGATCGAGAGGAGGGTTCTGCCAGCTCTTTGCTGAAGAGAAGGAGCGTATCAGATGTCATCGTCGTCGTCGTCGGCAAGAAACGGTCCTCCTCGCGAAAAGAGGGAACCGCAGCAGCGTTCGTCAGGAAACCGAGGTCGAAGTCATCGCGTTCTCGTGTGTCGCACGACTCGTCTGATTGCTCCTCTCCGGCATCAAGGAAAAGGCAAGAGTTCCTGCTTTGATCAAGGCGGCATCATGAACATGTTTGCACGTACCTCGGTGGTTGAGTGGTGCCGCTGAAGGTTTGGCAATGGGTTGACGATGGGAGGACGGAACGGGGATGAAGGGAGCGGGAAAAAAAAATTCAGGTAGTGCTGGTCGTCCACCTCCTCAAAAATTCGCCAGTCGGTTGTGGGTGGTCCGTGCACCACCACAAAATTGCCCTAAGCGCACCGGCTGGGCGACCCCACCATCCAGCCAATAAGCGATGTCTGTAATTTTTTCCCAGCGAGTCCCAACTCCCGTTCAATTCGCACAAGTCTCATTTTATTCATAAACTAACCCATACACATTTACAACACCACTCTTCGAGGATCGCACCGACAGAGACTTGACGCAAACTTTCAAGATGGTGAGTCTCCGCTGATTCCCTCTGCGCAAATTGCCCAATGGCGCGAGACTACCGCATTGTCCGCTCGATTTCGTCAATGGAACCGCGGGCGATGCGGGAATCTCGCGTTCGGGCTGGGCCGATCGAGAACCCCCAGGCTTCCTGGGGCGCCTCTTCCCTCCCCCCCTCCGTTGTTGCACGATATCAGATCAGACTCGCTGACCGGTGACTTTGCGCATTTCCACAGTCGGACGTAGAAGAGAACAACGCCCCCGAGGTGGCCGAGGAGGTCGAGGTTTCCGCCGATGCCGGTTCCAAGGGCCAGATGTCCGTTCTTGACGCCCTCAAGGGTGTCCTGAAGCTCGCCCTCATGCACGACGGTCTTGCCCGCGGTCTCCGCGAGGCTTCCAAGGCCCTCGACCGCCGCCAGGCCCACATGTGCGTCCTCAACGAGGCTTGCGAGGAGGAGGCCTACAAGAAGCTCGTCATCGCTCTGTGCTCCGAGCACAAGATCCCCCTGATCAAGGTTCCCGACGGCAAGCAGCTCGGCGAGTGGGCCGGTCTCTGTGAGTTTTGCCCGAGATGGACGATGAGGACGGGACCGTGGACTAACAGGAAACAGGCGTGTTGGACCGTGAGGGCAACGCCCGCAAGGTCGTCAACTGCTCTTGCGTCGTCGTCAAGGACTGGGGTGAAGAGTCCCAGGAGCGCTCCATCCTCCTCAACTACTTCCAGACCGAGCAGTAAATTTGGGTTGGGCTTTCATGATTTGAATTTGGGCGTCACGACGGGGTGAAGGGTATAGAGGGGCGACGGTGAAATTTTGGAACCGCCGCAACGAACGAATCTTTCGGTTGTACTCTAGCTTCTTCAGCTGGCATCTCGAAACAAAAAATGGAGGACTCCCTCTGGAAGTCAGGTCATCTTGCAACATAGGGGCAAATAAAGAGAAACGGCATTGGGCACTCTTGAACCAAAAACGACTTGCGCAATGCGATATCGAGTGATTTGATGCTATGAGTGTGAGCCGAAGCTCGGGAATCTATTTCTTGCCCTCCACCTGGTTGAGCAGTGAGCATGTCTGAAGCAACATGGGCGACGCACTGGCATCCACTTACCATGATGATGTGGTATCCGAACTCCGTCTTTGCCTCTGCGATGACAGGACTTGACGTCGTGCTCGCCGCAAGCACAAATGCGACGTCCTCAAACTTGGGATCCAAGCTGCCCTTCGTCTTCCAGCCAAGAGAGCCTCCTGTGAAACCGTCAGGTCAAACCCCTCATGGCGCAAGTCATCGTAACGATAATTCTTACCCTGTCTGGCCTTGTCCTCCGAGAACTCCCTCGCAACATCGTCAAACTTGGCGCCGTCTCTCAGCTTAGCCAGAGCCTCCTCCTTCTTCCCGTGCTTCTCGCACTAAATCGCTCGTCAGGCCGAATTCCCCAGAATCGCTCAGTTCCAAGACTCACCAGAATGTGGCGCACGTTGATGGACTGCGCGCCCTTGGCCTTGCCGCCCTTGTCGTCGCTCTCACCCTTGCCTCCCTTCTTGCCGCCGCCGGACTTTCCGCCGTCCTTCTTGTCGGCGGGCTTCTTGTCGTTTTTACCCATGCTGGCTGCGTCGTGTGTTGCTGTTGGGAAAATTGGACTCGCAAACGATGGTGGGGGGTAAGTTAGCAGAAGGCCAGAGCTCACCCTCCCTTCTCTCACCCCACCAACCAAGACCCTGGGAGGCGTGTGACGAAATGCGGGGGAGCCGGCCTCAGCCGCCGTCATGTCAGAGACAACACCAGCACGCGTCTGGTTAATGCATTACTACTCCAAATCTCAAACATGGACCTCATCAGTCGTAGGAGCGCTCTTCCACCTCAAAAAAGGCATCCAGTTTGATCGGGGAAAACGCCCCATGATTGACAAACTGCTCCTTTCTCCGCCATGGCTGTGACGCTCGCTTCACTGGACAGTCTCCCGACTGAGATACTGACCGAGATTCTCTCCTACATCAGCGACCTGAGGACGCTCTACCATCTCATCACGGCCTCCCCGGCAGCGGCCCGCGTCTTCAACAGTCCCACAATCGGCCCCGAGATCCTCGAGCTCGTCCTGACAAGCTCCACAGCACCGCAAGTATTCGGCCTGGTCCGGCTCGTGGCCGTCGTTCGGACGTCGACCGCGGACAACCCACCCGCGGCGTCTCTCGACGCGTTCGTCAAGCGAGCCAATCATCATACACAGGCGAGCGGCCGCGGGCGATTCCACAGCACGGCGCCGCCTCTCACCCACACGTACCGCGGGCAGAAGCCCGGCGCCGTCCGGAGCATCCTCCAAACCGCGCGCCGGATCGCCTTCCTGACGCCCCCCTGCCTCGCGTACTACCGTGAACAATGGCTCCGCGCGTCCCCCGCGCACTCGGACGACGACATGCGCGGGTGGGTGTACAAGACCTGGCGGGGCCGCTACGCCGGCCGGCCCTACGAGCCCCAGGACGTCGGCCCGCCGGTCTGGATCGAGGAGCAGCGGGCGGCGCGCGGGTTCTGGAGACTGCAGCTGCTCTACGAGCTGCGACGAGCCGCCTCGGAGAACCGCTTGGGGTGGGCGTCCCCTCGCTGCGTGTCCTGGGAGACCCTCTACGGGCCCCTGCGGTACGAGAAGGAGGAGTTCCTCACGGTGTCGGACTTCGTCGACCACATCCGCGCCCCCGGGGGCGCGGGAACCCCGTGGATCCTCCCGAACCCGTCCGCGACGTCGTGGCCGGACCCGGCGCCGCCGCTCGCCGTCGACGACGAGTCGGGCCGCACGCGCGGGTTCCTCATGAGCCAGAACCCCGTCGGCTGGGTCTACGCGAACATACGGCTCCGGCACTTCCCGCCGTCGCCCATCCGCGGCGTGCCCCTGCACCCGTTCCGCCGGCTCGGCCTGTTCGTCTGGGAGTACGACAAGCTGGTCAGGATGGAGCTGATGTCGCCCACGGGGTACCCGTTCAGCGCCAAGGGCGAGCCGCACAAGATGTACACGTGGCGGAGCCTGGTGGGCGAGGACGTCCTGGCCGAGGTCGAGGACAGCTTGGAGACGGGGAACCTGCGGCGCGAGATGCACCGTCGGGGATCTGTTCAGCCTTCATGAGGAGCTCTCAAGCGATGGTCAACTTTGAGGTGGGGGGCGAAGGCTCGACATGCCACAAAATTGAAACATTCTTGCGAAGCACCTTAAAACTTGTACAAAAACTTGTAAACTACCCATCACTATCAAATAATAATGATCGAGAACATGTAAATCTGCTTTTTGAGAGGCCATGTGCCCGGTCTCTGGAGTGGTGGTACGAGCGCTGGTGACCTATCCAAACCAACGCTTCTGATTGGCCCGCGCCCCACTTCCAACACCGACGCTGGAGGGTACTTGAGTCCAAAAAGTTCTTTCAGCTTTCGCCTTCGGGCATTTGGTCAATTTGAAACGATACAGAGAAGATTAGCATGGCCCCTGCACTAAGGATGACACGCTCAATCAAAGAGAAGCTACCAATTTTTTTTCGTCTTTTTTTGCATTCCACGGAGACGAGAGCGATCTTTCTGATGATGTCGATTTTATTTTTGTGCAACAGGTGCTCGTCGAGATAAAACGAGTTGAAAAGTGCGTCGCGTGGGAATCGAACGGAAAACGTCGCCAAATGCGGAAAAGGCGGGTCAGCAGCCAGCTGCCCACTACCTCATCCGCTCCCTTTGGGTACATTCTTCTTCACGCTCGTCGTATTGAACACACAATCATTGTAATGATGGCATGATTTCAGTGCTTTGAATTATTCAAAATCGTTGGCACGAACTCAGGTCGGAAAAGCACTTCCGTGACGAATTCCATTGCTTCTCCCTCATCACGCTTAAGCATGGCTTGCTCACAAAGGCTCCCATCCTCCACCTCTTCTGGATCATGAGTTGAAGCCACCAAGCGGCGTGATCTTATGGGTCCAAAGATGTCCGGCATCACATGAACGGAAACGAATATGCGTGGTTCATAATTCATCATCATTATTCATAACGCAGTGGTACAGGCTGTGGTAGGTAATACAGGGTATCTCTGAAAATCGCGGCTCCATCCTAGCGTCCCTCCTCAAGCGGACATGATTAGTCCCAATCCACAACCCTCCTGGCCAAGCGAAGCCTTGAACTCGCTCGCACGCCTCCAGTGCTCGCGGTCGATACGCTCCTCCTCCTTGAGCAGCTTGAAGTCGAGAAGACCGTCATCGCCCTTTCGCTGGCGAATGGTCTCGGCCTCGACCTTCTTAAACGTCTGCCAGTCGTCCATCTGCGACGGGCGGGGCACCTGCTGTACCGCATCGAAAGACTTCTGTCCATCGACGCGCTCGATCAGAAGCTCGAGACGGTACTTGTCGGTGGTAGCATCCAGCTTGTTGCCATATTGGCGGATGATGTAACTGGAGATGTTTTAGTTGAGAATCACTGCGGTCGAAAGCGGAAGAACTCACAGTCCATCGTAGCGCACGCCGGCCTGAGGAGCGATGACGCTCTTGAGGCGGTAGCCCCTGAGGATGCGGATCTGCGTGCCGACCTGGGTAAGGAGGGAGACGTGCATGTCGGAGAGGCGGCCCTCGCGGACGTATCGGTAGAGGTTGCCGCGGACGTGCTCCTCGCGGCCGGTGAGGAGGGGCAGGGCGGTGACGCCGTACTTGCCCTTGGTGGGCTTCTCGATTGCGGTGCCGATGATGCCATCGCGGTGGGCGCAAGCAAGGTTCAGCCACCAGCTACAGATGGTCAGCATTCAGTGCTCCGGATGTCAAGTGTTTGGTCGACGTACTGGCCAGGTTCGAACTTCTGGTTTCCCTCTAGCTCCGAGACGGGTTCGCGACAGCTGTACTGGACAGTCCACGATTCGAGGGGATCCTGCCCCTCGGGCGTAAAGCTGATGTCGCGCATCTCGCCGCCGACGGACAGGCTGCGTTGGCGGACTTGGTCGATGGAGAAGTACTGATCGCGGAAGCGGGTGCGCCACATCTTCTGCAGGCTCTCGGCGACGGCCATGTCGGCGCGGAAGCGGAGGGGGATCGGCGATGGACGGTGGGCGGGGTCGAGGATGTCGGACAGGAGCTTGTCGAGGCGCGCATACTGGAGAGTCTCGAAGTCGAGGGACGGTGTGTGGCGCAACTCGTCCTTGAGAGCTCTCTCGAGGAGGCTCTGGATCTTGTCTGCGTCGGGCCCCAGGCTCCTCTCACGGCTGAGGCATGTTCGGACTGAGTCGCAAAGCTCGAGAAGCTCCTCCTTAGTCGGGAGAGGCTCGACTGAAGGAGATGGAAGAGGGGCTAGGTCGATGTTAGAATCTGATGGGATCGTCTCGTGTCTGCGTCTGCTGACCTGATCCGGGGTACCTCGCAAAGTACGTTTCCGATGCTCCATCCAACTGGAAAGGGGAGCGGCAAGGCCTGGTCATGACTTGAGTAGGCGACATGGCGACGAAGCTCGTTTGGGCTGATGTTTCAAGGAACCGATGTCGTATAGTTGATTCTAGTAGGTGTTGAAAATCGCATCTACACGTTTGTAGAGTGGTTGTCGGGTTCGTGTGTGGTGCTTGTTGTCGAGCTTAGGGGTGAGGACCAAATGGGAGCTTCAAGATCGAGGAGGATAGGACGATGGCTTATATGGGAAGTAGGAGATGAGAGGATAGCATGAAGAAAAACATGGTGTTTGAGCTAACAAAGTATGCACCCCTGGCTGACAGGCCCCGAGGCGACGTGAAATCCCCGGAAGGAGGCATAGTTCGCGCTCCCGACGGCACTCGCCATGAGACAGACGTGTGCAAAAAGGGGAAAGCAGCATCCGTTGGACCCAGACAGCTGGGTGGGAGGTCCACGATCGGGTAGGGACACCGATGAGTTCATCGTGTTCCTCAGCTGGTGGCTTGGACTACCGAGGGTTTGGTTCGGCCTGACAACGAAGCTTGGGACAGTGGCACCGACGACTTGGATCTCATCGGAAGCTGTTGGAGGTAGGGGGTGGCCGTCTCTGGGAATCCGGTGGGATGGGTGGCCAACGGCGACATTGGAGAGGCGCCTCGATGGCTGTAGATGTTCTAGGCTGGTGGCAGTGGAAGGCCGCACTTGAGGTTGCTACTGCCATCGAACACCGTGACGGCCAAGAGAACGTGGGACCGCTGAGACCTCTCACCTCACCCCCTGTGGCCACTGAGTTCCGGGGAGTTGCAATTGTCCGGGGCGTCTATGGCTTACGTCCAGGGCGCAAATTTCTTCACTGTTTAATCCAGCTCCGGCGATGCTGCAAGACATCTTGTTACAGGGCGAACCCAAATTCAAACCCAAGAGAGTGGTGCTGCTGACGATTTGGCATGGGAGCTAGGGCAGAACAGGCCAAAATCACCCCGCCCGAGCAGTCGGCGCCTTGCCGGGCCATGTGGCATCGCTCCGGAAATGTTGTAGTCGCTTCCGGGGCGGCTCACGTTCGGCGGTGGTTAACCTTTTCCGGCCTCCACCCGGGGTCTCTGTGGTCCCCGAAGACCTAGTGCCATTTAAGAGTCTTTGATAACTGAGGTTCAAGGTTCACGTAGTCCGGAATTTGACCCCAAGCCGCCGACTTCTCGCCTCTCGATTGTGTCAACGTCGTGGTCGAGACCTTTCAGCACATCGCACCGAACTCATCAGTGGCGGCCACCACCTCACTGGACTTGCATCGGCGTCCAACCCCGAACCCGATCTCGTTGAACCCACCCACAGGCTCGGGACAGCAAGCGTGGTTCTCATCATGTCGACCCAAATCATTGACTTAACGGCTGTCATTACTCCCAAACCGGGCAAGGCGGAGAAGGTGAGCGAACTCAGACGGCACGCTGGCCCGCGCCCCCCTTACCTCACCGAGCGGGCGTGAGAACGTCAACATGTCTCAATCTGAGACGAGTAGCGCGGCTCTGATGTGATGAAACCAGGTCTTCGAGCTCTTCAGCAACTGTGTCAACTACTCCGAGGCCAACGAGCCAGGCACTTTGCGGTACGAGATCCACAGGGGTCTCCAAGACAAGAATGGCGGCCTAGAGGAGTTCGTCGTGAGAGAGACGTAGGTGGACTCGCTGTTGACGTCGGCGGGAGCGGGAGATCAACTGACAGGACCTGCCAGGTACGCCGACGAGGACGCGATGAACAAGCACATGGTCGGGCCCGACGTCGTCGCCCTCGTGAAAGCCATGGAGACTGGCGACCTGGTCGAGAACGTCAAGGTCATCCACACGAAGCCCGGCGCTGGCTATGAGCGCTCCAAGATTTGAAAAGAGGCCTTTGGCGATGGCGATGGCGATGGCGAAGCGAGCTGAGGCGGGTGAGGGCCTGCCAATTTTTCAGGGCTCCGTCCGTCCGGGGATTGCTTACTCTCGATGGAATGAGTTAGTTGTGATGCCCGAAAAGCCTTCCTGTAGGGCGAATGGCAATGGACCGCATCGGGCTTAGCAAGGAGGTTGAGCTCGTGGGAACCAACAAAGGCTCTGGGCATAAGCAGCGCCAGGTGGCCAGCCCGGGCTTGAATTTGGTAGAGTAGTGAATGCCACGATTGTCAGGAAATGCAATGCGAGACAGATTTGTGCAGAATTTGAGTAAGGCAGCATCCGATGACTCGTAGGGTAAACGGAAGATCAGTAATCTCACGGTTTCTAGAGTGAAACTGTCATCTCTTTGAGCAAGAGCGGAAGTGTTGATGAAATATGGATGGGAATCAAGTTTCCAGTGATGAGAGACCTGGAAGGAATCTCGAAGATGCCATGAATGGAGACAAAATGAACCATTCGTTGAATCTTGCTAGAACGGTTAAAATGCCATGTGGTGCTCAGATCAGGATCATGATCACCGCCAAGCAACGGCGAGTGTGGTGTGTACGGACGTAAGATTGAGTTGTGTATGTCGATCCATGTGTCTGGCGTTGTGGTTGTTGAAGTGGCAGAGTGGGCGCCACCGGAATGTTAGCCAAGATCACCACCTAACCTCGAAATGAAGACACCATTCATTGGTTACCTAGCTGAGAACAATGCCTCCCGACTGGGCACTGATGCATTTTCCTCAGCCGGCCTGTAATCCGATGTTCTATGTGAGGAGCTTGATACGCGGTTCAAGCAGTCGAAGCCATATGATTTTAATTTTCCACACTTCATTCGTATAACCGAGGAGGCGAGGGAGATGTAACAAGGTTTTTTATAAAAAAAAATAGAGAAAAAAAAAGCTGGTGGTAATTTTGCTTCAGCGATACCACTCCCATCACTCACTGTTTTTCTCATTTCCGTTACGTCAGCACAACACATTATCTTTTCAACACGCCAGTTTTGTAGTGCTACTGTTGAACTTTTGATTTCTATCAGAAAGCCTCCTGTCCTTCTAGGACGACGTTCGAAAATCTACACGCCTCTGCTCGCAAGGTACGGACGTAAACCCGACCCACTTTTCCTGTCCGCCCGTGCCACCATCCACCTACGCGACTACCGGTGGCACTCTTCACTTCTGCCATCCTCCACCCACGTCTTCTGCCAAGACCTCAACATCAGAAATGGCGGACAGCAGCGACAAGGACCTCCTCGCCAAGGCGCAGGAGTGTTCCGCGAACAACATCGACCTATACGAACTACTCCAAGTCGAACACACCGAGCAGGACGAGAAGAAAATAAGGAGCGCGTGGCGCAAACAGTCCATCAAGTACCACCCCGACAAGGCCAAGGACGCATACGACCCCGAGAAGTGGGAGCTCTTCGAGTTCGCACGCGATATCCTGCTCGACACCGCCGCGCGCGCCGCGTACGATAATGCCCGCAAGGCGGCACTCCGCCAGAAGGCAGAACGCCTGCAGAGGGTCGGCGCCGACAAGCGATTCGCCGACGCCCTCGAGGCCGACGAGCGCGAGGCCAAGAGGCAGCGCCTCGAGAAGGAGGAGCGCGCCCGCGAGCTGGAGCGCGAGAGGGCTCGTCTGCGCGAGGAGGGCCAGCGGGAGAATGAGCGGCGCATGGCCGAGGAGGCGGAACGCTTCAAGAGGGAGCAGTTGGAGCGCGCCGAGCGAGAGAGGGAGCCCGATGAGTTAGATGAGAGGATGGCTGAGTTGGAGAGGAGACTGGAAGAGAAGAGGCGACTCAAGGCCGAGAAGAAGGCCAGGAAGAAGGGCAAGACGGACGGCGGCGACCCGGCACCACCGGCACCACCAGCACCCGCATCAGCTCCCGCCCCCGCTGTCCCTCGTGCGCCTCCAAAGTGGGAAGACACAAAGGCAAAGATGCTGGCTTTCCAGAAGATAAGGGATGCGAAGAAGGCCGCAGCAGAAAAGGCCGCAGCAGAAAAGGCCGCAGCAGAAAAGGCCGCAGCAGAGGCGGGTGACGGCAGCAAAGAATAAGCCGGCAGACGGCGAAGATTAATCTGGCAGAAGGCGTTTACGACGAGGACGACGATGACGATGATGGGGACAGGGAGGTGACGATGACGGCGAATGCAACAGAGGAGACGACGATGGCTTCATTCATACACTTATACCCCTTTCTATTCTACAAGAATGGCACTGACTTCTACCGGGCAGGTGCTTCATTCGCTCAACCCATTTCTCACCCACTCAGGCACGAATGCCTTGATCTTCACCGCGTTGTTCTTGTCATCCTCGCCCCATTGCAACAGGAACTCGTTAGAAGGGTCGTACGTCGAGGCAGCGGTCTCGCCAGGTAGTACAATGTCGGTCATGATCTCCAGGCGGCAAAGCCCCAGGCCGACGTTCCCAACACCCTTGAGCCACTTGCCCGCGCTCCTGCCCTTCTTGCCAGCCCGGCCAATGCTGGTCTCTCGAGGGATCGTCTCCGCCGGCAGACCCTCGGGCCCGTGATTCGTGTCTTCTTCCGGCCTGTACTGCAATGTCTGAGGCGCCGCCCTGTCCACGTCGTAAATCATGCATGGGAGTATCCTCTTCCGCACTACTCCGCGGTGCTTCGTGCGAATCGTGAGCTCTTGTCCTACGTAGCAGCCCTTGTGATAATCGATGCCGTTCATAAAGTCCATGTTGGTCTCCTGCGGCAGCGCGTGCTCCCGGATGATCTCGTCCTGTCCCTCAGCCACGCCCTGCAGGTACCGCCTGATCGTGTAGCTGTCCTCCGTCGTAGCCTCGAGATCCAACTGCGGCGGCGTGTCCTTGCCCTGAATAAGACGGTATCCCAACCCAGGCGTCCTCGGGTCCCTCGTCAACGTAGCAGCGTCCGTCGTGATGGGCTTCCCGCTGTCGTCCCACGCGTGCCACACCGTGGCCTCGTCCACCGCCAGTAGCCGCACGTTGAATTTGGCGCGCAGCTTGTACCGCTTGATGTGCTTCGCCAGCCTCTCGGCCTCGTTCGCGTCGGCCTCGATCAGGAACCGCGTCCCGGCCTGCTCCTCCGCGGCCGCCGCGGCGCCGCCCAGGCCCGCGGTGTCCGGGTAGACGAAGACGTCGTGCAGCACGCGACCGGTGGCGTTGAGGAAGGCGGCGTAGAAGCCCGTCTCGCGCGCGCGGGCCTCCTTGGACGCGATGTTGGCGGTGATGACGCCCTGGAGGAACTTGGCGGCGTCCGGGCCGGCGACGGAGATGAGGCGGCGCGAGGGGAGGGCGGTGAAGCCGGCGGCGGGCGGTGCCGGCGGCGGAGGGCTGATGTTGCTCGAGTACTGGCGGCGTTGTCGCTGCTGCTGCTGCTGCTGCTGCTGGCGGCAGCTGCGGCAGACGAAGCTCGCCGCGGATAGCTGCGTGCGGGGTGGGATTCCGCGCATTTTTGGAGCTCTTGGTGAAAGGGAACAATGCAGTCCTCAAGCTTTCCGGAGCTTGAAACGAGGGTAGATCGGCGGAATCGTAGGCCGAGCTGCACGAAATTGAGATCCCCACGATGGGGGAATCGGGAATGGAGAGAAAAATGTTCCTGGTTTGTAATGACGTTCTTGCCCCGGAACGCACGGGGCACAGGCCGGGAATGCCACGGGCGGTCGGCGACCTCACGCCGACCCTCCCCGACATTTCAGCTGAATTCGGGCACCACTCATTTGGCTGGTATTTTTCAGGTTCATCCTTGAAGTTACATGGCCCACTTCAACACTCAATATTGCTGCCTAGGACGACTTCACGAACTTCACGATAGCAACAACTTTACGTTACTTCGTGAAACAGTCGAAACTGCCCGTACACTAACGACACTTTGGGATATACGAGACCAGCTTCGGAGCATTTCGGCGAACATCTTCCTCGCAGCAAGTGACGCAGTCTCACACAGACTACAAGCCACTCCCGTCCTGCCGTCCCAGCCAACCGTCGGCGACTCACCGCGCTTCACGTCCTCCGGGCAAGGCTGATGGCAACGATGCAACCATAAGCAGCTTCAGTGGGCTCCAAATTTCCCTGAATATCAAACCCCGGCCTCTTTACCACCAATCACCGCGGCCACGGTTGCATGCCCAGTGGGCGCAGGATGCGCTAAAGTCTGACGCCCCGTGGCAGTGGGCGGCCACACAACATGCGGCCGGCCAGGCACCGCCAACCAGACCGCCCACAGAATCGCGGTTGAGGATCGACATCCCGGCAGTCTTGCGTCGCAAATGCCATTCGAGATTCGAGAATCTCGGGACCGAAGAGGGGGGCGGATGGTTCTTTTCCTGTCGCCCTGCGATTCTCATGTCGCTCGTCTCCAGCGGGAGTTGGAACCCCGGCAAGCTTGCAGCGTGGAAATGCCTGATCATGTGTTTTGCCGATCCAATCTGACAATTTTTGAGGGGGGGTCCTTTTGGAAGGGGTTGTCTTGTCTGCTCGCACCCTTCTCTCCCGTCGTCCCTCCGCTTCCTGATGTGAACTTCTTCTTGTTGAATCCTTCCGTGATCGTCGGATGAGATTGAAGCTGCCCGTGCTTGGTCCTGTATTTTGACCCTTTGGACGATTCAGTATAGGTGATCGCCGTCATATCAACTACGGTCTGCAGCAAGCTTGAGTGGTAGTTCTGTCGCAGAACGAACGATCTCGGGCGCTAGTTTCGCGTTCTCACCATCTCCCTAGCCCCGATGGTTTCACGATTGGCGGCCTTGCTCGCCGTCGGGCAGCTCGCGACGACATGTTACGCGCAAGTAAAAAACGTGCCAGATGTGGACTCGTTTCTGAGGAGGGGGTTTCCTAGAAGTAAGTCAACAATCGTCTGCATACGCCGTCTCAATACTAACGGCCAAAAGCGACCGTCGTCGGAAACTACCTGTACATCGATGGAGGAGAGGTTGCGCAGCTCGTCAACGGGAAGAACACGAGTCGTCCTTCTGATCCAGGTTCGTCTGACCCGCAGCTATGATATCGCTGCTGTATTAAGCCGTCAACAGTGAACGTCACCCTCTCAATCGACCTCACGACATCATGGAAGCCCTCAGACGTCACCTTCAAAGAAATCAAGAAATCGGCCCCGACGATGATGAGGCAGGCGATCTTCGACTTCCAAGACAACTCCACGAGCGCCATCTACATCTGGGGTGGATTCCGCTCGTACGACGGGAACGTGCCGAGCGCGGCGCTCTGGAAGTTCAACCCCGACGGCAGCGGAGGCGGATCGTGGAACACCGAAATCAAGCCCGGCCATTCGACGTTCGTCAACTTCGAGCGGTCTCAGGGCGGAGCCTTCGTGAGCACCCCCGGCGCCGGCTTCTACTTCGGCGGCTACTCCCAGGCGACCTCCGACCCCACGCCCGCCGGACCCGTCCCGGGATACCTGAAGTTCAACTTCACCGACAACGCGCAGGCGTGGACGAACCACACCACCGCGCCCTACTCGCAGTACGGCACCCTCGGCGGCGCCGCTGCTCATTACGTCCCGAACTTCGGCGACAACGGCCTGGTCATGGTGCTGGGCGGAGGAAACTACCCGCTTGGGAGCTCGTCGGATAACACCCCGCTCCTCGCCTTCGACGACATCCACTTCATGGACCCCGTGACGGACGTGTGGTACAGCCAGAAGACCTCCGGCACCGCGCCGGCACCACGCCAATGGCATTGCGCCGTGGGCGCCCAAGGCCAGAACAACACTTACGAGATGTGAGTCGCCCACGTAAACTGAGCTCTCTGAGGTTGACTGACCAAATCACAAAGCTTCGTCTTCGGCGGCACCAGCGGCACGACCTCCTTCGACGAGGTCTGGATCCTGAGTCTGCCCGGTTTCGTCTGGAAGAAGGCCGATTACACTTCGACCAGCCCTCGCGACGCCATGGGCTGCGCCGTCGGCGGCCAGCGCCAGATGATCACCATCGGCGGCATCGACCGTAGTTGGGTTGACTCCGCCAAGTTCTTCAAGGACAAGGACCCGTTCCCCCAGGGCGTCGGCGTATTCGACATGACGCAGCTGAAGTGGAACGACCAATACGACTCCAGCGCCGCCGCGTACGACACGCCGGACATCGTCAAGTCTTGGTACGAGGAGGGGTGAGTACACCAGCAGTCTCCATTAAAGACAGGTAACTGACAGCAGGACAGAAACACCGTGAACTACTCAAACGACGAAGTCGCCGCCCTCTTCAAAAAATCCAACTCCGACTCCGGCTCCGGCTCCGGCTCCGGCTCCGGCAACAGCTCCTCCAGCGACTCCGAGTCCAGCTCGTCCAACGTCGGCGCGATCGCCGGTGGCGTCGTCGGAGGCGTGGTCGGCGCCGCCGCGATCGGCCTGGCCGCCTTCTGCCTCCTGAGACGGCGCAAGAGGCAGCAGCCCCCGGCGCAGGATCCCGCCCTCGCCCAGGCGCAGCCGTACGCGCCGCAGCACGCTTACTCGCCGGTGCCGCCGTCGGCCACGATCACGGCGTCCGAGTTGGAGAGCGGGCATACTCCGCCTCCCGATGTGCCCAAGATGGCGCATACGTCGGAGCTGCCTTCGGATTCGAGGGTGATGTACGAGCTGGACGGCTCGGGAGCGCATAAGTGAGAAAGAATGGTATGTAATATGGATAATGACGGGAGGTGAACGTGGTAGATATCTTCATGGTACCTTTAGACTGTAAATCATCTATCTATTAATAACGGCATATCACAAGTATCTATCAGCAGTACATTCGCGTCTCTAATTTCACACGATATGTCCATCGAGAAGCTACGTCCCGGAACCAATTCGCGTACGTTTCAAACCACAAATTGATTGATCGTCCAGCCAGATTGCCGTACTGGGTAGTCAGCTTCTAGTCGGTACCAACAGCTCCTCTACTCGTTTTGTTCCGGCCTCTATTCTTGTCGGCCAGCTACCAACACTTCTAGTACTTATGTGCCTCACCCTTCGTGTAACACCCACGCTGACCTACCTAGATTCAGCAGTAAGCCGTTTCTGCTGGCGAACCAGGGCGCTCAATTGTAACTGGCAGCCCTCTCTATACATGCACAGGAGGTCAGGCGACCAGTCAGCCAAGAACACATTCTCTGCAAGGGGGCGCAGCTACCTGATGAGCACTTCTATTCGCCGACAATATTCAGCCGCAATAAGAAAGCATGGTCATAAAACCCCGCGCTGCCTCGGCGCCTTTCAAGGCGGTCTTACGCAAGTCGGTATCTCGTACCGTCGCGTCTTCCTCCGACAACATTCGTTCCACGTCTCGACGGCGTGGACTCCGACGATGGATCCTCTCACGATCACCACTTCCGTGGTCACGCTCATCGGGGCGATTTCTGCATCTTACGACACCGTCGGCAAGATTAAGGATCTCCCGAAGGCTTTTGATGAGGTGAAGAAGAGCCTTCCCATCGTCCAAAAAGTCCTCGAAGACACGCGAAAGAGGCTTCAGACCGTTCAGACAGCTCTCGATGACCACAACAAACAGCTGGTTATCCAAACCGTCCAACAATGCGAAGAAAAGGCGACCATTCTGCGGGATATCTTCGACAAACTCGAGAGGAAATGCAAGGAGGACCGCGATGCGGACACCACATGGTCAAAGGCAAAAGCGTGGTATCGAGAAGCTCTTCGAGGCATGAAGGCCCATCGAGTCGAAACTCTCATGAAGGACATCATGGGCCGCATCAAGGCTCTGGCGATGAACGAGCTTTTGAGTCTACATGATGACGTCGACGTCGTCAGCAGCGCTCTTGCAGAGTTGTCGCATGCTGGCTCGTCTTTGGAGGATTGGGAGTTTGAAATGGGCGGAAATCATGCGACTCAAGTCAATGAATCCGGTGCACACGGTCAGCAGAACAACACACAGGGTGGCAGCCATGTAATGAACTCGGGCTACAACGTCAGTGGCAGTAACCATACGTTCCACTTCGGTAAGGGTTGAAATTACCAGCACCCTCTAGAGAAAGCCAGAAGTTAATAAAGCCTTTCATCGCGGATAGACAAGTCTCATCAGCATACCCCATCTGCACCCGGAGTTTCCAAGTCATTGGCGTTGGTTCGAACTGGACTGAACCAGATGAGATTTGCCGAGTACGGAAGGGAAACCTCAGAGGCAACCGGCTCGACTTCCAGCTTGCGAAGAAAACTTCTCCCTGGTTACGTGCGAAAACTTTTCAAGCGTACTGCGTCGCCAAGTGCTGTGGAGACAAAATCTGGAGGGGCCCGTAAACGTCAGTCCCTTTCTTTCTACGTATGACCGTCATTGTCGAGCCAGTGTACTGATTCGAGACAGAACACATTCCAGCCTCTCATCATATACCATTTCCCAGAAACAAACGCTTCGTTGGTCGAATCGATACACTCAACAAGCTACAAGCCATGCTCGAGAGTGAAGGGCGGGTTGCTCTCGTGGGGATGGGCGGCGTCGGGAAAACCGAGACTGCTCTTGAAATCGCTCATTGGGTACGAGAAAACCGGTCATACTATTCCGTGTTCTGGGTATCAGCCTTGAGCGAGGAGGTATTTGGAAGCTCATGTGAGAAGATCATCGAGAAACTCGCCCTTCGTTCGATGGACGCCGCCGATCCGAAACTGATGCTACAGCGCTACTTGAGCTCAGATGAGGCGGGCTGGTGGCTGCTCGTTGTTGACAATCTTGACGAAATGGATCTTCTCGAACAGCTGTTTAAATACCTTCCACAGAGCGACAAGGGTCGCATTCTTTTCACAACTCGCTCCCCGGAAGTTGGAAGAACAGTCGCCGAACGCAATCAGTATGCTCTCTCCGAGATGAGCCAGTCGGACGCCAACGATCTTTTGACTAGGATATTACCTCAGAGCGAATATACCGTAGACGAGATGGAACTGTCATGCCTAGTGGAAGAACTCGGCTGCCTTCCTTTGGCCATCAAACATGCCGCAACGTACCTTGAGAGGAACAACATGGAAATCATCGAGTATCGGAAAGTCATGAACACTTCAGAAACCGAGCTCGCCAATCTGATGAGTAGAGAATTTGCTAAAAGCAATGAGTCTGAGATTCGTCTCACCTCAATAGCGACTACCTGGCTCGTGTCGTTTGAACAGATCGCAAAGGATAACCCACCAGCCGCTCGACTTCTGGAGTTTCTTTCACAAATCGAGCCAAAAGAAGTACCTCATTCTATGCTCTTGGATGTTGGGAGCGAAGAGCAGTTGAGTTACGCTGTCGGGACGCTTCTCGGATACGCCTTCATCACCAAAAAATGGCAGAGTTATACAATGCACAATCTTGTTCACTTGGCAGCCAGACTCTGGATCAAGCGAAAAGGGCTTATGAAGTCTTGTCTCGCCGCTTCGATAACCCATCTGTGTTCGTTATGGTCGCCAGAAAGTTCCGCTTTGGTACGGTATCGGTGGCAAGCGTTAGTGCCACATGCTGTTAGACTAATCAGAGCAAGTGGGGAGGCCCAGATGCTGTCGCGTCAAGGCATGCAGCTAAGCCATTCAGTTGGCAATTTCCTCTATGATCAGCAACAATTCCACGAGGCTTCCGATTTATTGCAATACGTTCTGGGAGCAGGAGACGGAACGCTCGAAAAAGGGGATCCACTCCGACTGCGTCTGCTCAGGTTGGCTGCACAATCCTGCATGACAATCAAAGACAACAGAGCAGATGCCATTAAGCTGCTTAAAAGAACAATTGAGGAGGGGACCAAAACGTTGTCGGCCGAAGACCCTGCATTGTTGGAACTGGAGTGGGAAATTGCAATGCAATACTTCATGGCAGATGAAGACCACGAGGCACTCATCTTAGCTGATGAGATTTGCAAGAAGACATCAACGATTGGGGTTGATGACCAGACGTTGATCTTACGTTTCCAAGTTGATCTTATCCAAGTGTACAGATTTTGCGGAAGACTCCTTACGGCCAGAGACGTAATTGAACGCGTATTACTTGCGTTGGATGGTTCTTTCCGTCAGAACCATGAAGTGGTGATCGGAACGCAGAATTCACCCGCACACTGCATGCAGTCTGAAAAACGGACGCGGGACATCCTTGAGAAGGTCGGCAGGCAATCATCACTCTTACTTTCATCGCAGATACATCTCGCTAAGAGGCGATCTGCTGATTCACAGGACGGCACAGTGATCGAATCATGCGAAAATTTATTGTCTACGTACGGGCGGGAAGGGGTTTTTTCATCTTCGAGCCGCTTCTCACCAACGCAAGAGGCCCTGGCGATGGAATACAGCATGCAAGGAGAGCTTCTGAAAGCCATTAAGTCACTCGAGAAAATACTGGGAGCTGACTTGAGCGTACAACAAGACCAAGACACGGTTTTATGAAGAGCGACCTTCGTTCTGGGAAGGTATATTTCAAGCAAGGACTACAAGGCAGAGAGTTGCATATCATTTATCAAATACCGAGGGGGCAATTCATGTTTTTAACTAGGTACTCCAAGCTCAGTCAATCCTCTTATTTTGTCTTCTTTAACTTGAAGCTATGTGATTGCATTAGCATCAGAATGACATGACGATGCTTATGCAGGTGTTTCGAGCCCTAAGATCGGTCAAGCGACAGCTCCTTGCTCATAATGATCGCTGTTGAACTCATCCCCCCATCACCAAATGAGTGTTGCGAGCATACGTGTTCACGAAGACCTCAGCCAGGTCAAGCCCACCAATACCAGTTCTGCTGCTGGTGTGAGAATGGAGGGAGATCTAGCATGGATTTAGTACTTATATTACTTCACAAGAACCAGAAACAAGTAATTGGGTAAACTGCTTAAGCTCCTTGAGAGCGACGGCGACAGTCCCAAAAGCAAAGATTCAGGATGCTGATGGTAAATGAGAAGACACAATTTTGTAACCCGACATTCATGTTTTTACCTTGTGCCTATCATCACGGTCCGTCACCCGCCGGATAGCAACCTGGATGGTTATGCCGAATCGCCGAGCGGGACCGTACACCTGGAACGGCGTCTCCACCTTCCGGTGCTCATCACCGACGTCACGTAGGTAGCTGCAACTGTGAGGTGCATGAAGGTTCGATCGGTAACGGGCACACGGGCGGCGCAATACTTGGATGGCTAGGACCGGGCCCGGACCGGCGAGCCATATCCACTTCACCGGCCACCCGGAGGAATGCCTCCCATCCCCTTGTCCGAATAAAATCGGACGGAGCATACTCTACCATACACGTTGAATCCCAACCAGCCGGCTCAGGAACCCCCGATGAAACCAGATCTCCAAAACCACCCATCCCATCCTCAATCTCCAACGATCCGCAGCTCAAAGTCTAAACGTCAACACCCGCCGATCCCAAGAAGGAAGATCTCCAAATCATGACACAATCAACCCGTCGCGACGGACACCGTCCCCGACCAGCGAGATCGTCCCCTCGTTTAGATGACTTCATCATTTTAGGGGTCCAGTAGCACCGGGATCCGCGGGAGTGGAAAGTCCAAAATGACGCTAGAGCAAGGGACACACACCACACACCACACACGTCTAAATAGTGGATCCCCAGGTCCGGACTTTGTCATGTCCCCGAAGAGCCCGGGCCCGGGCTCGCAGAGGTTGCTCGCAAATTGAGCAGCACAAAATGACAGCGGGAACGATACCGCCCTTTGTCTCGGCATCGGGACAACTCGCCAACTCCGCTCCGCGCCGCCGCCCGCGCTTGTTGCTCACCACTACCAACAAGCTAACCCCGCGCCAACGAACACGCGGCAAAATGACGAGTGCGAGCGTGGGAGAGAGAAGAGAGTGGTCTCAACTCCGATGCGCAGCTGCCATCCCATCACGAGATCTGCCCAGAGGTAGTTTCGCACACCCCTTCCCGCAGTCTCGGATTCTTGGAGGGCACCATCTTTGCTTATTTCCGAACGTCTGTACCATCACCGCGCGGACGGAGCAACTCTTGTTTGGTGAGTGAGTGAAGTGTGGTGGTGAACTGAACTGAACTGAACCGTTGGTCCGACTATGGAACACCTGGATGGACCGCGCTTGTGATGAGACGGGTTTGGCGATCTTGTGAAAACCATAGACGGTTGGGTAAACCACCCAACCCCGTCGCTTTGGTGCTTCACGCCATTTCGAAGATTACCAATGTGACACGAGATCGCAATGATGCCTCACCTCCGCCCTCTCAGATCCCAGCGAAACCGAAACCAGCTCACCACGTCCCTCACCGACGACGAACCAACCGTGTTTCTCTCGGTGAACTACTCGGCCTCGAACCTGGTCCCCCCGTGCGGAGTGTGAGTGTTCGGCCGAGTCACAGTTGCACAAGAGATCCATGTCCATCCAGGCACGCGCGGAAAAAAGTGTGGGGACCGACCGCGATGAATAATTCGATTTGTGCTCGGCTTCGGCTTACCCAAGCAGACCACCAATTATCAATCTCAGTATGATACACTCACACCCCTTTTCTCGCGGAGATGGTTCTGGACTTATCAGAGATTAACTCCAACGCCAAGCTCACCTATCAAGAAAACAAGCGGGGAGGGAGCTCTGCTCTGCGCATCCATCACAGACTCTTTTCGTTTGTCCGGCCAGAGCAGAGCTCCCTCTCGTTGGTGACTTGTGAGAGCTCACCGCAGCACTCCGGATGAGGCTGTCACAGACGACGCCCTACGTCTCCCGAGTGCCTTTTTCTTTCAGTGATGATGGTGATGAACCATGTCGATAATCAATCCACGACATCACGCCCCTTGAGCTGCCAACATTGCAAAAAGTGACAAACCCACCCCCGCAGCTGTGCCTGGCCAAACAAGAAGCGAAGAGAAAAACACAGAGAAAAACCCACCGCCCCGCCGTGCCGAAAGACTCACATTCTTTCCGCATCTCGCCCATTCGCCGCAGAAACCCACCCCGGACGGCGGAGCTTTGCTTGGGGGTGTGTGAGTTTTCGCGATGGAGACATGCGGGCGCCGCGGCGGATCGGGGGTGCGAAGC